GAATTCTTGATTCTAATGATATTTTGTACCCGCGCAGGCTTCCACGAGTGCCCACGAGGCTGGCGGGCATGCGACACGGAGAGGTCACGCCGCCCATTTATCGATTAGCGACCCAAGCCACCATGTGACGGAGGCCATCGGGCACATGTACGACGATGACTACGATCGTAACGATCCGAGACGCCTGAGCTATATAACATCCCCCCTTGGCGAGTCAATAACAACGATTCCGCGCGCCGCCGCAGGATCCGAGTCCTCTCTTTCTCCCCCTCCCCACTGCATCAATCCTCGTCGGATGTGCAAACGATACAGACAAATGGGGAACAACGGCCACCGCTTGTCGCAAATCGGTCTTTTGACCGAGAAAGTGATCCGGGGAATGCCGATGGTACTCGATTACCCTCGGACACTGCCACCTCCTCTTTTCCTCTCAACGATATCGACTACGAGTCAAACCCTGCTGCCGTCGCTCAGGAACTGCACAATCTCGCCGCGATTCGGCGCATGTCGATGGATGTGGCTGCCGCCGGTGATCCTGACCTCCCAGGATTCGCACCACCCCCCTCGCCCTCGGCCGACGAAGATGACGCCTCTCGGCTATTCTGGGTTCCTGCGCGACTGCATCCCGAACTGGCCCCAAAAGAATTCAAGTCGTTTCTCGACAGCAAGGCCGACCATATCAAGCGCAGATCCGGCGATTATTCGACTTTAGGTTCCGAACGCCAAGGGTCGGGAGGTGGTCTTCAGCGCAAACGCTCCATGTTATCTAGACAAATCGATAATTCGTCGGGTTATACAGATGGTGCGGATCGGTTGGAACATCAACGCTCTCAATCAAGTAAGCGAGATGGCATGATGAGTCCCAACTTGCAACAATTGGAAAGCTTGGTGGATGATTCGCAACCGGTGGACAAAGGATCACTCGTGCGCGGTATGCAGAATATCGGCATCGCAGGAAATGAGGACAGGCCGATCCTACCACCCACACCTCTGGGAAACAGCCTACGCCGGTCAACCAGAACACAATATAAGAAAGCGGGCAGTTTGAAAAAGGGCGAGAAGTTGCCCTACTCTAAACGAGTTGGACGGGGGGCATCTGAATCTGCCGGGAGTGACGCAAGGCCTCCGGCTGTTCTACCACCTCAAGACCCCGCAATCCCGGGGCAAACCGGTGTGTCGACCGATCCTTCTCCCAAAACGACACGAGCGGCTCGAGCCTCCTCTGCCTCATCGCTTCCCTCAGCTTATGCCGCAAGTTCAGCCGCGAGTTCGACATTCGCTCCGATTATCGATCAGCCCGAGGCCGAGCAGGAAGACTTGTCCACCGCTGGTGGGCAACCGGATGTCGCTCTGGATCGATCCGATTCAGGAGATCAGACCAATACACGGAAATGGCATTCTCGTATCAGCTCGAATGGTCGATCTACTTTGAACATAGCTCCGGGCGACCAGAAGATCCCTGCCATAATTGAAACGCCTCCCGCCACTGAATCCAACCGCATACCAAGTCCGCCTTCACAAAGTAGGCTGTCATCGGATCGTGCTGCGGCAACTACACCGGCGTTGAAACCCACGCCTTCGCCTGACCCCGCACCAAAACGTCCCAAGAATCCTCGCCAACCTCCCCACGAACCCGCATCTTCGCTCAATGACTTTGCCAATAACCCTCAGATGATACCTGGCAACAGCACCCGCACCGATAGTCTTTCATTCATCCCTACCGTCTCAGAAGAACGCAAGCCTGAGGAGCGGAAATCCGAGAGCAAGAAATCGAAAGACAAGAAGGACTCTGATGGTAGCCGCAAGTCTAGTTGGCACTGGTTGTTGGGCAGCGAGGAAAAAGACAAGAAGAAGGACAAGGATAGTGACTCGAAAAAGACCAAATCAAAGGTAGTCGACAAAACCCATGACAACACACGCCTAGACGTTTTGCAATCCTCTATCGAGAGCACTCCGCGGGGACGCGAAAGTCTTGTCTTGGACCGCCTTGATCCGAAGCTCGAGGAAGAACGACGCAAAGATAGCGTGAGGAGAGCATCGGGAGAATCAAAGAAAGAAAAGGATGGCATTTTCTCTTCTATTTTCGGCGGTGGGCGAAAGAAGCACAGTGGTGATGGCCACCACCGAAAACATTCGTCGCGAAACCTTTCTCCTGAGCCCCCAATAAGAGTACTCCGCGCCGATGTCGATTATCCATGGACTCGCTTCTCAATTTTGGAGGAGCGAGCTATTTACCGGATGGCGCATATCAAGCTTGCGAATCCCCGGCGAGCTCTGTACTCTCAAGTCTTGCTGAGCAACTTCATGTACTCATACCTGGCCAAGGTACAGCAGATGCACCCGCAGATGCCAGTTGTTTCATCTGGATCATCCCAGAGATCATCCAAGTCAAGGGACCAGCCAGATGAGTATTCGCAATATCAACGATACCAGGAGGTAAGCGAATTTGTCCCTTGTCCTGGGGGAGCGCAAGATTACTAACGCACTCGCACAGTCTCAGGAGCAACAACACTACGGAGAAAGTGCCTATGACGACACTTCCATGTACGACTATGATGACGATCCACATGATCGCTATGGTAGCCATTCAAGGGGCGACAAGCAGGGCTATGAAAATGGCCAGGCTTATGGCCCAGGCCACCAGTACGGACACTCGTCCTTTGGCGACGACGTCCAACTCGATGATGACGACGATGATGATATGTGGTGAACAGGGGCTGGCATCCTCACTCGTTTCCTTTCTATCTCTCTTCCCACACTTCTGCTTTCTCGTTTTTAGCAGCACACGGAAATACCCATGCTTTTTGTCAGTTCAGGATATCCCTAGAACATGTACATTCAAGCCGCGTTCTCCCATTTTCATGCATTACCCATATCCTTTCAAATGTTTCTTCATAATTCCCGTGTACCAATTCTCAAGGGGGGCTCGTATTATTACGCACTCATTGGCATCTAGCACCAGGGAAGATGAAATGCGGCTTTGACAGGGGGGTTCCCTCTTTGTTTGATTCCTGCGCCTTCTTGTTTTCCTTTTTTCTTTTTTGTTTTCTTTGGTATCATGATCAACATGGCACTAAAGAGTGCAGTATATTCGGCCCACGCGTGGGCGTGGGCCGAGTGTCGTGTTTGGGCACAAGCCCTGATTTATCTCTTCGCATAGCGTCTGGGGTTTTCCTTTTTCTGTTCTCCTTGGTACAGTACGATACTATACCTTGTTTGTATTTCATTATCTTTTTCGACGCATAACATTCCCACACGAATGAATCATGAACTCGTTGATGTGTCGTGTCGATTACCCATCTTGGTGAACTTCGAAGCTTGTTCCAAATAGTCCACACCGATGTAGGTATACTATCGAGACTACTTTGACACTTGGATTTATATACACAACAAGCTTGAAATCCGTGGCTTACGCAACTTTTATTCTGGATGGTGAGGGATTTTCAATAACTAGATCCATTTGGCTCACAATGTTGGGAACCAGCGCTCACAGCAGTTATCCTGATAATTGTCTATATAATCATCTGCGAGTTATTAAATAGGAAATCATTAGCAGTCAACCACTATTATGTCTTATATATGTACTTCTACATTGGTGAGGCCTTGGGAACCACGTCGGCCAGCCCCATCAACATACCCAGTGGAAGGCAGGCTCCAACACCTGCATTTTGGGGTTTGCTTTGCAGGCAATCTAGTTCCAAATTCCAATGGTAACCAAAGGATTTATATCAATAGACGAAAACCAAATAGTAGAATGAATACCCATAGAAGGGTCAATGCAGCTTCCTCGCGAGTGCCTCGAAGCAAATCTGTATTGCATTTCCTTAGACTCGGTATGACAAACTGCATGCGACGTACCAGAACACTGGTTGAATTTCCTCCGCGCATCAAGCCTTACTCACTGGCACTACCTAGCAGACTGAAATTGGCGTCTTGTTTAGGTTTCGATGTTCCTTCCATTGCTTGGTGTATCCATGGATGTCGCGACGGCCGCACCTGCGGCTTCGGCCCGCGCAACCTTACAGGTTACCCGTACTATGTGCTCAGGTACCCCTGAATACCTGCCCAACTATCATGGCCATGTCAAGATCAGTATTATGATGCGCCAAAAGTTAGAAATAATCTTTAGACAGGTGTGCCACTAAACTACCCGCAGGTGACCTCGGGAGTTATCAGAAACGCCAGGCTTACCCCAGATATCTGGGTGCATGGTAGAATACGAGAATGACGAATCGTTCAAGAAGCAAGCTAAACTAGAGTTGAAAATATGAAACATAACCCTTACTGCAACATCTTCTTACTTCGTTCGGCCTAACTATGTATCGTTATTGTACTGTACAAGTTGGTTTCGTGAACTTAGTGCCAGCTCTCGTCGAATATATAGAGTTACTATTTTGAGCGTCTATATTCGTCACGGAAGTGGCTCTCGGACGGCAGGGACATACTAAATTTGTTACTATTTCCTTATTGAGATGCGAGACTCTACTAGCAGGGAGAATTTGTGCTTTGTTTAAGTCCCACACACCACTAGTGGCGTAAACAAAAAACAGTTCCCCTACTTCGTGAGGCAGTAGAGAAAGATTCACCACAACTAGTCGGATGCCTCCTCAACAATAATGTGGCTTTGAATTCGCAGCTCATTTTAAAAGCCACGATGAACACGTCATACCAAACTTCAGATGTATTCCTTAAACACGGATGGGACATTAACGCATCGATTAACTCGGACACTCCCGTAGCTCTAGCGTAAGTCTATTTGGCTTAATAAGGGACCTGGCGGCTGGCTAATAGATCTTTTCTATCATAGATTTTCCTTCCACGATTATCAGTTAACAGAGTGGTTCCTCGCCCATGGAGCGGATCCTAATCGCCGATGTTATAAATACACTGATCGAACACCACTATCCGTCGCTTTTGAGAAAGCACCCTTTGCAATTATCGAGCTTCTTCTCGGACATGGTGCATCCCTACAACATGGTCAAGTGATACATTATGCGGCAATGCGTGAATTGGATGATCGCTTAGAGGTCCTCCAGTATCTTTTAGACAATCACCATCCGCTGAATGACAGCATGTATCAGAAATGTGGTGATGAATATTACTTTCATATGTATAGTGGCATAGGGACCCCGCTTCATTATGCCGCTGCCAAAGGGCTATTGGATACTGTGGAATTCTTGGTCCAGCGCGGTGCATCAATCGAAACGAAAGATCCTTCGGGCCAAACTGCTGCTGACTGGGCCCGAAGATACGGCCACTCAGCCGTGTGCAATTTCCTCCGGCAATTTTCCACGGGGAACAACACACAGGATACCTTGCAGTTCACAGATGCTCCTGGGCGCCATTTCAAAACTGCGTCCCTGCAGGAGGTTGTTGCGGAAAACGGATTCCGACTGGTTTAGCTACTTTCACGATTATTCTACGAAGGGTTGGTTGATCAATAGCTTTGGAAAAAGACACGCTTGCTTCCTAGCTGGAGGGCTTCGATGCTGTGTGGGAGGATTATCTGTATCATTCCTTCAATGCCAATGTGTTACGCATTCTTAAATTTGTCCCTAGTGGTGGGCCTACTGAATCCAACAGTCTATCTATTTTGGAGTTCGACGGTTTCTTTTTCTTTTTCTACATTCATATTTTAATCGAAGTTTCGGAAGGAAGTACTTGTGATATTGCGTAGCAAAACACGTTTGTTGCCACATCTACAGCATGTATACTATGGCACTCCTCAGGATCTTTGTCCATCTATATCACGACGATGTTAAATAACCTGTATCAGGTATATTTTGCGCTTCACATATCACTACTCCGTTAAATCCCTTCCCTAGGGATTGTTACTGAAAGACATCCTGATGGAGAAAGACCAATTTAACCTTTGATTCCCATAGACAAGCATGGACTGGAGGGAGAAAGGATCTATCTACTACTAGATAGCAAATAGGTGCAGTCACCTTGGGTGCCTAATCCTCAGGCCATATGACGTAACCTTTACATAACTAGTTACATGACAACGAATGCACAAGTAGAAGCTGTGGATACTGCTGTAGCTTACAGAGACAGATATAGGTGTAAGTGTGAAATCCAGCCGATTGGATGGAAATAGTGCTTACAATTACGTGGGTACTTGCTAGTAGTCTCAATATTGCTAAAAAGTGACCTCACTCAAATCCTCCTTAATATGGGATCAGTTTGTCCTGATACCATTTGAAAACCCTCGCCTAGCACGTGACCATTGTACACGTGCCACTTCTTACCCTGGTTACCCCACCAATGTATGTAAGCACGTGATTGCAGTATGGCTCTGTGATTGGTTCCCCCATCATTACCCGCATCGATCTCTCTCCCTATCTTATCGCGGAGCTATCAAGATCACCAAAAAAAAGCCACTTTTCACCTTTGTCACCCTCCCTTAGCGTCCCTTGCAATTATCCAAACTCGCAGTCCTTCACAGGGAATGAAACAAGTACTTTCAATATAGAGGCAATTAATTCCATGATTACAGCCATGGGGGACTGTGGCGATGAAGTCTTCAAGGTACGTCGCGTCCCACTGATTCACACAGTTTAGGCATAGCTTGTTGCTATACCACCTGCTTGCCATGCTCTGTTCTGATGTTTTTCTTTTTTTCCTTATTTAGGAGCTTGAAAGCACCTACTGTCCGCCAATTGACCCTGCGTTGTTTGTTGCAATCGCATCAGACTTTGACCTGGCAATCCCCTCTCAGGTCGAACAGTTGCGCGAGACCCTGGATGTGTTGAACGCATCTGCCGTTGAACAAGAAGACCTACCATTTGACCCCACAGGCACAACAAACCTCCGAAACTCTGAGCCCTCAGGCTCTTTGGTCGGTGAATCGTCTGACGCCGCACCTTCGGATCTTACAAGCTGGCCATCGCTTGAAAATCCCGAACAGGATAATGGCGACACCATTAGTGCCAGTCACAATGCCGAGAGACTCAAAGGCTCTAAGCTTGCATACACCTTTCTGGGTATGACAACCGCTGATAAGGCACAGAACTTGATTAGCATGTTCCCAAGCATTACTCGCCTGGAAGCCGAGCGCATCCTAGAAGATTGCCATGACAACCTCAGTCGCTCGATGGATGTCTTACTCAATCTTGCTTTTATCGAAGAGACACAAATTGCGAGAGAAATCCCCCAAGAAACCCCCAGCGAGGTTTCTCAAGACAGCCAATCTTCCATTCCCAAATCAATTGATGGCTTCCAGGCCAAGGAGAACCAGAATGGCGGCGGCAAGAAATCCCGAAAGAAGAAAAAACAGCAAAATCGTCGAGTTGACCTGGCCTCTCAGGCCATGAATACCACTACCAATAAATGGGAGGCAGGGAAGAAGGATATTGACTTCCTTTCCTCGCGGGCCTGCGCGTTGCAGAGAGAGAAAATTGCATCGGCTTATCATGAAAACTCCATGTCACTCTGTGCGACGATTAGAGTCTTGGCACAGGCCCATGCACCCAAGCACATCCGTGAGATTGAAGACGATCCTGTACTCGTCACGCAAGTGGGGGAGCTCAGCCACAAGTACCCCGGCATCAGTCCCACCACTCTCGTCGGTTTGATTCGAATTGCAAACAATGAGATCCCAGCTGCAGATGAACTGGCTGAGACTTTGGCCCGTCGCCCTGATCTCACTTCAGTTTCAAATATCATCAGTTTCGTCTCGTCACCGGTCGCCCTCGACGACAACGAGGAGGAGAATGTGGCGCCAACGCCGCAGACAGAGTCTGCCTCGGACTTCATAGATTTCAATGAAGCTGCTGCCGCTGCCCACTCTCACTTCGCAGCCCGATCCGCTGCCCTTGCCCAAGCATCCCAGTCCGCCCGCCGCGCCCGCTCGAACCCCCTGTACGGCGGCGCCTCTGCCTATTACAGGGACGTCGGAAACGAGCAACGTCAGCTTGCCCTGCGTCATCTGGCAACGGCTTCTGACCGGCTGGTGGCCCGCCAGTCGTCGCAATATGACCTGGACTTGCATGGTGTGACGGTTGCCAATGCCGTCAGAATTGCTCGCGAGCGTGTGCAGGCGTGGTGGGACGGATTGGGTGACCAGAAGTACGTTCGTGGCGGGGACGGAACTCCCACGGCGGGTTCAATATTGTGTGCGGTGTTGGTCACCACTCCCTCGACCGCAAGTCACATATTGGACCCGCCGTGTGGAATATGCTGTTGAAGGAGGGCTGGCGTGTGGAGCTCAACAGGGGCTCCATGCTGGTCACCGGCGTGAACCGCCGTTGACTTTCCTTTCGTTTGTGTTCCTTTCTTTCTATCTTTCTTTCTGTTGTGCTTTCAATTTCCTTTTTTTTTTCTTTTTCTTTTTCTTTTTTTCTTTTCTTATTCTTTGTGTTAGATTTCTGTTAAGATACCCTTGCACTGCTAGTGTTTTCCTGTTTTGAATATGACATTTTCTTCAAAGACAAACAATCTTGGAGTACTCTCTATGTAGGAGTACATCTGTTCAGGCTATAAATTTGGCGATGTCAGTCTAGGCCTTAAAGAGTCCCCGAAGCCCCGGGGGTCTCCCCGCATGATGACGTAAAGGCTCTGATTCACCTGGGCAGCGAGCCCCTATGGGATTAGCCTCACCCCACTCTCGTCTCTGCTTCAATTACCGATCACTATTATATTTTTGTCACTTTCCTATCGACTCTGTCTCTATGCGATCCCAACTATCTCGCAATCTTCTTTCGCCCCTCAAACACCAAACCATCCCTCTCCGCCCTGCACCGACATTTTGCTTCTCCCGGTTTTTGTCCTCGACGCGCAAGCCTCCCCATTCGAAGACAAGCAGCAAGGCTCTTCTAGCTGCACCAACAATTCCCTTTTTCGGCGCCTTCTTCAGCTCTAATCATAGCCCTGTCAAACCGGCCGACGCCATGTCGCCTCCGGACCAGAGAAGCGAAGACGAGTGGAGAGCTGTTTTGAGCCCAGGTTTGTACACCACGGGGGGTTTTGGAACTCCTAGGCAATATATGATCGATGTGAGCTTACAAGAATGGCTACAGAGCAATTCCGCATTCTCCGCGAAAAGGGTACTGAGCGTGCTGGCACCGGTGAATACGATTCCCACTATCCGTCCAAAGGCGTCTACAATTGCGCTGGTTGCGATGCGCCGCTTTATACTGCCGACCACAAGTTCAAATCTGGCTGTGGCTGGCCAGCATACTTTGATTCCATCCCTGGTGCTGTGACTGAGACATGTTGATAGCACGTTTGGCATGAAGCGGACAGAGATCGTATGCAGCAACTGTGGAGGTCACCTCGGCCATGTATTCGAGGGTGAGGGGTATCCGACTCCCACGGATGAGCGTCATTGTGTGAATAGTGTCAGTCTGCGCTTTACAGAAGATGCTAGCGCTGCTAAGAATCCCCAGGCGAAAGTCTGAGGGTTTCCGTTGACATTCCATTATCCATTTGTTTTGCGGGGACTAAGGCTGCAGAAAGGCCGACATGCATGATACGGAGAGAGAGGCGTCGTTTGAGTGGACCAACCCTATTTTGTAAATCTTAACTTTGAAGAAATCCTTCAACGAAAACCAAAGTAAACCATACAATGTACAAATTTGTAATCTTTTCAATATCTACCGTTATTGGATAATGACCTCATGCTACTCTACATCAAACTGCGTGACTGGCATTTTCCCCCATCCGTATACAGAAGTGCAGCCTTAGGCCGCAATCCTGCCGACCGCCACCTAAGAATAATTAGGTTGCTCTCATTGTTTCCCTAACCCTTTCACACATCGATTCTTGAGTTGCTGCTATTATGTCTCGACGTCCTACTCCAGGCCAAGCTGCCCAAAACTCGCAGACTATCAAGGCTCTGCTGAAACTCGAGCCCAACAAGATATGTGCCGACTGTAAACGGAACAAGCGTGAGTGGTCCCCGATACCCTCCTTGAGTTGCGCCCACGCTGGCTTCATCTCCGAGGCTATTTCTTGGCACTCATATACTGAATTGTGTTTTGAATAGATCCGCGATGGGCGTCTTGGAACCTGGGTGTCTTTGTTTGCATTCGGTGCTCGGGCATTCACCGGGGTATGGGAACGCATATCAGCCGAGTCAAGTCCGTGGATCTCGATGCTTGGACCGATGAACAACTCCAGAGTGTGGTGAGATGGGGAAATGGAAGAGCCAACAAGTTCGTCGCAACCAATTGACCGACCACATTGGGCATGGACTAATAGGATGCAGATACTGGGAAGCGAAATTGGCCCCCGGCCATGTTCCCTCCGATGCGTAAGTGCATTCGAATGGCACTCGTTGGTGGTAGATTCTGACATTAGAGTGGACAGGAAAATTGAGAACTTCATCCGGACTAAGTACGAGAGCAAGCGATGGGTAATGGACGGTGGGATGCCGGACCCCTCGACCCTGGATGACGGCGATGACGATGTGGTGAGTGCGCATGATAGACCATCCAGTTAGCAGCAGTCGCTGACTTGCTAGCCTCTTGCGGTTGTCCAGGAGAAAGCAAAGATCGAACGTTCAGCCTCGCAAAGAGTCGCCACTGCTAGTCAACCCCCGGTACACCGTCAACAAGCCTCGATTGATTTGTTCGGCGACGATATCTCTCCTCCGAACCGCCCTAGCACAACCGACCCTACTCCGCGTGCGCCACCTAGACAAGCACAGCCCGCACCAGCCAAGACTCACAAGCCCAATGATTCATTGCTAGGTCTCGACTTCTTCGGTAGCACGCAGCCCTCCACTGCCAGTCGCCCGTCTAGCACGGCATCCACACCAGCAGCACCAGCCGGAATGTCGCGACCAGACCTCAAACAGTCAATCTTGTCATTGTATTCGAAGCCGCAGCCGACACCACCCGTGCAGCACCAGCGGGGCAACTCCTTCGGCGACATGGCCTCGCCCCCTGCTCCCTCCGCTTCGTCTCACATGGGCGGCCTGACGGACGCCTTCAGTGGACTGAGCTTCCCAACTACTACTTCTCCTCCACCCGCCAAACCGGCTGAGAAGCCATCGGCATTCTCTAATCTCTCATCTTTCGGCGCCGGCAAGTCGAGCCCTGCTGCTCCGAAGGTCACATCACCCTCAGGGTCTGCGAGCGGCGACTTATTTGATAGCTTAACCTCCCCGACCGTGTCAGCTCCGAAGCCCCAGTCCCGAACAACTTCCGTCTCTAGTGGGCAAGATTTCGGATTCGGTGGATTTAGTTCCCCAACTGCTAAGCCTAACCCTCCGTCCTCGTCCCTGTCGAACGACCTGTTCGGATTTTCATCGCCTCCCGCAAATGCATCAACGGTCTCGCCCCCAAAGTCTACAGCAACCTCTCCTCAGCAGGAAATGAAATCTGCATTTAATATTTCTGCTCCCCCGATGCAACCTCCTGCCCCTCCTAAAGCGCCAGCCACCAGCGCAGCGAACGCAGCGGCAGCCAGCATGATGTCAGCCAGCCTTGATCCATGGGGCGGGAACGCCTGGAGCACACCTGATCCTGTCCCGTCGGCTGCTCCAGCCGCACCCTCGCCTGCATCCATGATGAAGGTCCCGGAAACATTGACACCGAACGACGTGGGCCACGGCTGGGGTGCGCCCAGTACTGCTTCTAAGCCTGCGCCTACTGTGGCAGCGGACGAGGACTTCGGCGGCTGGGCCAGCGCTGCCCCAGTCACCAACCCTACCTCTACAAGCGCGAATAACAAGCCCCCTGGTGGATTTGGCGGATCTGACGACCTCTTCTCCAACGTTTGGGAGTAGAGTGTATCTTTGCAACAGATCCAAGATTCACGACTATATTGAGTTTCTAGGATTTGCATGATGACATCTGCGTAATCTCACGCACATTGCACATAGCAGTGTTCATCTTTTTGAGATTCTTGCCTAGAATTATTTTCTACTTTGTCTTTTTTGCATCTTCCTTGTCACTAGCCCTTGGTCTCCGAAATGTGGGCGGCTTCCGAATGTACAATGGGCGGGTCTCATGCATACTGAATGATCAGCTCGTTTTGTTCGCTTCGATATTTGTACATTTGTATTTACAATGTATTCATAATACCCTAGAGCTCACGTTGGAAGGATTTGTAGGTAGTTAGGGACGACCTAGTTTAATGAAATGATGGCACAAGTTCTTTCCACATAGAAGACTTCATCGCTACAATCTCGCCCTGAGATACTCATCACAATGATTTCGACCATAATCCGCGGCTCTAATAAATCACTGGCCAGTTCTCCTACGGCGATGGTTACGTTTGCACTCAGAAATTCGATAGTAATGGCGTAGTTACTGCGCCGAAGACACAGCCTGACCTGTTGTAATTGGGTATATCATCGCGTAAACGGACAGAAAGAACATAAGCACAAGAGCACCACATAAACGCCATAGGTATATAAGATAAGAGAGAAGACCACCAGCCAAAATAAAACAAAAGTAAATATGTATAAAGAATGAACCCGTTAAACCAAGACCCAAGTCATTAAAGATCAAAAGGATCAAAAGCTATGCTTCTTCACCAATTCTTTTGTACTACCCGTATCATCGTTAAGAGCAATGTTCGAATGCGATGTACTCTCTTGCGTAACATTAGTCGTGACCTTGATGCCGGCGAAGCTCTCCTTCGCAGGCTCATTAGGGTAACCTTTAAAGGAGCCAGACGGGGATAGATTTTCTAGATCATGGTCATAGGCCGAGTTGTGATCACGTCCGCCGACAACAGAGGCCAGGACTTCCGTGTTTCCGTTTCCTGTAAGGACGTTGCGGCCGGTTCGCGAAGGCCGCGTGGTCCTGCTGCGATAGCCGTTGCTTCGGGTGGAGAAGATGTGCGGCAGGAGTTTGGAGAGGAAGGCGCGTGTGCCGGGGAGACAGGCGCAGATAATTGCTACGTTGCACTCGACAGCGGACCAGGTTGCTGCGCCGACGTTGTCATCTGTAGATTGTTAGATTTGGCTTGTGTGTGAGGGATTGTTAGGACGAACAGGTTGGGTCGTCTGAGTTGGAGATGACAAGGAGGGATTTGAGACGGAGTACACTTGTGATCAAGACGCTGGAATGATTATTAGCATTGTAGATGGTTGTCGTATGGAGCTGGACTTACAATCCACCTAGGGCGAAAATAGCCATGAGAGCGAACTTTTGCTTCCTGGGCAATTGTAGCGATTTCAGGACTGGCATTGGGTATATGAGAATGAGGATATCGGTAAGAATGTGGATGGCGGAGTTGGAAAACCACAGGGCTTTCTTATCCAAACAGAAGCCTGGGACCGTTGGATCCCAGAACTTGGCGAGAGGGACGCAGTTCGCCCAGGCGCTGATGATGGTCCAGGTGCCGTAGGCGGCTAGAAATCCGATGAGGAGCCAGCATGCTTGACGCATGCGGGGTGTGGAGAAGACTCGTTTGTATTGGAGAAGGATTGACATCTTTGTGCTGATGAGGCTTGTTTGATATATGGGGACTGAAGCCCAGAAGCACTGTAAGAGGAGCATGTCAATGGAATTGTACTGTCTTGGAGAGATGTTCTGCTGGGATGGAGCGTACGATCATCTGAACCTTGTAGGTGTCGGCGGGGATAAGGGCATAGTGCTCGCCCATGCCGTGGAAGACTTCGCCTGCCAACAGGCCGAAGAAAATCCATGAGAAAGCTAGAGAGACTATGACGACATAGTCGTCCGCTCCCATCTGCTTTACGAGGAATGCTCGTGTATATATACGGACGGCAGCAATGAATGTGGCTATCGTCGTAAACACAGCGCTCGTGGCGAGGGCCTGGTGACCCCGGGATGTTGATAGAGTAGTCATCGTGTCATAAAGGCATATATAAATGAGTGTACGGCAAGTTTCGGGCACGGATTGTGATTGTGAACGGGAGGGTATTCAATGCGCTGAAAGAGAGATCGCAAAGGTCCTCTATTGACTTATAGTAGATATGAACGCCACTCTGTCAATGGTCGAGATGAAGTCTCCCGGGATCAGGGAATGGCCCGCTTCTCAATACATATGTACAGAGGAGGGATAGGAGTCTGAAGTATTGCGGGCAAAAAAGAAAAGAGAATGGTAAGAGGAATGCGAGATCCTCTCCACCCGATTTGAAGATCCCCATTCAGCCACCGGGCTAGAGATGGGGCAATAATAGACTATTTAAATTTGATGGGATATTTGGATTTTGTTGTCCTCCGTAGCTTGGCTGTCAACGCCACCAGACATTAGCGGGTCCCATTCTTGTGGTGACGATTGAACCTCGGAAATTTGTGATGAACAGTGGTTCTGCATTGTATAGTATCATAAGAGATTGTCAGGTGTGATGTACATCGTATATAGTACATTGTACATTGCATGTTGCTGTCAAAGGTATACAACCTATGCCTACATATAGGTATGTGTCAGTTACCTAAAGAATTTCAACGTCGACCCAAAGAACACATGGTCTCCGCATGACATGAACTTTGTTTTCATGTAGGTGCACTCTTATTCGTCAATCTGAGTCCCTGAACCATGGTACTTATGTGGTCAGACCGACGGCCTATACATATTAGGAAGCTCCCCCCTGCTAAAGTTTGCAATAGCGCACTCCCCAACAGGGTACAGGTGGATTCGCGAACACCCTAAAACGTGGGAATAATTACTTTTTCTTTGACTTCAATCTCACATGACCAAACCCTAGATCATTTTAACCCAACAGGATATCATTTTGCATTTGCAAAGGTAAGCCAAGCACGCCCTCGGCACTAGCCTGACAATAATCCACTGCCATATTTCGCATTATCTACGGAGTACGGAATACTTATCCACTTTCCCTCGCTTATACGTTCATGCTTAATTGATCCATGGTTAAATACTGCCGTGGCTGCCTCTACCATGTAAAAAGCAATAGTGTCAAATTAACCCTCATTAACATCCAAGAGACTTACCGAGTAGGTTTCTTGGCTTCAAGGGAACGTGGGTGGGGGAAATGTAATAATCCTATTGTTCCTGCGATCTGCACTCGCCTCTGCAGCCTGTTTTTGTACCTGCACAACTGCACAATCCTGGGGCCCAGGAAATTTCGGGGAGTTTGGGGATATCTCTCGATTATTCAACATTCGAATATTTACTGCCCTGATCCTAATTCAAGAATCCCAGCAAAGGCTTTCTCTGCAGGGAAATCGAACAATGCGAAGGTTGAATTGCCGATCTAATCCCAACCCCTCCGGAAAGGCCGCGTGCACGGTACCGGAGAATTCCAATCAAATTAATGACAGGAGAAACGCATTGATAATCAGATGAAGTTTGTTCCAGATCATCGATGTCATCGTCTAGTTATGCAAACCCATCCCTGATTGCTCTCGTCGATACGTTTTATGCACCTGTTGTACCGAGTACATCACATCAGAGTTGATAACTGGCCCGGTACGTCTACGTCCTATTATTATTCTAGTTAATTATCCTTCTATCCTTTTTTTAGATTCTTTTATTTTCGATTTTCGACGTCCGACATATCAACCAGAAATTTTTCTATATAAGAATAGGGGAAAAGTCTACATCGGAGCGTTATAGTTTTCTCTTAAGGTCCTATCCACGGTATACCACAAAGTATATACAAAGTAGTTATATACCGAGTACGGACACAGTTTCTCACCTTGGCCTTTGGCCGCAATGCACGGATCTTAACCCCTGATGCCGTGCCCACTCGACCCATTATTGCCACTAAGTGGCACTTAGCTCCGGGCGAACCATTCACGATTCTTTTTGGGTGAAGATCTTTATGTTATGGTTCATCGGCTGCGCTGTTAGCCTCATTGGCCTCGGTCGACCACTCCGTACGGATACAACTCCGCGGATCTAGAACAATTTTATGAACGGAAGAAATTTTATTCGGTTCCATATTGTCGAGTAATTAGCTGGATGGTTTAGTACTCCGTAGTGGTATACTAGTACGGAGTACATTTTGTGAGTTTTCATACCTAGCTACTTGGTTGGTTTTGAGCAAATTCGAAACTATCGGTACAACGGATACGGATGGATGTATTGTACATTTTTGCAGATTCAAGATGGCCTTGGGGATCGTCTCTACCTATGTCAGCAGCTTTAAGCAACCTTGGAACCTTCCAAGGTTGAACCTTAGGCCTTAGTACTCCGTAGGCAGGACTAGTTCATCTTCTGCCAGTGAAGTCAATAATCAGTGGGGTCATATGTCTCGACATCTCCAATGGCGCTAGACCAGTAGCTTGGCAGTTTGCCACATTCCGTCTACATATGTAGTTATTGAGACTCTGGAGCTCGGTAGAGTCTATAATGATAAGAGACATGGAGATCTGCAGATTTGTAACGTAAGGAAATGTTCCCAAAGGGGGGAAAGGAGCAAGATATGAATACGAAGACGGAATTTATCCGGAAAGGGAAAGTGTGGGCTATCATTGTTCTCCCTATTCCGTGCATATGTGCCTAATCCTAATGTAGGTAGTCTAGTTCTTAGCTTGAATAAATCTCAACGGCACATTGTTTCTTTTTATATGCAATCGACTTGCGCAGATCATCCGCAAGGACACAACCTGCTGATTCGACCTCTGATTGGCCAGTAACATGTGATGTGGATCGGTAGCTTCGGGGGGATGTGCAAAACCTCTGCAAAGGCCAAGGCTTGCATCTTCGACATGGATGTACATTGTACAAACTATACAATCCATCTCAAGTCCATCTGCCTCATTTTCGGCTAGACCGATTGGGTCAAGCAAAATAATGGCCGATCCGGTGGGCCAAGCCGGGACAACCCACTCACGGTCCTCCGCACCACGGGTCCGCCTCACCTGTGAAGCATGTCGCCAGCGCAAAGTGAAATGCGACAAGTTAAGTCCTTGTACAAGCTGTGAGAGACTAGGCCTCGTGTGTGTTCCTGTGGAACGCGCGCGTCTGCCGCGCGGGCGCACGCGAAAACCCGAGCGGATTGTAGGCTCGGACAAGGAACTATCGGAGCGAGTAGCGAGACTCGAGAAACTCCTGAAAAGAGTCGCCAATGAGCGAGATGAATCACAAGTTGTCTCGACTGGCCCTGCGTCGTCACATTCATACACACCGCATCAGTCGGCGGCAGAGGCCAGCCAGGCCAGTGCGGATACTCGACAGGGTCAGAGTGACTACTTGCCCGGTGCGGCGCCGCCACATCTTCCTCGCCCTTCAACTGCATATGTGGGGAGTCCGTTTTGGGAGGATATCATGCAGCAGGTGAGTTTGTTAAACTCATGGCTTGCGGATGGGATGGTTTGGCTCATGTCACGATCCCTGAGACCCAAGAATTGCGCAGTGTCTTGCAAGGTCGGATAGAAAACGAAGACCATGGTGTCAAAGATTCGGCATCTGGTTTTGGCATATCGCTTGTGAGCTCTGAAAGCCCTGAAAGCTTGTCGAGCTCACCCCCAGGCCAGCAGACGATTAAGTCTTCAACCCCAAATCCGGCACAGGTTATGTGACATTTTCTTCCGTAATGTCGATCCGCTCTTCAAAATCTTACATCGACCATCGCTACAAGCATTTATTAAAGATGGCAAGCCTTATCTTGACTATGAGCAGGATCACCAGGCGCCAGCCACCCTTGCTTCGGCTATTTATCTTTGCGCTGTGTGTACTCTTGACGAAGTGGAATGCCAGTCAATGTTCAACACAAGCAAAAAGATAGTAGTCTCAGAATTCCAGCAAGAAACAGAATCCGCCCTCGCAAAGGCGGACTTTGTCACAACGAACGATCTCACTGTTCTGCAAGCTTATATTATCTCTCTGGTGAGTACGACTGCAAGTTCCTCATCTTTCGTCCTCTTCATCTTAAAACTGTGATTTAAATCTAAACGGTTCTAGCTCGCCGCCCGATCTCAAGACCAAAGCCGAAGGGTCTGGACCATGTTGAGCATGGCACTCCGAGTAGGCCAGGCATTATCTCTTCACATACCCCAGCCGCCATTCACGGTGCGCCCTTTTGAGCACGAGATGCGCAAGCGAACATGGCTAGGAATCGGCGTTCTCGATGTAGCAGCCTCTCTAGACAGGGCATCCGAGCCGATGATGCAATCCGCATGGCTCGATTACAACCAGCCGTCGAATATCAATGACGAGGACATATGGTTCAACATGCCAGGTCCGATCCCTGAACACACAGAAGGCACATTTACCGACATGACGCACACTTTGATTATCGCAGCGGCAGTGTCTGTGACCCGCACCCTTGCATTTTCAGACATGACCGAGCCAGCCGTGACTATAATGAGCCTGCGGCAGCAAGTCGTCCACGATTTCCAACAAAAGACATCAGACCTTCTGAGGGGCTGCAGGCCCGACCTTTCGGATTTCCAGTGGTACGCGCAGAAGACAGCGGGTGTTATGGGCAGCTGGCTGCAGCTAGCCTGTCTCCGACCGCTGCAACGAAGCTATAACTTTATCCCCCCGAAAATTCAAGGGAATGCCCTCCTCAAAATCGCAGCTGATAGCCTGCAGTGGTCGCAGGAGGCATACAATTACCCAGGCGCCAGGTCTTGGCGGTGGTACGGCTCGATGTGGGTTCATTGGCACGCGTTGGCTGTGGCCCTTGCCGAACTCTGCGTCTGCAAAGATCCCGCGGTGATGTCAAAGTACTGGACCGTCGTTGACGACGTTTACCAGCGCTTGCGGCTCGTGATCGCGGATTCTGAGAAGGGGATGCTCTGGAAGCCTTTCGAGAGGCTGATGTCACAGGCGAAAACGCGGAGGAACGAACTCCTCGCTATTGACCCTTCTCGCCAAGCTGTGTCTCAATACTCTTTCGATGGCACGTCTTCCGAGCCTTTCTCGAAACAACCTGAGCATCAACAGGATCTCGCAGACATTTCGCTCGATTTGGGAGACGCCGTCGATGAACCGCGAGATTCGCAGGTCACGGAAGTGCCGACTTCCTTTGCGCCGGTGTCCTGGCCCAATGTGTGGGATGCGATGGATCTTAGTGACCCATCACTGCAGAGTGGCTCCGATGACACGGCTTGGTTGAGCTATGAGAACTTTATTGAAAATGTTTACGACAGCGCTGATTCTATTTTCTTGCCACGGTGAGAAATACATCTCCGGGAGTGAAAGGGAACCTGGTTGGATAGAAATGCCCCGGTAATTTATCCAGCAGTGATGCAGTGATATGCATAGCTAAATCTCCACTCTTGTGTCGTTATCATCAAAGAGGCACTTTAAAAGAGTTTAATATAACAACAAATGAAATAAATCTCCAACCCGGGCCACCAAGTGATCGCAGGCGAATCCCTTAAGTTAGATGGCTCTAACTCGCACCCGTCTCCAATTACTATATAGACTCAGCTCATATAAGTGCATGGGATATTTTGCCCACCTCTGATAGCCTAGGAAAGGAAAGAGAGCATGGAGTGACTCAACCCCTTCAAATTCCAATGGCGCAGTTCTCGAGCAGAAAGTTCACAACTCCGTCGTCTTTGTCAAAAAGATCTAAGCTGACCTCCAGGGCTGTTCACCAATGACATCTGTGTATCGCACCCAGATGTTCATACCGCCAAAAACACATTGTCACACAGTATATATGTCATTTAGCTCGCAATCACGAGGTAATCAGATACCTGACCCAACATGCTGATCTCACATGTGACTGGCCTCAGTTGGTTATTGGCTTTTGTAATCAACCAAGAGCAAATTCCTGACGTCGAGCATTAATTTTCATAACTAAGAGGTGGATAAAGTGTCGCAGGGCCAAGGTCCCAACTTGATTCAGAAGCCTTAGGGGCATCATCATTCGAACTCGCTCTTTCGACGTCCCGGGTCTCTGGTAAGGCCTGCGATGTAGATGGCAAGGGAAGCTCGTCGTCGAGGAGTCGTTGGTAAGTGCACTGCTTTGCTCTTTGGGTGCATTCCGCACACGGAATTTCCCCATTACAGGCTTTCCTGAGACTTGCACAGCTATCACAGGCACGTTTGTGTTTCCCGCCGCGCTCCGGCTCGGGGATTTCATATCCGCTTTCTAAACGGGCCTTGCACGATTTCCAATGCCTCCGTAGCACATCACTGTGTTCTTGTCAGCATACATGACGGAGTAACACATATCCCCGGGAGTCATGGAAGGTGACACACCCTCGGCTGAATGAAGAGCCGCAAAACAAACAGAGGTGGCTCTTTTCCGTGTGATCTGCAGGGAGTCATTACTATATCCATTCGAGTATTGTTCGAAACATACGAGTAAGGGCATGGCGTTTCATATGGTCTAATCGCTGAAAACTGGAGGAACATTCTTTACATTTCCACATCCTTGGGCTTGTTCGGGTCTCAGGTTTCTGTACTTGTCGCTTCATGGGTTGGCGGTTGGCGTCGGCTTAATACAAGGCCCCGAAAACGTGGCTGCCTCAGATGGTGTGGATTTCATATAGATGATTTGCGCGTCGGAAGACCGGCATAAACAGTCTTCAAGTGGGTGTATCCCGCCAAGATCCCGGTGAAACTGAAATTAAATGTGTCATCCGTGATCAGAAATCAGTTATAGACTTGGCGCCTCAGAATGACGATGATGAGCGAGACTCGGTAATTCGACGTTGGCGATTGGCGAAAAGGGAGAAGTCGGTTGTGAAATTCAGCCCGTCGCGATTCCCCCGCCAATGACGAAGACAAAGACCAGGCGCAGTAAATGGGGAGTTTTCTTTCACAGTAAAGTGGTTTTAAAAAGTATATAAAGGGTGAATTGTCAAGATTGTCAATTTGCTACCTAGGCAGTCAAGTAAATCAGATTGTGAAAACGAAAAGAGCAGGAAAAGAAGAAGAGTTACTGGCCTGAAACATCAGGCAACCACCTCAACCTCCCTTGTCAACACAGTTCGATCACATTGAAAACATGTCGTCTATTGGTCGAGACTCGACAGCCATGGAGAATGATATGAGCAAAGATCATTATAACAATTGGCCCAACGACAAGGGTGTAAGTGAGATCATGGACACCTCGAACTATCCATACTAATCCCTGCATAGTTCGATCCTGAATACGAACAGCGTGACCCTGTCGAGCTCTCTGTGGTAGGACAGATTCCTGCTTACGCTGCTGGAGTCCTGTATCGTGCAGGTCCAGGCAAAAGTCAGCTTCAGGCTGATAATGGAGAAACACTACGACTCTCCCACTGGTTCGATGGATTCGGTCAAACCCACCGTTTCCAGATTTTCGCACAAGAGGACTCACATACTTCACCCCGGGTGTTCTACAACTCTCGCTTTTCAACCGACGACCTTATCGAACATGCAAGAAAGACGGGCTCTCTGGACGAGATCAGTTTCGGACAGAAACGCGATCCTTGCAAGAGCGTCCTGGGAAAAGTCCAGACTGAATATGTCCCGCAGCCGACTCCGTCGAGTAGCAACATAAGTGTCACTCTTTCAGTTAACGTCCCGGGCCTCGATCCCAAGCCCGATGAGTTGGCTTCTCGCTGGGGCGATTCTCGGGGAATTCGAACTCTCTATGCGAAGACCGACTACAATGCCTTCAAGAAGCTCGATCCAGAAACCCTGGAGCCCATTGGCATGGCCTCGCAGATTATTTTGCACCCTGAACTTTCGGGGCAATGCTCTGCATCTCATGCCCGATCTGATCCTATTACAGGAGACATGTTCAACTATAATCTCACCTTAGGACCAACCTGTACATACCGTGTTTTCGGGGTCTCGGCTGCAACGGGGAAGACGACAATCCTAGCAACCTTCCCCGCAACACCAGCTTATCTCCACTCTCTTCTCATCACCGAGGACCATGTCGTGCTGTGTGTGTGGAACGCACACATAAATCCACAGCTGTTGGACTCCTCGTTCATGGATTCAATATTGCCAACAGACCCGAGTCAGCCGGCAGTGTGGTATGTCATTGACCGTAAGCACGGCAAGGGATTGATCGCGACATACGAAAGCCCTGCATTCTTTTGCTTCCACACGGTTAACGCATGGCTCGAGCCCTCAAAGGGGAATCCGGCGGAGATGGATATCGTTGCAGATATTGTCAGAACCGACAACTCTAAATTCTTGCAATATGTTTATTACGAGAACTTGATCTCTTCGTTGGATACAGCCAAGGCCTTCCAGAAGAAGAGAGATGATTCTTTCCGTACATCGTTTACCCGGTTCCGCCTACCTGCCGTGCCTTCCACCCCATGCACCGATCCTAAGAAAGCAGTAATCGAGTGGTCCCTTTGCAAATCGTTGTCGCCTGAGCTACCAACTATGAATCCGAAAAGAGTCACTCAGAAACACCGATATGTCTACGCCGTGACCTTCCGTGGAGAAGCAACTCTGACGGACGGTATCATGAAGCTCGATTGTGAGACCCAGCAAGTTCAGCTCTGGGCATGTCATGGCCAATCGCCCGGTGAGCCCATTTTCGTGGCTAACCCCGAGGGCACTAGTGAGGATGATGGTGTACTTCTTAGCGTGGTCCTCGACGGGATGCGTGGCAAGAGTTATTTGCTCTGTCTTGATGCTCGTAACTTGTCGGAGCTTGGCCGAGCGAATGTCGATGGAGCTGTTGGGTTTGGATTCCATGGACAGCATGTTCCGACTGTGGGTGGAATGCCTACAGGTGACTACTAAGTATGAAGTCCTTTTTTCTGATATTATTACTGTTATTACATAGAATGACATCTGTTATATCCTATAGTCTAGTCTAATGTTAGCTTCTTAGCTTTCTCAGCTCTCAAATCGACTTATGTTGCACCGTGCATTCGACGTCTCTGTATAAATATCCGAACAATTACTGTTGATACACAAACTGACGTCTATTTTCGATCATTTCCGAATCGCAACAATTGTTTTTCATAGTCTTTTGGAAACATGAAGTGTGGGCATAGATCCCAGGTTGTGCTCTTATTGGTTAACTTGGGAGCGAGACAATGCCCTAAGATGACAACTCCATCTCCATTCCCCTTTTTGCATATATCATTCCTTAAAACAACTTATTCCAATAAGACCTCCAAAATGGCATCCCCAGGCGAAAACAACATCTCAATCCTTCTAGCAACAATGCAACCAAGCCTAGACCCAACAACCTACGTCTTTCTCACAACCAAATCCCCCCTCCACTCACTACCCCTCTCGACACTTCAACCGCAACTAATCGTGCAAGAGGAAGAGGGCACTACAATCGTGACAACAGAAATGCTCGCCGAATCACATGGCTTCAACGAGCCAACCTTCCCCTGCAAGAAGATCTCTCTTACTATCCACTCCAGCCTGGAAGCGGTCGGCTTGATTGCTGCCATTACTAACCGGCTGAAGGACCACGGTATCAGTGCCAATGTCGTCAGTGGGTATTTCCATGATCATATCTATGTGCCCGTTGCGAGGGCGGAGGATGCGATGCGGGCTTTGGAGGAAGTGGCTGCTGAGGCGAGGGGATGAAGGGCCGTTTTCATGGTCAATTCGACGGATTTTTGTCGTAGGTGTTAAAGAAATGCTCAGTCTCGTTGTCTAGGTCTTTTTTTCCTAAATAGATATACATATCTAAGTAAGGAAAGGGAAGTAAACGACAAAAAATGTGAATTAAACCCCGAGCCTCGGTATACTAACTATTGAATCTCGAATTTCTATCTTAAGAGACGCCGAAAAAGATCAGACATCAACCACCCCATCCATACCTATACCCAGGTAGTAATGCAACTCCACTCTGCGGGGGCCTTTTGCGTGCCAATTTAGGCTAAGATGAAAGCGACAAGCCATTAAAAATAAAGCAGAAACAAGAAAACCGCCAATGTGGCCCTGGCTCTTAAATATTGTACATTTAGACAAGATGGAGGACCTGGGAACCAGACAGACAGTGAGAACACGAATAATCAGGGTATTAATCGTACAGAGATATTGATTCATGAGAGAAGAAAAAAGAGGCAGTTGCGACGGAAAACATGTAATGGGAAATTTAATAGTCTACCTCTTTCTCGATCACCATGATTAACTCGGTAAGCTCCTTGCGCAGCGCACGATTTCGGTCCCAGACTTCGACGATCTTGGGGCGCTGGCTCGTGAAGCACGCCTTCTTCCAGGGAAGTCCACCGTATTTAGACGTGGTCCGATTCGGCAGGCCTCGGGCGATGTTGCGCAGCACCAATGCAGCTTTATAGGCCACGCCGAATGGCTCGCCCTTTTCATTGATCGGAGTATCCATATAGTACCATTTGCGGACGATGCGCTCTTGGAGAACCGCACGTTTGGCGCTCGCGGGCTGTGCGCCTGCAGGGCGATCTTCGGGCAAATGGGACGAAACGTGGCCAGCGACCATGGATGTGTTGGCGCTGGGCCCAGAGGCTCGGAACCGTACACAGTGGTCCCATTGACACGTGTGGATGGGAGACTCTGCGGGATCAAGCTTATACTGGCCGGGAGTGTCTGTGGGTTCCAGGTTCATGTGGTCGCCGAAAACGTGGTTCCGGAGATCTGTCGGAGATGTGAATGCACGCTGGCACATCTTTGAAGGCTTTGAATTGTCCGCCCATCTGCAGTAGGAGTAAGGGAAGCCTTCAAATGTGTGGGCGGTTTCTAAAGGTCGAATGCCCTTGATAATGAATTTGGTGGCAGTGCCAGGGCCATTGATGACCTGTGCTTGGGCGTTCGTGAACGTGTTGCTGACGTTCTTGATGAACTCTGCAGCGGGAAGAACGCCCCCCTCCAGTGACACGGGGATCTGCAAACCGGCTTTGGTAGGCTTGCCATAAAGCGATCTGTGTGATCTCGCATTCTGCATCCTCAATGAAGCAGCAACGTAGCCATTGGGAGCTTCGTTCCGGCTCGGAGAGTTCCATGAGCTTTTCCAGAAGCTCGGGGGATACACGAGGGATGTCAGTGGGTGGAGGTGCGACCTTCTCTTCCTGAAGAACGGTTTCCTTTTTGGTAGGCCGTGCTTCATAGGTGAGAAGTGCGACCATGCGAGGAACAAAGACGATTGGGAAATTGAGGACATCCATCAATGTCTCGATATTGTCATGACTGAGCGTGTATTGATACCAGAAGTCCAATGCACCACTCAGAATATCCTTGTCGAGGTCAAGAAGCGTGTGATAATACATCTGCTGGAGAGTCGGTTTGGTCAGGGTCTCCATGGCCCGGTTTGCATCCGCATCGTCTAGCTCAGTGCCGAAATGTGTCAAGGCCCACAGGGACCGCACGACATGGGCGCGGTCTGGGGAGTCAAGGCAATTCACCAAAGAAATCCACAATGGATCTTCAGGATCAGTTCGCAAGAACTTGGTAACCTCCTCGGCGATATCTAGTGCATCATTTTTGATTTCATTCAGTCGAGGCTGATTGGGAGCATTGATCAAAATAACCAAAAAGTCCCGTAGTAGACCATTTGCATAACGCGACACATAAAACGCGTTCTCCTTCAGGAGCACCATGTTTCGCAACACTAACGTGGCCTCTTTGATGTTTCTCAGTCGATGATTGAAGTCGTAAGTCTCAAGGCTGTCGTCCGGGAGGTTCACTGGGATTTTGCTAATTTTGTCCAGGATATCCCGGGTGCCATGTAACGAATTGAGCACGTTGACACGGTCAGTCGGCTTCCGAGGATCATACTGGAATTCCCACTTCACCCCCGTGCAGAGTTGTGTGATGTCAAGTGCTTTCTGCATCAAAGTTTCCGCAAGCAAGGGAAATCCTTCGAATTTGAATTTATCCCATCGTTGATTTGAAATTTGTACCAGGTGGTACAGCGCAAAGTCGACTTCGTCCGGAATACCTGACTGCAGACCGTAGTGGGCACGTTTGTAGATGTGATCCGCTAAATGAGACAAGACCATCAGTATTTCTAGCCAATCCATGGATGCAGGGGAGACTTACTCCTTGGAACCTCGAGATATCTCAGTGGGAAATAAGGGTCGTAATAATCCAATTGCCGGGGCATTTTCGAAGGGTCACGCAGATGGGAAAATATGGTCGGTCGGTTCCCTGGGGTTGGGACTTCCCTCGTCGACATGGGAACCTGTCGATTGTCTTTCCCTTCCCAGCTATCGACCGTGAACTGCGCGCTTTGGGGATTGGCCGCCGGATTGACGTTTACATGATGGGGGCTAGCTGGTGGTTGTGGTGAGGTGAGTCCATGATGGATGTGTGATCGACGGGCAGGGGTTGTATCGGGGATGAAGGGTTGGTTGACTTTTGGAGCATGGCGTAAGCCCTCTGTGGGTGGCGTCAGCATAGGTACCACACCTGTCGGTTGAGAGATGGTAGTCTTACGTCGCAGCGAGGTGCGAGGGGTAGAGGCAGACATGGTGCTGCTGAAGGAACGCGACAGCGTTGCGCCGTTCACGTTTTCGAATGCACGTGTGGTTCCGTCCTTGCAGCGGATGAGACTGACAAACTTGACCTCGAGAATTCGAGGGGCAATCGGGAACAAGACCTTCTAGTCTCAAGATCGAAAACTTTGAAGACACGCCTCGAGGGATGCTGCCCTTGATACGTCTTTATTTGCGAACCAGTCGAGCAGGAGAATTGCAGGGGTGTGAAACTCGCGACTTCGTGCGGCTTCTAAAGGTCGGAGTATAAAGGCGATACAACGTTGATTCTGACCGAAAGAGGTGATAGCGACGGCCAGTGGTCGTGACTCGGCTTGAGTCGCAAGTCTCGCGCGTTCGAACGTCGGAGCACTGGATGCGATGGTGAAAATAGCAAAGTGCTACTTTGCTCAGCAGCAACGGCAGTTCTAAGGCGGTAGTAAATTTGCGCGTAGGCGATCAAAATCAGCGATATGTTTCAAAAGTAAAATATTCGTCAATGCCTTGCGGCCCTGGAGGGCTAGAGCTGGGCTTGCGATCAACGGCACTGATCAGCCAAAAGTCCGCGCTTCTCCAAGGCGCGTTGTCGGATTATTGGTTGTTCCTGTTGATGAATAAGGAATGCCAATCCATGGATGGTATATATTGATGCCTCAGGCTGTCACATTCTTCAATTGTACACAGACACAATAGAAACAATAGACACAATCGGTCTGTCCTGATGTGCTTTATACAAATTGTCAGTTTGAGATGGCCCAATAAACAAAGATGGACTACCTTGATTGATTGACTGGTCAGCTGCATAGAGTAGTGTCTTGAGGAACCCAGTCATAGCTTTGGGGATCGCAACATGAGTTCTAAGAGTTTAATATTTCGATGGAATACAAGGCATACTTTCTTACTACATAGATCCAATTATACTCTAGTTAAAAGTGATAATGGGGTGGGAAGTTCAAATAACAGTGGGAGTGCTGACAGGGAGTTCCCTCAATCAATCTCGCCCTCACCACAAAGTTCATTCCACTAAGCACCACGCATATTCTTCATCTATATCATATCCATGGCCATTTCCCGAAACATTACTCTTTCTTGATTGTCATAGTTCTATAAGATGCAGCATCTGCAGCCGGCCATCCCTCCCCAGGTCCTTCGTCTCGCCATCGCTAAGTTCTCCCATACAACCACTACGATCGACCATGTCGGTCCACTGACCTGGAATCATGTCCCTGGAAATGGAGATCTGGCTTGCATATTCGAGAAGTTCCTCGATTCCGGGTCTGTGCCATCGAGGATGATTCAGAAAGTGGTCCGAGGTGATGGCATCCTGGTACACACTCACGCATAAAGCTTGACAAAAGTCAGTAATGCTGAACATCCCGGTCATCCAATTTAGGAGCAGCTTGATCTCGTATTCTTTACCCGCATGGCACGAATGCAGGCCCAGCTGATTCCACCCCCAAGGTCGCACTTTGCTGTCGTTGTGAAGTCGCCTTGTCTTGCAGTCAAGTATCCTCATGGTGGAACACATGTGTGTATATTCTGTACTAGACATAACTCCGTGCAGTGATCCTAACGAAACACACTTATATTTCGCAGATTCGTCGGTTCCAGATCAAGTTTACTACAGAGCGTGACTACTTCACGGCCTTGGCTCTTCTAGGTGAAATCAACTGTCCATTGACAGAAGGGAAGATACCAGCACCAGCAATACAACGATTTCCTTCGGTGTCATCATGGACGTCGGGGCATCTCTCCTCCATTGCCCCCAGAACTTCAAACACGGCGGCCACTTCAACTGGCAGCAACGGAGTCCACTTTTACCCCACGGGAGCGTTAGGGTCTGGAAGGACAAGTATGTAACGATTCCTCTGACCACCGCTCGAGCAGCTATCTCACGTTTTGTTTCGGTAGCACCGATTCGAGCATCATCTCCCGCAAGCACTATTTCACACCCTGTATCCAGACTGGGCCCTGTACCAGCTCCCAACCCCCCCATGTCAAAGCATGGAACCGATAGATTTGTCTCAACCACTGCATGCATCTACTCTCGCCCACACGTCGAACAAAGAACCCGAGCCACCCAGCTCCCAGCTGTCCACCATATCTGCAATTCATGATGTCGACCAGTTAAACCAGATGCTACCTCCAAAGAGAGACCTGCCCTTCTCCAAGCCAACTGCGAGAAAGCCGAGAGCTGCAAGCTTGACTCGAACAACACAGAATCATCCCCAGTCAGCTCCACCTCCAAGTTCTCAACCCACTGAACCAACCAAGGATCCTGAATCTCATCCATGTCGTCTCGAGGTCGAGCCTAATAATTATTCTGCTTTGCCCGAATTCGATTCCCAACCCTTGTCCCAAACAAATCCTTGCCCGGAAGCAAGCCAGCCATTAGTGCTTTATGAAGAGCCTGCTGCTTCGCAGAACACAGCTCCGATCTGCGAATCCGCCGAAGAGCCATCCCAAATACCCAGCATTCAGAACGCATCGGACGCACAGAATAATCAAGCTAACTCGAACTCCAACCACAACCCTGCCAGCAATCCAAACGATAAAGCTCCGGCCCTGACAGAAGACCATCTTTCGCGGTATCTATCTTCACCAACGGCTGAGCGAATTGCTTTCCTCGAGAACTGGATGTGCGATTTGATCGATGATGACAAATTTCTGACTCTATGTGAGGACGTAGATGGGACATGGAGGCGCTTTGCATTCGGACAAAGGCAGTGAAGGATGAGCCCCTGCTATTCGCTTATTCTCTGGGATATTATCTTATTTTACATGTTCTATCATATCATACCATATCATATCATGACACGTGAAGGAATACGACTCCAGATATTTATTTTGTAATTGAACTCCTAACACAGACGAAGATTAAGCGACAAACTGGAAAAGCAACGCGTCGTCGATATCTTCAATGCGCTGCACCCCTGCATAACTACCTTTGAGAACATTGACTTTATAGTAGAAAAGGCCATCATTCAAAGCAAACATAGTGAATAGCAAGATATTGGCCAGTGACGATAAATCTGAATGGCCTGTCAAAACCTTCATCCTCCATGCTTGTATGATACTAGCAAAGAACCATTCAATATCAGCTTAGCGGTTTAACTTGCTGAGGTAGCCAAAGCAAACAAGTGATGGCGTGGTCATAAGTAAATGTGGAGTTCAAGAAGGGAAACCCTACGGAGCAATATAGAGTGTCCTGTTAGCCTAACCCTAGATGGCTCGTGGTAAAAGTGGCAGTCGGTAGAGAAACAGCGAGATGCAGGCATCTTGACAATTGCCAATCCAATTGGATTGTTTGTTGAGTTTGCATCATCATCAAGAGGTAATTCCAAATTTCGAAACTGCTTTGGGGCCTTGAAGGCCTGGCAGTCGTGTGTCTGTCGTATGTAAACGATATATTCCATTCAAAGGCTAGACCCTCTAGACACGATTACAGCATAAGACATAAGAGACAAGATTGAAACTTGAGCCATAGAGAAGCCCAGCGGACGCAAATATTACATAAAGAGAAACAATTTCTGACTGGCCTTTTTTGTTCAGACAAAAAGTAGACAACATAAAGATTAAGTGGAGAAGACGAGGCTTGATCGCTAAGCAAACTAACGTGTGCGACGGTAGATCAACCCAGAGAAGACATTCAGATAACCCTCCTTAGTGAGCATAGTGAAATCAACAACAACACGACCCGACCCGCCCTGCGACTGGGTCAACTGAGGAGCAAGATTCTGCTCCGCTTCGCCCTGTTCATTAGAAAGACCCGGCGGGGGGGGTAGACGGCGCATTTTGACCAACAGAGCCCTCAGCGCCTACAGCAAGATCAGCAAGGTGCTGGAGAGAACGCTGCTCATTGGGGCCCATCACAGGCTGCTGGGACTTGGCGAGACCGCCGATCTCAGCTTCCTGTAGCTGGGTCTCCTGGGACTTGATACGGCGCCACTCGAGGAATATGCGGATCTTGGCGTCCCATTCCGGGGTGCCGAAGATATTGTCGAATTCGGAGCCCTCTGCTGCGCGCTTGGAGCGGCGGTCGAGGATCTCTTCGACTTTTTCCAGGGTCGCCCAGCATTCGTTTGCGTGTTCTGGGAGGACGGTCGCCTCGAGAAGAGTCATTGAGGCGAGGGCGAGACTGTGCAGGTCGAAGGGTGATGGGAGGCGGGATTGCATGGTTGACTTGTGCATCTCGTTGATTACCTCCTGTGCGCAGAAGATGATTTCGTACGGACTGTATACGAAGACGTGGCGCTTGATGAGCAAACGGACGGTCCAGTAGAGTTGTGCTTGGAGGCTCTCGTAAAGTGGGCGAGTGGTAGAGTTCTCGGGTAGCTCGTGGATCTGGAATATGTCCTTCATCTCCGCTAGACGCTCCAGGGACGATACTAGGTTCGCGCCGATGATGCGACCCAGGCCGGAGTTAGTCTGGCAAACGTTGTGGTCGACATTAGCCAGAGTGACCATCTCCGAGAGGAATGTCGAGTAAGCTGGTGCGAAAAAGTCAGTGAAATAGCGCAAGTATAAAGTAAGGAAGGTTAACATACACGCAATTCCGGTTGTGATTTGACCCACCACCCTTTCATCTTCACGGCCGCCAATCTCATGACCACCCAGGACGGTGGCATCTGCTACACTGATAGCGTACCACCGGGCCAAGATGACCAGAGACACCCAGTTGCGCCGGGTGAGATTGGCATCCGAGTCGACATCAGGATCCACAGATCGCTTGTTCTTCAGCTGGCCTTGGCTCTTGGCCAAATCATATCCGAGCTTGTTGGCTGCTTGGACCAGGCTGCCCTTGGGGACACCATCTTTCAGAACGAAATTATCCGGTCCACGAGTGTCACAGTCGATAATCATCAGCAAAAGAGACTGAAGCCAGATAAGGTTGACAGGGGTCGTGTGGACAATCAATGGCTGGCGGGTGTGGAACATGAGGAGATCCTGAGCATTATCAAAGCCATTAATCTTCTCGAAATTGCCCGCCACGCGAGACATGTCAGTTCGAGTGACGCTGTACAACGCATGGCAGAAAATTTCCTGTGCCTCGCGATTGCATTGGTGCAAAAGCTCCAATGTTCGCTCCTTGGTGTGGGGAAGAATCGGCAGAAGGGTGTGGATCTTATGATAATAGCTGCAATCCAATCCGGTGTCAGGTGGGGTTCTCATAATTACGGGGGTTACACTTTGCACTTACGCATCAAGAGCCCCTTCGTCCAGAGTCACTGGTGTCATGTCATCATCACCGTCATGCTTTGGCAAATCCGCCATCTCAAGGCCGCTGGGGAGATCGTTCTCATCGCCCGTCGGGTTCCAGAACAGATTACCAGGTTTCGGTGCGCTACCACTGGCGACGGCTGGGTTGTACGGGTCTGCCGCTGTCTCAGACGTGTCGAAGGCATTCTGCGATACGCGGGCGTTGAAAGAAGGCTGCGCGAACGAGGAACTAGGGAGACCTTCGAAGACTGAGTAAGTCCTCTTGCGATTGCCCGAGGTTGATTCCACCGGCGATGCGAAATCCTGGTACCCTCTTGGTAGCCCCGACACCTCGTTCATGGACTGGTATGGCACATCAGGCTGGACTATCCCCGGTTGCATCTGGTTTTCTAGGGTATGGAGTCGCTCGGCGAGTTCTTTGATATAACTGTGTCTCTGTTAGCACTGGCGATTCTCGCAGTGGCGCATTTGCTTTTCCTACCCTTTACTGGGGCCACGCTTCATCGGGACGCGACTGAACTGGCACACGACACCGAGGCGTCTGCAGTTGGAGCAAGTTTCAAGGCCGGTTTCGGAGCTCGCATCGCATCGGACCTGTACAAGAAAACGCGTCTTAGCTTCGAGGTTCACAATCGCGTTCGAGGGGAGTTGTCATACTTTCTTTCGCCGACACTCGTCGCAAGCCCTTGAGATCTTCGATCGTTTGCGCGCACTTTGTTCGCCGTAGCTCAAGTCGTGATTAGGGTCGACGCCAACCTGTTGACTCGGAGGGAACTGGAGCATGTGCTGGTGCTGGTGTTGATCCTCCGAAGAGGTGCGACCCATGTCGGCAGCATTGGAGGAACCCAGCACCATCGACTGGCCATGATGAACACCGTTGCTTGTTTCGCCAAGACCTGGACCAGAGGCATCGCGCGAAAGTTCCGCGGACAGCAATTCGTCGGTGGTCATTTGGCGGTTGCCATAGTACGAGGGCACACCTTGGGCCATCTGCGCACCGTTAGGAGACGGGTAAGAGGGCGCCGGAGGCATGTCAGACTGCTCGCGAGAGTTCATCGCGGAAGATTAGACCGAAAACACCTCGGAAAATGATGGGTTGTGGGCAAAGCGGGCCTCCGGGGATGGAGGGAAGATAGTGTAGGACGCGAAGTGCAAGAGGTGAAGTTTTAACTAAAATTTCGCGGGGGGAGATTTTCAAGGGGGCTAGCGCCGAGAGCGCCGCATTAAGCAACAACATTTGTACGGAGGATTCATTTGAATTAGATATTATTTTGAAGCTATATACAGTTGTTTACTTCCCCGAGTCTTTTTTTGGATGATCGCACGGAGGACGGCCTTTCGTTTCTGCGTGTCGAACGGATTAATACTATTTCCCCTTCGGCTTCGGATGAACTACTTACACTTGCACTTTCAACATTCCAGTTAGGTATTTTCAGATTCACATACATGGTGCTCATACTATCTGGGCATATCATAGCTGTTGGCTTGGTTTAGACTCTTATAATTGTTCCGTGCCAATGTTCTACATTCTACAGAGATTATCCATGCAAATTTCTACACTGTCGATGTTAGCATGTACCTACACCCGTGCCAGTACCGCCACTCTATAAGGCGCTCAGCGTCCTGCCAACTGCCCGCGGGCCCCAGTGAGTATTAATCATGCTTTTAAGCCAGCAAATGACATTGGACTATTCAGTACATGCTTTGTCTGGCTGATATTATTGTCACCTTTTCCAATATCACATGACCTACTCCGTAGAGTCGCAGATGATGTTTCCCTACGGCACATAGTGCTTTGATTAATCTACCCCGTACCCATTCACCTATTGTCCCTCTATTGTTATATCTAGTCTTCGATGCCCACACAATGGGATATGATAATGCTACACTATTGGCCGTGGCAACATTCAGGAGCTACCTAACATCTATCGGACACCCAGTCTGAGAGGAAGTAATCAATGATTTGCGCCTAGGCTTTGATTAAATTTCCGGCCTTATCTTTGCTAAATGCAAGGCGCCAGCTTAATACTTTCGTTCAAGCGTACTTCTTAGTGTTTCATACTTGGTATCATCATTCTCGATGAGATAGGCGCCTTTCCCTTTCAGGCCTTTCCGGACGCACATATTAATCACAGAAAGGGCCGTCTCACCGGCTTTTGCATCTGTTATAGTTACATAAACCAAAATTCTTGGCTTTTCAAGGTTGGCTCGAGAAAACTAGAAATTTTCTACTCCGTACTAGCGAGGCTGTACTCCGTAGATCATCATAATATGAATTTGGAATTTATGATATGGCTCTTACCATACATAATATACTTGCTTATATGTAACTTAATACTCCTTCCATTAGACCAATACATATGAATGAAGAATATAAAAATGAGAAAGACCATAATTTAGAGATACAATATACAATACAACATATACGCAAAGAATGAATGAAATCCTCCAGAACCCACACCACGATAGCGATTGGCAAAGAACGACGCAGATCAGGGCCCCAAACTCTCACTGCAGGCCGCCCGAAGCAGGAACACTGACGCCATCGGTCCACTTTCTATGGCATGCATTCGGTATTGTACTTGTATGTACTCTGTATCGGTAACTATTAGGCTGTAATTTTGGACACCTACGTGGACTTCTTCCACTGGATGCTTCTCTCTTGGGCTTTTTTCCCTATCATTTTCCATTCGTAGTTGTCTGGTGCCAAGGACCTGTCATTAGTCACTTTAATAGGGAAGACTCAGACCATTAAAGGAAAACTTACTCCCTACAGGGATTATGGAATGTTCTTTGCCAGTGTACCTGGCTCACACCCTGAAACATGATCTCTCATATATTCAGCCCCAACCCCAGCAACCGTCGCACAAGACACCATATTCCTATTTATACGGAGTACGGAGTACTAGTACTGCGTATGAGTTGTCAAGGTCGGGATGTGCGGCCCCAGATTTTAGATCCATATTTTCCTAGTGGGGTGAGTTCGTTAAGGCTTGACCTCCAAATTTTTGTAAGGGAATTTCCATGCAGTGGCCACCAGTTCAGTTGCCACCCTATATACATGGTTGGGGCTGCCATTTTGGGCATGAAAAAAAAGTCAAAGTTTTAAATGGAAAAAAAGGGGAAAAAGAAGGAAAATCAAAAGACAAAAAGAAGCAAAACTGAATTCAAATCCTCATGTGCGTTGGGAAACCCTAAACAGCGATGGTTCCTGTGGAGCTCCAAGTCTTCCAAAGGACTTGAAAGACTCCCAAGCCCTGGAGGGTTTATCTTTTTTAGTGAAAGAACCTTGGAAGCATAGAATATTTAGTAATAGTACAAGTTATTGACTACTTTGAGCCAATTCCAAGGTTACTACTAGAATATTTAGTAATAGGACAGTTATTTGCTATATATTAGCCAATAATTTCTATGCATGAAAAAGATTCCAGTAAGTAAAAGCAGTAAAATCGCAGTAAAAGTACAATACAAGTCATGTACGGCCACCGGTAAAGACCAGTGGCGCAACGAAAAATCCTCGTTCCATACGTTATTAACGGCTGTCTGCCCGCCCTCCTTCCTCTTCTTCTTTCTCTTCTTCATTGCGTGTCCAACGTCTTCTTTTATCGAACGCTTTTTATCTTGGCCGCCACTACCGGTACTTGGTGTCCTGTCTAACGGCCGGCGCCAAACGGTGCGTAGGCTTGGTCCCCCTCTCCCTCTCTCTCTCTCTTACTCTCCGATCCCTGACCACCCTCTACCTCGCGAGATACCCTTTGGATTTTCCGATTTCTTTATGCTTTCTGTTCCAAAAGGCAGTCCAGTGGCTTTGAACAGCATCTTACACTGCTAGTCCGGCGTTCTGTGAACTCCCGCATTGGGACCTTCGACTATACGATTATACCCTTTTGTTCAATCTTGTTCTACTCGGACCTCATCGAAGGAACCGCCAATCGCCTTGACGGCTTGATATCCCGGTCTCTTCAACCGATCTCTCTTATTTATACTCCGATCTTCTCTGATATCCCTCGCGGATAATCGCATGTGTACCTCCCAGTAACACCGCAGCGATGCTCATCGACGGTGAAAAGTATGCTTGTGAGGCTTGCGTCCGGGGTCACCGAGTCAGCAGCTGTCACCACAGTGGTATGTCAATACTTGCGCTCTTTCCAGGAATCTCTATGCTAATCCCCCCTTAGACCGCCAATTGACCCACATCAACAAAAAAGGCCGCCCAGTCTCTCAATGTACTCACTGTCGCGGCCTACGCAAGTCTCGGACAACTCACACCCAGTGTGATTGCGGCGAAAAGAAGAAGAAGGAAGACTGCCATAGCGGCGTTTCTCACGGTCGCTGTGGTTGCTGCCATGGCCAGCGCTGCATTTGTGCACTCAAAAAGGAACACCTAGATACTGTGCCTGAGACCGGTCTTCCCTTCTCTCCGCCTCCGCCTCCGATTGAGACCCCACGGAAACCTCCTCTTACGTCTACCAAATCTGAATCGACGCTCACGATTTTCCGCGACGGTCATCATAAACCCGCTCACAAGCATAATGACATGGCCCACAAATGTGGATTGCCTTATACGATCCCACGATCGCATACAATCCACCACCCAACTGACTTACCCCGTCGGTCAGTGGATCATTTGCCGCTCGGCCAGTCGACCTTTATCAAAGAACCTCTTACCCTGTCCGAATTCCCTACCTCACAACACACGTCGCAAAATGGTTCTCCCAACAGCGCGCATACTTCGGGCGCGGAAGACGATTTGAATCCTGCTCCTCTCGATCCCTCATACCTCGACAACTTCGTTACGCCAGCACCTCCTGCTCCATCATTAGACCGCCCCCATGATACGATGTCAAACCCGATATCTGCCTCTGCAACCGTGGACAAATTCCCTCTGGATCAGATTGTCACCAGTGTTCCTCCACTTGACGTCTCCTCTTTCGCCTCCTTCCCGACAACGAGCACCAATTCTCCGATCACCTGCATGGCATTCCAAGAACCTTACCAAGAATGTTATTTCACTTCCCCAGACTCGGACTTGCCCCTGGGATCTGCTGGCGTCGGTGCTCCCTCGGTCGATTGGTCAAGTTTCCCCCTATACTCCGATGTGACTGCCGCAACCAGCACGCAAGCTCCTTCATATGCCAGCTTTGATTACACCGGATATCCCTCGGGTCTTCCACCGCCATCGTCATCCGGGGATATTTCCGAAGGTGATGAGTTTGGACCGCTTCCAGGTTTGGGTCATGCTAGCAATGATATGCACGATCTGCACAGCGTGAGCGAAGCGTCTGACATGGACCATCTCCGCGTCAGCTCTGCATCCTCATTGGCTGGTCTCCCTCAGACGCGTCTCCTGTCGTCCAATGAGCTGGACTCGATCAACATCGATGACTTCCTCAAGTCGACTAACGAGTCCACCGCTGCGCTCGAGCACCAGCTGCAAGCCAGCATGACTGCGGAGCCGAAATCGGGCCCTGCGCAGGATATCTACGCCATGCCGCAGATGCCAGCGTACAAGCCCATGACGTCGGCCCCGATGACCAAGGCTCCCTCGCCGCCGTCGGACTCCGTTCCTATCTGGCCTGGTCTGTTCGATGCTGGTTCCACCCCGCCCATGGACGACAACTTCTTCCAACAATCCTGGGCCCAGTAAGAACCAGTGGTGCTCATTTCTCCTTGCTTATATTTCTCTTCCTCCTATACTTCTTTTGTCCTGGGGCTTGCTCTCTTGCGGCAATCTACCACCACCTCCACCCGTCTTCATGACCATGATGAGAGATGATGATAAATGCCTGATTTGTCTTGTTCCATTAGCCAGTCTAGATTCCTTCCTTGATAGCCATTCAATCTAGAGGGGTTTGCGATTTGGAACCTTGCGTGCCTGTACATTCTTTTGCTTTTTGCTTCCGTACATGCGCTTTTTTTTTTATTCTTTCCTTGCTTGAATTCTCGCCGATGTATAGAATTTTTTCCGCTTTTTCCCTTTTTACCTGTACAATGACTCGGGTGGTCCTTCTCTATACACTCGCCTCCGGACGACGATACCCAGATGCATGCACAGTGCGGATCGCTACAGACCCCGAGATTTGCCTCTGGTTGTTCATCACCTCATATTTTATGATATAGGGCAACACAGAACAATAGCTGATATACCCCAAGCCGATGTTATCACTGATCCCCAGTTACCTATCAACTAGGTAAAGCAGTTCAATACCAAATAAACCCTGTGTATTACATCAAGGACACTAGTAACAATCGCCCGTCGATCGAAAAGACGATCCCGGCTAGGCACCGGGATGTAGCGGTGAGCAAGTCCGAGCTTGTAGCCCAGTGGCACTCAGCTCATCGATCGACTCGCGTATTTGGTCAGGTTAGACGTAGTGTCTTCGGCCCTAGACGTAGGTCTCTTGCAGAGCTCTTTTGCCCCGAGTACCCAATGACCAGTCGTTAACGCGATCCCTTACTCCGAGACACTACACGATCTTTCCTACGTTCTGAAACAGTGAAACAATATCTACATATGGTACAACTACCATAAGCAATTTATAATACCGAAAAATAAAAGACAAATTACATACACGTCGGATTTCAGGCCGCAAGATGGCTTTCCTTTCCGTTTCGCTTGCCAGTGTGGTATGAGACCTCCCATCTTCGCCATTGAATTGATTACTGAATCAATAAGGAAACGCCCTCAAACATTCTTCAAGAATTCTCAAAAATGGGTCTACAAAAGCACCGCTAAAGCTTCACGAAGCCCCCAGGTAGCTCCAAACGCTCGAACCACGCCTCCGCAGTCTCCGCAAACAACCGCGGCGCCTGCCGATTCCACGGATGTCGCATACTCAAATGCGTATACGCAACAGTCTCTTCATTCAACTCCCTCCCAATCACCACCAACCTCACAGCATCACACACGCTATCCTTAGTAGGTATTAGCCCGCCTTTACCAGCCGCAACAATAAGCGTGCGCGCCGCCCACGGCACCGGCCACTCGGTGGGTATATCCGGCGCCACGATCCGCCGACACAAGTCTAGTGTGCAGAGATCTGTATCAATGCGCGGGATATCGGCGCCATCCATTGCCCAGCTGATCAGGGGACGGGCAAGACAGTTCTCCACGCGCGACATCGCCCATGCTGCGTATGGGATGTACGGCGTGATTGACGTTCGAGGGAACATTCCAAAGCCAGAGATAAAGATCGAGTTGACTATGTCTGGGTCTGTGGAGGCTAGACGTATGGCGACTTGAGCGCCTAGACTGTGGCCGATAATATGTGCTGAGCCGTTTGTGGCGTGCGTGCGGATTAGCTGGGCTATCATGCGGGAGGCTAGGTCTATTGAGAACGGTGTTGATTGGGATTTGCCATGGCCTGGGAGGTCGGGGACTAGGAGGTGGTAGGATGGGAGGTGGGGGATTACTAGGTCCCAGTAGAGACCGGATACCAGGGCGCCGTGGATTAGGACGACTGTTGTTTGGCCCGCGTTGTGCGTTGTATGGTATAGCTCGAGAGACATGGGGTGATACGAGTGCCACGGGTAGATTTTGTGTTGTAGGGCTCTCGTTTCGTGATCCTGGTGTGTCTAGGTGGTGCCACATATCATAAGTACCCAACTAGCGATAAATTGGGGGCCGGGAGATAGTGGCCCGACTTGACTTGGAAGGTTTCGTTCTACGTCTTGTCAGAATCGGATTATCAAATGGAAAGGTTTTTGATAGGATGATCAAGTTGGTTCAGTTTCTTGCGTAGCTTATAACAATATCGGCGTAAGATCCCGATTTTTGAAGGTCATCTTTTCCTAGAAGAGTCAGCCGCTGTAAGATATATAGTAACTATACACAGTAGAATAGAACCAAGCATATCCACACTCCATATCAGCTACTTCGTATGTACCTAACGTACGTAAACATGTACCCCACATGCTTACATATGTAGCTACATAGGTAACCAACGCAACCATGCACATGCATGCATAATATCCATTGTACATACCATGCAACAGGGAATCCCCTGTATCCATGCCAACTCATAGCTAAGCATTAGCCAAGAAAACGCAAATCAGGGCTTGGGGCACGAGGTAGGTGCGGTATTCGTCCGATAATGCGGTCTGCGGCGTGACTACTGCACGCTGCATCTTGCTGTACGACTAGGCCTTGCGCGTGCGACCTAGAGGGGGGGGGGGGGGTTCGTGGTTATTAGCTATACCGGTGCCGGTTACCGAGAACATAGCGTAAGAGTGTAAGGTGCATGTGAGTGCGTGGACTTGCTTGTGCGCCTTGCATACGTATGGATCTTAGGTTGGGATGTATGGATGTATGTTGTACAATGTGTTGGGTAGAAGGAAAGCACTATGCATTTGGAAGGATAGAGCTGGGCTTATTCTACAAGTAAGGTCATAGGTTCTAATGAATCAGCCGGTGTATATCTATACTCATCGTCTTGTATTCCTTGTTTCTGTCTACTACCGTATGCTCACCGCTTCTTTGCATCTCTTGTGTCATAGTACATGTCAGATCGAGGTAGAACATGTATGTATGTATACTATTGTGTTCAATGATGATACTTCCCTTGTTGGAATCAAATGCAGCTGACTACTAGCTCATCGATTAATCATACAAGGATTCGAGTTTGGGCTTAGCTCGCTGTTTGAACCAAGCATTTACCAAGCAAAAGACTTATGGACCCTGCATATTCTTTGAATTAATTGAATATACTTGGAGCTCCTTCGCCAGCAAGTTCCCAATGCCATTACTCTGTTATCTCGTTGTCTTTGGTTCTCTTCTTTTAGGGTTGTAGTGGGTCTGCAGAACGATAATCTGCCGTCATATATATATCCGAGTCGTTAAAAGAATAGTTCACGATAAATTATCATTCGAAAAGTTCGAAATATAGGGGAAATTCTAAAGCATCCTACTGAGAGAATATCCAATATTCCGAGAAGGCCTAGGATATGGGGGTCACAAGGCCTATCGCTCACGGTTTAGGATTTCTACTACAAGCCCGACCTAAACTATAGTAATGAGCCTATGGATATAATCATTGATCTATATATCTTATTGCTACATAAATGTACGTACTGTCACCCTGGTCAGCCTGAGGCTCAATGCTTAACTAATCCCAAGACTAATTGGAAAACCCCGGGGACCTTCCAAGGTTCCAAGGAAGGTAAACCTCACCAGGCAACCTCGGAAGTAGCCAACCTCATTCTCACCATGAACATTTACGCACGCATCCAGTCAAACATAATGTCCTGGAAACACGACACACCGCTTCCAACCGACGTACCAGCAGATCCAAAATTCCAGTCCTGGCACCAGTTCGACGCCAACTCGCAGCAGTGGGATCCAGTCAGCGCGAATGAAAATGCAGAACCAGAACCAGCACCAGCACGCACCGGCGACACACCATCCGATCTAGTGCTCTTAACATGGAACATCGACGCATTATCCGAGCGAACGCAAGAACGCGTCACCGAGATTCTCGCCTTCATCACCCAACTAGACGCCAAGGTGGACATCATCTTCTTCCAGGAAGTATCACAGCGGGCTCTGCGACTAATCCTGAGCGATGAACGTATTCGCGAATCGTGGTTCTCAACCGAGCACGAGAATACCTCGTGCAGACAGTCCTTCACGACCATGACATTAGTATCCAAGTCACGATTTACATCACAAAGCTCCGAGAAAAGCAGGTTCGCTCTCGGCCCTGTTTGGAGAGTCGCCTACCCCAGTCACTTTGGTCGCGATGTGCTATTCTGCGATCTATTCGTTCCGTCACGCACAGACGCCTCTTCTACACGAGTACGGCTTGCAAACGTCCATCTGGACTCCCTGCCTATCAGACCTTCCCACCGACCCCGGCAACTCTCCATCGTTTCCTCTTTCCTGCGCAGTGCAGGCCGTGGTCTGGTCGCTGGCGACTTCAACCCTGTTCTGGATGAAGATGCCGTTCTCATTGAGACCAATGGTCTTACAGATTCCTGGGCAGTCCTTCGTCCCGAGGAACCGGGGTATACATGGGGAGCGGATGGGAAGAAGCGGTTTCCGCCGAATCGGATGGATAAGGTCGCCTTGCTTGGTCTCGAGGCGCGGGGGGATTAGAATACTCGAGGCTCAGCCAGTGGGTGGTTTGGACGGACAGCAGGACACTCCACGTGATGCGACTATACCCGATTTCGAGCAGACTCAGCCTACGCTCTGGAGTGATCATCATGCTTTGCTTTGCTCTTTTGGGTGGGGAGTGAACTGTGATATTATTTGCGCTATCGCTATCGGATGGAGTTTGGTACTTTATGTCGTCTCTTTTCCCCCCAATACCCCTAGCTATGCCATTCCTGCCATCCGTCTATCTCAAGCCAAACATTGTTTTAAGAAAAGCGTGGACATGATCAGAATAAGAATGATGAAGATATGAAAATTTGAATGAAGCAAGATTTATTCTCTATAAAACGCAACCGAGATATGCAGTAGCTACATCAAACAGAACGATGCAAACGTGCCTCGAGAGATGTATACCACTATTCAAAATGCGATACATAAGTGTCTGAGAAGAGTATCCAAAAATGAGAATCGAAAATAGCAGCCCAGTAGAGTCAGTAGTCTATGAGGTATCGAGGGCGCACCAAATCCAGATCCATATCCAAATTCAAATATTCAAAACATTGCGTCGTGGAGGCCACATATAGATGGATGCCGATGACCCATCCCGTCTAGACGTGAAAAGAGAGAACCACAACCAAAAACGATATATGGTGGCAGCGAATCGTCGAAGAGAAGATGGCGATGGATGGGCGGTTCACGTTAACATGGCTTTTTGTACATTTGTACTTGTTCATCGGTACTTGTCCATGAACTCGGCGTGGAACTTGACGATGCGCTCAACCCAGTCGGTGCCGGGGGCAAGGAAGGTTGTGCGGAAGTGGAAAGTGTTATCCTTCTGGCCGAAGCCGGAGCCGGGGACGACGCAGACACCGGTGGCGTCCAGCAGGGCCAAGCAGTAGAACTCGTCGGCGGCGCGGCCCTCGGCGTTGGCGGCTTCAACGGCCTTGGCGGGGAGGTGAATAGTGGGGAAGAGGTACATGGCACCCTGTTGACACGATTAGTAAATAAGTAACAATTTGAACAGGTTTATGATACATACCTGGGGCTCCTGGAGCTCAACACCCTCCATGCGCTGGAAGGCGTTGAACAAGGAAAGGGCGCGCTTGTGCAGACCTTCCTTGATACCATTGTATTCCTTCTGGTAGAGCTCGAAGCTAGGCTCACCCTCGAGGGGAGGGTTGACCATGCACTCGAGAAGACACTGTGCGACGACCGGCGGGCACAGGCCAATGCTGACGAGCTTGTAGATCTGCTCGTGGACGAGGGGGTCGAAGCCAGCAAGCTCGAAGTAGCCACCACGGTGGCCGCACTCACCAACCATACCCTTGGAGATACTGTGTAACGAGACCAGCTCGACGTCGTCGTATTTACCGGGCTGCTCCTTCTGGAGCTGCCGCAGACGCTTCTTGAAGGAGACAAACTCGCCCTTGAAGACGTTGGTTTGGTACACCTCGTCAGCGATGACCACCAAGCTTTCCTCAGCGGCAACATCAAGGACCTGTTTGATGTCGTTGGGGCTCAGAGAGGCACCGGTAGGGTTGCCCGGGTTGATCACGACAATGGCGCGCACATCGGTGCCTGCAGCCTTGGCGTCTTCAATGGACTTGAGGATCGCGTTGACGTCAGTACCCCATGCCTTCTCCTCCTCGAGGAGGTAAGGAACGCAGCGGGCATTCAACAGCGTCAAGCTTGCGGTGTAAAGAGGGTACTGGGGGATAGGGACAAGGACACCGGCCTTGGGGTCGTTGCAGATGACGTTCAAGATGGTGCTCACACCCGACGAGGCACCCGCGGTCAAGAACAGGTCCTGAGGGTTGGCAGGGAAGCCGTCACGCTTCTCAATGAACTTGGCGACGCTGTCACGAATGCCCGGTGCACCTTGGCTGTGACTGTAGGCGCCAACGCTCTGCACATTGGCCAAAAGGGCCTCGGCCCGGTCGATCACATCCTGCTTGTATCCAAGTGACTTCTTGAGGACCTCGGGGTTTTCCAACAACGAGGGGTTCTCGACAAGACTGAGGACCTGGCGGAAGAAGGTGATGGGCTTCTGATCGAGCTGTTGGGGGTTACCGATGTTGGCGAAGATGACGCTTTCGAAGGGCAGGGACTTATCGCCGTCAAGCAGACGCTGGCGGTAGGTCTCAGCCTTGACGGCCAATTCACCGCGCACAGCGTACTTGGCATCTCTAACGTGCTGGTTGATGTTGTCGACGTTTAGACACTTGCGGTTCTGGACGGCCGACAGGGTGCGCTTAGCGGTATATGAGACGGTGGTTTGAGTCATGATGGGCTCTGGATTGACCCGGAGGAGGTTAGTGAGGTTCAGAATAAGTAGACTAGTATTCTCGAGACTAAGAGGAGAATCAAGTATATAAAGGCTGCGGAGATGTTGAAATCGCAACCAGTAATTGGGGGATATGGTTTAGACTAATAATCACACCACAAAAACGCTCAAGACCGAAGGATTGCGTAAACCCCCAACTATGTAAGCTGGGGTGATATCGGGATCCGACGTACCTGTCCTGGCGGAGAGACACCCCGCAGCGCCACGTGCGGCCGGGCGATGTAGGAGGCCATTCGGCCGGGTAGTCAGTGCCCGTAGCGGAGACGCCCGCACGCTGGATGCGAGCTTATATTGCCAGGACATTTTGACAAATGGTCAATCAAAGATCGGATTGATCAATTAGAAGAGTCCTTTTGGCAAGAGCCCCTGTCGTGATTGTCCGATTCCGATCGGGAGAAGAAGGGGAAAAAATAAAAGACCCTGGCGATTGGGCGGTGAACCTGTTAGTCAGCATTTCCCCACAACGCCCTATGGGCCGTCGGTAGCCGATTACGATAAGGATGTTGAGATATCAGACTCATGGAGACTCATGGAGCCCGCGGGAGAGGTGGCTACGGTGAAAGATTTGGTCGATGATGAGAACTACTGCGTATACACATCTTGCATTGAGGATCATCCACGTTTATGCATGATAACATGATCGGCGACGATCATTATCCGAGGGAAAGTCAGACGCTTGCCCGACATCGACCCATCTTCGGAGCTGCCCGGTGTGGGGTCGACTTCGGAAAGACGTACTTTTAGTCAAGGAATTGATCATGTCACGTCATGGGCATGGGTGGCATGTCGTAGGATCTACGGGCTAAGTCTCCCTTGGCGGGTTCGAGAACACACGGTAAGTAAGATTGTCCATTCAGGCATACATAGTCGATCATAGGTTGTGGGTTTGAGGCTCAGAATGCCTCCAAGTTCGTAGATATGCCACCTTAGCTTCGCTCACTTCCGCGAAGACGCACAGCTTGGCCGTACTTCTGAATCTTGGTGATCAGGGAATCACCATGCTTCACCACATCGGCATACTGCTTGTTCTTGTCGTCTGGTCGATTCGTCTCGATGATACCATTGACTCGATCGATGGTGCAGGCAATGCGGTTGTTTGAAATGAACTTGGCAAGGTCCCTGTGGTTATGGTCAGCAAAATTACTTTCTATTTGAAGAGTCCCAGACAGCACATACCGGTCCAAGTAGTCTACAGTCACACCGAAGTCGTTGGCCATACCACTCAGCCCCACCACACGGTAGCTCTGAAGAAGCTGCTGGTAGGCGCGCAGTCGCATCTCACGAACAAACCAAGCCCGGTGCTCGTGCAGATAGCGATCTTGTGTCAGGAACTGGTCCTCAACGGCCGCGAGTGCCACAAAGAACGAGCGGTAGTTGCCGTTGTAGAGACTGGTAACCAGGTTTGCAAGCGGTGCGAAGTCAACGGGCGCCTCGGTCTCTACTGGCACACCGGAGCCGGTTGAGAAAGAGGAGATGTTGACAGCGGTCTTGGCACCGGCGGGTGTGGGTAGTCCCGCTGTTGTCTCCTTCATCACCTCATCCCGGGCACCAGGGCCTGAGGAGACTTCCCCACTCAGCGCAGCCAGTTGGTCTTCCGGAGAGCCAAGGATGGCCTTGATCTCTGGTGCATCCACTACCTTCGCCTTGAAGTCCACACGCTTGAGCGACAAGGATCCGGCGAGCACTGAGTAAATCACCAGCGAAGAATAGCTGCAAAGTTCGTAGCTTGTGAAGGTAGACAGACTGTCGAGAAGGAGGGAGCGGCAAGGCTGTAAGAGCGAATGGTGAGCAAATGCAATCCCTTGTACGCCTTGAGGCGGTTTCGACGATCCCAATCTCCACCACTCTCTACCAAGGTCTCTGCTCGTTCAATGGTCTTGTTCACAAACAAAAGGTCGCCGAAGAAGAGTCCGATGCGGAGCATAGCCATCACCAGATCGATCTTGGTGCCCAGGAATCCAGTCTTTTCGAGGAGGGCTTCGTGGGATTCGACAGCTTTGTCCTATTGGAATACTGGTGTTAGCTAGCAAATCCAAGACGCTTGATAGGACCATAAAACGAAAAATCCTCACCTTATCTCCCACACGAGCCCAGAACTCAGCTCGCTTCCCGCGCGCAGCTTGTACCTCAGTCTCCCCGGCAGCCTCTTCCGCCTCATCTTCCTCCTTCTGGAAGGTCTCCAGTTCTTTCTTGTTATCCTCTAGTAGAGACTGGTAGAGCTGCTCGTCCCAAGGGAAATCGATCTTCACCGGTGCTTTACGAGATGCAATAAGATTGGACGTGATGAGAGGTTGCGTTGAGTTCCCTCCATTTTGTGGGTGCTGTGTTACGCCTTCGCCGGAGTTGTTCAAGATGCCTTCAGTGGGATGGGCGAGATGCCGGTAGAAAGGAGCCATTTTGTTCTCCAAGATAACATCTTGGAGCTTCTTCAATGAGCTCTGCTGGACAGCTGGCGCGCATGCTGGGTTGGAGAGGTTGAAGACATGTTGGGCGATGGAGAGGTTGGGGAACTTGATATATTGCGGATCAGATCCCATGGTGGCGATGGGGGAACTGGGGATGCTGACAGGATTCCCACGAGTTAAAAAGACGATGGAATAGAGCAGGGAGAAGATGGGAGCTGGTGATGTCTGGGGATAAGATCGAGCCGGGTGCATCACCGTAGCCCGAGCTCAGCTGGCGGAACGTTTCTCCGTGCCGAGCTTTCTTTAGCCTTCTCCCCGAACGTCAAGATAAACCTATCTTGTATGAGATCTCGGTCGCATCTACAAAGAAAATATATCTGCTTCCCTTTGAAAAAAGCATTTCTACTTTTATTATTTCATTCTGGGGAGAGATATATGTTTACAATATGTCTGACTTGACTACCCTGGGTTATAGTAATCACATTGGATCATCAGACTGAAGATATTCTAGGAATTCTATACGTTGGCTATAAAAAAGACTTTTTATGAATGAATTGTAGGTAACTGCATGTTACGGTCAACCTTGGAAGACCAAGCCCAAGGATTCATGCCTTCTGATCTTCCGGCACATAGGGCTGAAATGTTTTATTTTATTTGGCATTGGAGACATCTGGAGCAAATCAAGGGTAGAATACAACATTACATGTATGTATATTGTATCTAGGTATGTCAAACTTGCTCGTCTGTTTCACTGCTTTAGGGAGTTGGATCCCTAAAAACCTTTTCATTACGGAAATAGGCAAGTGCAGCCCCAAATTCCGACAGGGGACCGAAAGCACGTGCTTGTCTTATAGGATATGCCTTCTACAGTCAACATCCACATCCTTGAGACATCGCACTAAGTTCCATAGTTCCATATCTGATTCGAACGGGAAGCTTGTTTCGATATCAACATCATCCCATCTCCTAACACTCGGGAAGGCCGACTATCTACAACATACCAACCTAGGTCCCTTACCTAGGTAGGTATATGTTGGAGAGTGCAACCTACCCCGACTGGTCTAGTCAAACACACTATTGGCTAGAGAAAGGACCTTGATATTTCTGATGATTATCATTGGCCTACAAATCCGTTAGACTGAAATGGCCAAAGCCAAATGCTTAGAATGATCAAGCTCGGGGGGCCGGGTCCCACTAGATTCCGTTGGCTAAACGCGGGATCTCTGTGTTAGGTACCCCCCCATGTCTAGAGTGATGCTATTCCCGGTTAAAAATTTTTTTTTCTTTTTTATATATATATATATATATATATATATTCAATATTGTTTAGGTCTCTTTCCTTTTCCTCTCAGCTTCAAATAGCTTCTCTGATTACCCACGGCCAACACGACTCCTGTTATTGTGCTCGCGTGACACAGTAACTCTTATTGGTCTCGTGCCGATTTTGCTTTCCCTTTGACCTCCAGTGAGGCTCAAGCTCGCCGCGTGTTTAAAACACACCTAAAACTTTCATTGCTATCCAAAAACACGATCGCAATGGCCGAGCCTCAGGCCGACTCCAAGGAGCTGCCCGAGAAAGGCGCCGGTCCCCTCGAGGAGCGCCTTGTCGAGCTACCGCCTCTTGACGAGACCAAGAAGGGTCGCTGGGAACGTAGTTGGCCCACTATTGCCTGTGGTGCTGGTCTCTTTTCTGATGGTTACTTGAACCAGGTATGTTATGTTTCGTCCTGTTTGTGCAGCCCCACTGCTACGCTGTCCCACATGGGCCTGCAGCTTGATGAATGTTTATTTATTCTTTACTGACACACTTCGATCTAGGTCATTGGTCCTGTCGGTACTATGCTGCAAAAGATCTACGGTGATGCGTACACCAACTCGACGGCCCAACAGAATGTCTCTTCGATCGTTTTCGCTGGCACCGTGGTGGGTATGCTGATATTTGGCTACACTAGTGATCACTGGTCGCGCAAGTGGTCTTTGATGATCTCCACCATTATCCTGTTTGTCTTTGCAGCTCTCGGTGCTGGCTCCTATGGAGCTGGCGGCAGCCTGGGTGGCATGCTCGCTGCTTTGACGGCCTATCGTTTCTTCTTGGGAATTGGCATTGGCGGAGAGTACCCTGCTGGATCAGTTGGCGCTGCTGAGAATACCGGAGAGCTCAAGAGTGGCCATCGCAATCGCTGGTTCATCATGTTCACCAACTTCCAGATTGATTTCGGTTTCGTGGTTGCTGCGTTGGTTTCCATGATTCTCGTCCTGATCTTCACCGAGGACCATCTGCGCGCTTGCTGGCGTGTAGCTCTAGGGCTGGGAGTAATCCCTCCTATGAGTTTAATGTACCTGCGACTGAAGATGAACGAGCCGGAGGAGTTCAACCGGGAGCGTATGCACAAGTTCCCGATCTTGCTGATTGTTAAGTAAGTACGATATCTCCCAGTGCATGGGCTCATTGACTAACGGGTTTAGATTCTATTGGAAGCGCTTGGTAATGAACCCCACCTACATGTTTCCGTCGCAGACATGAACCGATTGACTGACTGGATGTGATATATAGGCTGTTGTTTCTATTATCTGGTTCCTTTACGACTTCTCCGCTTACAGCTTCGGTATCTATTCTTCAGCCTGGCTATCGATCATCCTGGGTGACAAGGCTCCCTTGTGGAAGAGCTTCGGTTGGACTACCGTGGTCAATTCCTTCTACATCCCAGGATCCGCCCTTGGAGCCTTCTTGAGTGACTGGATTGGCCCTCGCTACACCCTTGCCCTTGGTGTTGGGCTCCAGGGCGTCATCGGATTCATCATGGCTGGATGCTACAAATGGCTTGCGACCCCGCAAAACGTGGCAGCCTTTGTCGTCGTATTCGGGTAAGTTTACTAACAAAGTTCCTCAGACTTTAGCAATTGCCAATGCTAATAGCTTGGGAACAGAATCTTCTCTGCTCTTGGTGAAATGGGACCCGGCGACAACATCGGTCTCTGCGCCGCTAAGACCAGCGCAACTGCTATCCGTGGCCAGTACTACTCATATGCTGCGGCTTTCGGGAAGGTCGGGGCTTTTGTGGGCACCTATGTGATCCCAATTATTCAAAAGAACGCACCCAACGAGACCCGCGCAGGCCAAGACCCATTCTTCGTCTCCAGCTCGCTGTGTCTCTTGGCCGCATTCATGGCCATTTTCATGATGCCGCAGATTAACCAGGTATGAACTGTTGCAGATAGTGTACGTTGTTGATGTGCTCACATTTTTCCAGGACACTATTACGTTCGAGGATGCCCGATTCCGCGACTACCTCGAGGCTAACGGCTACGATACCTCGGAAATGGGCACCCACAACCGCCAGACCGACACACGCGCACAAGAGTAACTTGATCACAGCCCCACCGCGCCTGACACATACTTGCTCACCCTTTTGGGCTGTTTGTGTTCCAACCAGCTTTACTTAATCCCACGGACAACACCCATACGCGGCAATCCACACCCAGCAACGCAAACGAGATACCATTGACGAGACAGCGACTATCCGGCCCTTGCGACTTGAGATATTCCCCTGCCCCTGCGACATGACCCATGAATGTATGAGAGGAACGCGGCATAACCTATCTGAGCTGCTGGTGATGCATCTCGAGGGGCAGAAGCTGAACTCCGGACTTGTATGACAAGCAATCTAATCCAAGTGGGAACTTTGATGTTGTCCACATAATCAGATAAATACAATTGCTCTGCTACTCAAGTCTTCGTTTTATAGTGGTTAGACTCTAATATAGCCAATTTCTTTGGTATCCTCGTGTCTATCTAAGTACTTGTGTAGGATATCGCTCTTTCTGTTCCAGTTTTACCCAGGACTTACTCCAGATTTGCTACATGATCCACTTCTAAGTATCAGTACGTCCAATCTTGCCTATCGTCTCTATGACCAGGGATGTAGGAGGATAACAACAATAACCCCTTTCTCTCCCTTTGGTGACAGAGTAATGCCGACAACAACTATCGTCAAAGCCACAAGGTTGTTAAAGGGATAGGTTCCTCTGGTGAACCCGCGGTACCTAATACCTCGCCAAACTATAGAAATCTTCGGTTACCATTTCCGAAATGGACGATACGGTGTGGTCCAAGGAGTGTCGGGTTGGTATCCGATAATGATATTGGGCAGGTAAACCTTATGCTGTTCGGCCCGAGACTAGTCTCTATCGAGGATCTCAACGAGATATGCTGGGGGGGATTATAAAATACAGTACTCGGTAGAACATGTGAAAGGGAATCCATTTGCCTGGCCTTGGATGGATCTGGTAAAGGTAAACCGCGAGTCGTGCTTGGTTCAATGTTGATGTTATTCATTGTGTGTGGGTACCCGATGACATTGGGACTAGGTTAGATTTGTATATAACATCCGAAGAATCATCTTAAACTTTTTCAAGCATAAAAAAAAAGGGGATAAGCTGAGATTTATATGTCAAGAAGCTGGGCAATGTCGGGAGAATGACATGAAGCTCCGCTCACGTGAAAGATGGGAAAAGTCACAAGCCAAGTGACATGGAAATCAAGCATTTCAAGGGATTTCAGATTTCAATAGATTTCAGGAGAGTCAAGTTCTAATACCCGTGAATGGCGTAATAAAAGTAAATACATTACATCGTCCCTCCGGATCTCTCCCCACACGCACGAGATCAGCCGAGGTCGGTCTTCCGGCTCCATACGCCGGTCAATTACCGACTCCCCTTTCCCTTATGAACTATCACATTTGATTCTTGACATCCTCCATCCCTAGGTGTTCGAAGTTGCATTCTTTTCATTCCACTAGCAACAAAAAAAAAAGATGGTCGCTAACACTCTCGTCTACCACCCTGCGCTGGCGCACTGGCTACGCTTCGTCGCGACAACCGGTACGTGATACATCCATCCCAGAGTCCAAACACAACACCCAAGCACAATACCTCTATCGATCCACAAAGAATTTCTTCAAGAAAATCCCCCATTTCACCTCGCGACATCAGCAAAAACCCCCCGGTGACAAGAACTCGGCCGATAACTCCCAGCAGAGCTCTCCCCGCCTTCACCCGAGCACTCAAGCTAACCCGGGAAACCTACAGTCGGCCGCGACAAGCTCCTCCGCACAATCCAATACTTCTCCCGCTTCTACGCGTGGTACCTCTACCGAACGAACAAGCCCCAGTCCGCAATCGACCCCTACAATGCCGTGAAGAAGCAGTTCGGCACGACGCGCAAGATCATGCGTATCGGCAAATTCCTCGAGCATCTCAAGGCCGCCGCCGTCGCCTTCGATAACAAGAGTCCCGTTGACCCGGTCCTGCGCTACCTGGCCATCGGTCGCCAGCTCGGTTATGCCGGCTACTTGACTCTCGACGCCGTCACAGTCATCGATGTGATTGGCATTCGGAAACTGTCTTCCGCTAAGCGGCTGCAGGATTCCGCTTACCGCTCCTGGGCTGCGGGTCTGATTTTCAGCACTGTGGCTGGTATCTACACTCTTGTTCGTCTGCAGGAGAAGGAGAAGACTATTGACCGTAAGGAGGGTGAGGGGGTTGTTGAGGCTAAGAAGATTGAGAAGTATGGAGTTCCTTGTTTATTACCAGCATTGGGAATGGGGAATGTATGCATGCTAATACTTTTTTTAGGGAGCGCTCTGCTGCTCGGATACAGCTCATCTCTGATGTTTGCGATCTTGCTGCGCCTTTGTCTGCTGTTGGTATTCTTAACCTTGACGATGGCATCGTCGGTATCACAGGTACCATTAGCAGTTTGATCGGTGTTTGGTCCCAGTGGCGCAAGACCGCCGGACCTGCCTAAGCGGTGTATAGTTGGTCTGTGATAAAGCGGGAGATTGGTGACCCTGTACTTGGGTGATTTTGGGGCCCTCCCTGCCTAGCTACTGGCTTGGGAAAGGGAAGAGCGAAACGAGGAGGTATTCTTATTGCGCACTCTATATCCTGATGATTGTTTCTTGTGGACAGTCTTATATATTTTTATTCTCTAGGAAATGTCTTAACGTCGTTTCTTTTGTTTTCGTACATAACAATCGCACTTGGTTTCGGACAGATTTGAGTTCATTCTCGTCATCACATCATTGCTATGAACATATTGATCTCCAAGCCTGGCCCTGGCTTATCCTTATCTCACTACACCACAAGCAGCCCCAACTCCGATACCCTTCATCCCAAACGCTCGAGTACACTGGCCGATTCAGTAGGGATGCTTAAACAGGGCAGGTCTGGTATGGTTAGTATAAGTTTGCACAGAAGCACCACAGAGTCAACATACAGCACCACAGGCACCACAGCTCTTGCCAGCGCCATCAGCGGCGGCACCGCACTTGGGGCAGGCAGCGTGTCCGTTCATTGTTGATAGACGAAGTAGATCTGACAAAACCGTTAGCAACCACCAAGGTCCTCTTGAGACACCCAAAGAAGACACAGCCCTTACATACCTAAGTAATTTGCTTAAAAAAGTAATATTTGGAAATGTGGGAGAAAGGAAGTCAACCACTTGGGCAGCGAAAATTGCTGACTTTTCTACCCCGCCTGACTGGTGCCCCGCTCAGAGTCATTTGTTTAGCACATGATTTGATGTGAAGTGTTACACATATATATGTACATATACGGAGTATAGATAGGCTAGCGGCAAAAGGAAATCTCTAATAGTGATCTGGAAGAATAACCAACCTCGCATCGGTGCATTTCGTTCCATAACTCTAAGAATCTACCGATGCGGGGTGACCAACAAGCAATAGGATCTATAGCGCATATCAAAACTTGAGATTTGCGCCCTTGACGAAAGGAAATCTGGGAGTAAATCTCATGGTCAGACATGGGCATCAAGTCCATGCCATCGATATAAGATTCTGACAGAATAGCGCAAGACTACATACATATATCGGTTTAAACCACGATATATCCCTTATCGACTAGCTGCTCCGCGGCGAAACTGGAATGATCCTAATGCATGAGCGCAACGAAAGAATCCAGAACTTGTGGTCTGTATTCCTGATAGCTACATCATACACTCTGTTAACCAGACGATAACAGCGCCGGAATGGTTTGTATAGATTGTTCCAAGGGACACGAGTCGACTAGTGAGCCAGCGGTATCCCTTCTACGGTGCTGGTGAACGGACTATCAAGGAGAATATAATCCGTTGGGACTTTTTAACAATCCATAGTTAGACTCTTTTCTTCAGCTCTCTGGTCACATCATCATTGCCAGGCTTGCTCCCAAGCATATGAAAGGGCCGAAGAGCAATCGGGTATCCTTGCACCACTCTAATGCGGTAAACTGGCTTATCCCCCGAAGCTTTAATTGTTTCAGTGAAAAGCTTCCCGTCGGTACTCAGTTTATTGTCACCATGAGCCCTATGTCAAGCTTGCAGTCGTCCTTCGAGTGATAGTGAGACTCAACGTCGGCGTAAAGCAGTCTTCGCTCTTTACGTGTGGACACGAAAGAGGAGATTGGCCCATTTCGCCTAATTCTGCGGGCTAAATCTAACCTATATAATAACCTATTATCTACTGACTCATTTCAGATTTTGGGCCATAGGTTCAGGTATCAAAGAAGTAGAGAATATATGGACACATGGCTCACTGTCTATTAATTAGGTCATGGTTTAGAAAAATAGACTTGTATTTTGATCAAGTAATACAAGCGAAGGGATATATAAAAATAAGAAGAGCAAGGAGCGGAAGACGTAGTAAAGCAGGAAAGGAGAATAAGAAGGATAGCTAGATGGCGAGGAAAGAACGACCAGCGAAGAAGAGGAAGAAGACGTAAGAAGGAAGGCTAGAGGCCGAATGCGGCGACAAAATCATTTAACATCTATCTTATCATCTATCCTAGGGTTATGGTCGAAGGTTAGATCAGACTCCCCTGATCCTTGTTGTGTCCGGCGAGATGTGCGTTTGGAGGAGGCGGGTGACATTGAGGCCGCTTTCTTCATCAGGTATACTAGCAGACTAAGGACTTGTTCGAACCCATTTCCAACGACACCGACTAGTTTAAACGGCTACTAGCAAACATTAGAATCGAAGTCACTGACACCATTTAGATACACTTACCCGAGACTCATTGTCGAGCTTCGTAAACGCCAAGTTCATAGCATCGCTGGAGATGCCGTAGACGGTGGTGTCTGTCTTGCCAACATCTTTGCGCTGCTTGTGGACGCACCCTTTTGACAGGTCAGCCTAACCCGTCGGGTGCCAGAAGCATTCAAGGCTTCCGTATTCCTGTACAGTGGGGCCTTTTTGGTATGCACTGCCTGTAGAATTTCGTCCCCAGGGTTCCATTGTTCCAGCAACACCTTGTCAGCCATGGATTGTGCCTTGCCTTCTCTTTTGGCTTTTCCTATAGAAGAAAAATGAGTGACTGACGGAAGAATGGGAAATATCGTTTGTTATACTTGTTCCATAATGGGTTCCCCGACGATATTCGAGCGAATCTGACCAGGAGCTTCTCAGCCGAGTCTTCACCACAGCCTTTTTGCAATCTTCTCAGAGCTTCTCAACGTGATGAGAACATTGGCTATTCTCCGTCCCATCGCTCTGCGATATGTCGTTGGCACTCTTTCCTGCCAGACGTCGTCGGCGACGGACGCTGGACGGTCCATAATATGGAAAGCTGTCTGGCCGCTTTGGTGAGTAATTAGCAGATAACCCAACGCATGTGTTATTAAAAAAGAAAAACCTACTTTGCCCTGGTTGCAATTGATCAGCACAGCCTGGTTCGAAGGTCGCCCAACGACGTAGGGGTCCGACGTATTTGATATCGTGAATAGCATCCGACTGCGTACAGTTCGGTCCAACACTGATATCAGACAGTGGCCGTTGCAGTAGATCAGCGCTGGTAACGGGCATAGACATTTTGGCTTTACTTGGTGAAATCAAGTCCGCGGGGGAGCTCGGTGTTGATGTTTCCGAAAACACAAAAGAACTCAATCGACTTTCAATCGCTTCCAGTCAGTAAGTCCGGCTTGCTCGCAATAGATTCGAGCTTTTCGGTTTGACACGCAATGGATTGCGTGCCCATCTTCGAGATCGACCTCCACACAAAAGGAAGAAATACCCCTGTCGCCCAGGCAAGAGTTTTATTCATCTCTCAACCGTCGCCAAACCACGAAGACGTAAATTGATTCAAAATGGTGGAGATTCTGACCGGGTTTATGACAGAGTTCGTGACCCGGTTTGTCCCCAGTACAGGTGATTTCGAATCGAAGCATCGGCTCCCTGAGGGGCTCGAGATTGGCCATTGTTGTCACCAGGTCTGATTCGGTAAACCGTTTTCCCGGACGGCGGTCCCTTGATGCGAGCTACCCTCTGGCTTAATAGCTCATGTGAACAAGAAAGGCCTCCATAAGCCTATCATCAAGGATCAACTCAGAAATGCCAGATAGGGTAGCGGCTCAAAAGGCCACAAAACATGTTTGGAGGCGAGGTAAACGTCTTCGTCCGACAGCTCGGTCCGGTTGGGGGGTTCGACCCAAGCTGGGTGATTAGACGAATGGACGCAAAGGGGCGCCTTGATCATTGTGTAGGCAGATGGATTTGCCTTGACCTCCTCTGGTGGGTTCGCGGTGTCTTCTAAGCTATCAATATCCCATGTGGGACGGTTGTCGATGCCGATGTCTATGTCCTCCCACTTTTCGTTCTCGTGGGCTAGTTTAACCCGGGAATCAGCGTTGTATTTGGCCACGATCTCAGTATAATTGGCTTCGTCGGTATTCACCAGTGACTATCTTAACGATTTGGTGTTCGGGTTGGAAAACGTTCGTCCTCTTGGTTACGGTCTGGCCCTTGTTAGGCTTCATAACAAACATGGCCACCTGGATCTCATTGGCTATAAAAAGGCCTTCTCAACGGGCCATAAAATGCAATATCACACCCGAACCTTTGGGGTTTTCTTGCCATTACTTCCACGTCAAATGTCAAAGACCTCTCTAGGCTCAAGCTCCGCTGGCCTGGCCTGTGGCGTCTCGGTCGAAGGGACAATGTCCTCCACAGTCTTTACAGGAGGCTCCCGCAGAGACTAGAGAGCAGCCTGTGCAAGTGCTTTGGGAACAGTCCCAGCATGCTTCGACAGTAGGCTCATTACTTGGGCGCTCAGGTAGTAAATCGACATCGCGATGAACTGGGCCGGAGTGGCACGAACACCTTGAAATTTATGAATCCTCACACATGCACTCAACCCCCTAGTATAAGAAATATTCCGAGAGATACATGTCGATTCTTGCTTTAACGGCCATTTCAGAGCTCCCTGGGTGGGGTGAAATGAGTTGCCACAAAATGTGGAAGGGATGTATTGAGGATAGTATCATAATCTCGTCGGGGACTGTATGTTGAACGCATCACAACCGCCGGGGGAATGGATATCGAGGTGGCCGTAATGCTGACCAAATTCCCATGTAGGTGTGGTCCGTACTTCTGAGCTTGACGGGTTTCACAAGTCAGCCATGTCTGTTCCATTCCGAGTCCTCTGAAGAGGCTGACAAGGTGGTGTGGAGGCTCTAACGACGGATATCAGTACTTAGTACTTTGAATTGAAAATGAGGCGAGGATGAAGCTCACTCGGAGGGGAAATATCATAAGAAATCGATCGTTTGACGGAGATGAGGAAAGAGCGGCCCTTTGTGTTTTCCCATCTGCCTCATCAGCGCTTTTCCATTCGCGCCTTCCTTGCTAATACTGTGACTCCGCTGGTAGTGGCAATTGCAGCGGTGGTCTCCTGGCATCAGCACAAGAAATAAACGTGTAGTTGATGGCGCAAACAATCCACTACCCATATTAAGACTGGAATGATATCTAGAAGGATAAGAATTAGCATCGAAATATAGTATATAGACCACGAAAAAGGTGTAATATGTGCAAGCCGACCTTTCCATATATGAATTTGATGATTCTTCAGAATATGGGTTTCCTTTCTATAAATATAGCATATCAAACAAAAGTAACCCTTTCGGGTAGACAAACAATCTATTCTGCACAGTTCGCTAACATTGATTACTTTACCACTACCTCTCGAGGTCGCTTGCATCTTTGTTATTTCTCACCTCCCATTTATCTCTCTCAGTTCCGGTGTCCACAGGGAGTATATACTACCATCGATATTAGGCGGCTTCAAGGCTCGGAAATTACCTCAATCTTCCACATTAATTTCAACTGATTAACAGCATCATCATACATCCTGTCGCGCGCTTCATTCCCCCTCCAAAAAGAGGGCTTCTTATCAAACCCATGAACAACATCCTCAACCACAAACCCGCCTACACCTGCCATCTTCCCTTCTTCAGCAAACCCACCAAGCCTTTCCCGGAACGTATTCCCCTCAACAAGTAACTGATCCCACCCACAAGTATAAACCGCCACAATAGGCGGATATGTCTCCTGCAACAGAGACGCAGGCGCCAAACCCGGCGAAAGATAAGGATGCGACATATCCACCCGATCCGTACCGGGCCGTTTCGGTAGGCTAGCAGGGAGAAGGTAGGAATCGTCGAAGAACTTGAATAAAGAAGGCGAGATAATGGATTTCTGCGGAGCAATAGGATTCGTAGCATCACGCTCTACCCGCGTTCGTGTCCAGTCCGTGCTGGGATAGAATACTACCAAGCCGGCCAACGCCATCTCCCCGCGTAACGACGCCCAGCGCTTTTTCTGTAGTTCCTCATGTAGTCGGAATGGTAGTGCTAGAGCGATATTCCCGCCTGCGCTGGCTCCGCTGAGTGTGAAGCGCGTTTTGTCGAAATTGTACTTCTGTGCTTCTTGCCATAGCCATAGTACGGCGTCGACGCCGTCCTCCAGCGGGACGGGGAAGGGTCGTTCTGGAGCTAGGCGGTAGTTAACGCTTACGATCACGGCATCGGGGTAGGCTTTTAGTACAGTTCCTGCCCACCGGGAATCGTCGCGTGCGTGGCCGATTGAGAAGCCGCCGCCGTGGAAGTTAATGAGTACGGGGCGGGGCGGTAATTTTTGCGTTTGCTTGCGGGGACAGAGGGGCTTTGAGGGTGCAGTGAAGAAGTAGAGTTGGATTGATCCTGGGGTTTTGCTGACTTTTGAGGGAATGGCGATTTCGACGCTTGGTCGTGGGGGGAGTGGCCAGGAGATGTATCGGTCTAGTAGGGAGCGGAGGTTTAAGAGTATACGGTATCGGTGGGCCTTGCTGCTGAGGGTGGAGCGGGACGGAGGGGGTGAGGTGTATGCCATATTATACAGCGATGAATTATTTCTTTCAGAAAAGTAGAAATGGCCGAACAATTGATGATATGTGATGTTTATGTGGACGAATGATGTAACTTGTTAGTCACTGGACCTGCATGATCCCTCCTGAATGTTACCCGACAGGTAAAGAATGGGGGTTGTGTAACGCATAAGTCGACTGTTGATATGAAAAGCGAACTATTGTAGTAGTGTGTTAATATCCCCCGAATGGTGATCCATGGATGTATGACGCTTAGACAGATCGCCGCCGTCTGGCCAATTTGGGCAGGTGGAGCCATGAAAGTATAACTTAATTTAACTATCTATACAATCCATAATAGGTAACAACTTTGGATTTTATGAATACCAGGCGTCGTACTAAATTCCAAATGATTCTGTCATATATGCAAATTCATTTGCGCATGCAATCTGCAGAATACACGCCTCTTATTGCTGTTTCGTCTTCACCGGTCCATCTTCTCGCGTTTGCTCCGCGCTAGTCCTTTTATATATGTACTAGCTTTTTTGTCCTAGCTGGAAAAGAAGACATTTTCCAGTGTCGAAGTGACATCCTCCCCTTTCTCAGGTCATCCACTTTACCACTGCACCATATACATATATTTACGTAGGGCTATGACTCTTACATATTACAGATACCCACAGCAAGTAGGTATATTCGTATACTATACACTTAGAATGTCTTAACTTAAAGTTTCGTCACTGTCATGGCCTTATTGTCATCTCCATAGTTAAGCTGCCCTCGCGGTACGCTAAATAGGAGCTGTTGTGCCCAGCGGAGTCTCGCACGACTTTGACGCTGGCCCGTGACACGCTGTCCGGTTTACCTTTCTCACGTTCTCTTGAGCCTCCTAGCACAAAGGACTGGGATTTTGCATAAAAGAGAAGTGAAAGCAGATGAAGGATATACTACAAGCAGGGAGATATATACTTTGTCGGTAGCTGAGGTTGTGCAACAAAAAACTAGGCCTAATCCGTCACCGAGATTATTGACCGCTCACTCCTGGCCAAATCTTCAAAGAGGCACAGGTACCAATTCACAGCGCGCAATTACATTACCCGTCTTGCTATCATTATTTGCCAATATGGACCCTCACCCTGCTAGAATAATTATTTATGCCTGTGTAACCGACATAGATGGTTGCCCCCAAAGGCGCCATGTCAAAATCGGGGAAGATTGTGCAACTATGTTAAATCGTGGCTTCAATCCTACTCTTCACCCAGCGGGCTACGACCACGTCCATATCCCCGCTGACTTCGACTCACAAAAGCCTCTAAAACGATGGTTCATTCTTGATTTGGATGTCGTTCAAACACTTAACCAGGAAGATGTGCTCCAACTTCCTCACCAGGTGTACCTTGCGAGTCTGCAGAATGGCAAATCGTGAGATACCCAGTCTAATTACCCGGATTGGCAACAGATTCTGATCCAACAGAGCCTTCATTCTACGCAAACAATGGGCTGAAAAAGCAAAGGACAGAGCTGTTTCGTATACTTGGGGTGGTAAACAGGAGCAAAGGATTGTTGAAAGTATACGGAAGGAGATCCATGATGAGACGGAATAATTAGTACATATGTAGGTAGCACCTCATCCATCATCGCAATGTACTTCGCTTGGAATATTGTGGGGCTATTGGTCTCCACACCCGAGCCGCATCGAGTAGGTCGGACTCCGAGCTTCAAAATAAAGAAGGGGCCATCTGCTCACTTGTAGGTTTCCAATTCAAATTCCTATCGCATCAGAAAAGGGATACAAATCATTTCACCCTTCCTTCATATTTCCAAAATGTCCTCCCCTCTCCCAATCGTGCTCTGTGCCCAAGACGCTGGGATCGGTAAGCCGGCTTCGGAGCTCCTCCTCCCCGAATTTGAAGGTCAGTAACACATACATTATTCTTTATTGCGATATAATCCGAATTATCTCAGAGCAGCTCAATTAATTCTCACTAGTAATCCATTTCATCCAAAGCCTGCCAGCGGCACAATCCGAAATTCCCCACCTCCTCGCAGGCCGGGATCCCCAATCCCCTCACGTCAACAACGTCGGCACAAAAGACTACAGCCGGCCTGCGCGTGCAATTATTTTCGGTCGTGGCTTTGATCTGGAGGATATCGAGGCCTTGCGCGAGAATGTCGCTGGCATCTCGCAAGACCCGGTTCTTTGGATCGCTGGTGACCCAAGTCGCAAGCCTCCTCCTGACGCTGTTCTACCACCTAACATCCACCAACTTGTTGCTGGTATTGCGCGGAAATTGCTTAGTGGATGGGTTGAGGCTGGAGCTGCTAGTAATGAGGTTATTTTGTACTAGAGATTTTGGCTCTTTTCTGGTGATATTTCTATTATATATGAACGCAAACAGGGCAACTTGAGAGCGAGATACCACTAGAACCTGTCTATATCAAATCGTGGTATTCACTGTCTGATTCTGTATATTAGACAATCCTCAACAGTTACCCGAATAAAATGGGACATCATCATACTTAATTTTGGCACTAGCAAATTCACGAGGGCCGGGAAGGAGGGAGGGCCGGGCCGCCTACCAAGCACACTGGGAATTCCAACGTTATTGCCGGCGTCATTCCTCTCAATCCACTTCTATGTACCTACTGTATTAAATCATGAATAGTTGGATGCTAGATGTACCCAACTTTGGTCATAATTTAGTTGGTATGAGACAACAGAGCAAAGGAAATATATATTATACCACTGTTGTCCAAACCTGAGTGTATACCGAATATTGAATACATTGAGATCGTACTCGGCTTTCTCATGGATATATCCAGACTTAATGAATGGAGCCCGTTGAATCCGCCTAGCTACACATCTAGCTTTTCAAAGTGGTGCGACTAAAGGGAAGGAGCTGGCACCTTTGAGCTAGAGCCATAGGATGAACAGCGACCATCAATTAGTGCGAAGTACAATGTCGCTTCCAAATCCGAAGAAATGTAGAATCAGCGTCCGTTTGGGACGAGCGAATTAGCGTACATATTACTAGGGGCAACCGCACATGCAATGATTCTTACCTTCCTAATTGACCATCGCCGACAGATTCATTGCCAATCCTGTCAAGTCCGGGACACGCTAGGACGTGGCATCTGTAGATCCACTGTCAAGGCAGACTAAATTGCAATCCAAAATACGTCATTTGATGAAAAGTGCCGAGTGAGGTCACGGTCTAATGCTCTGTGCCGTTTTACTGGTGGCTCATTAAACTATACCCCGCATCCGCAGTTCGAGCTAGGATGCGACCACGCGACAATTTCCCCAGATAAAAGCCAAGACGCCAAGCAGTGCGCGTCGACCGAAACGTAGAAAGGTTGGAGCGATACTGCCCAATGCGACAAGTCATGGGATCAGGAATGAGACTAAGTAAACTGGTATAGTTTTATAAGTGGTCTTATATTGTGAATTTATTTTTGTACTCAGTAAAATGAAGTAATGATATCAACAATAACGTGCAGCTGCTAGGATCAGTCTCGGGGAAAATAGGAAACAAATCGATCTTCGACCCCCTTCAAATCGGTCCAGGCCGTTTTCAAACAGCCGGCGCTGGTTGGGCAGAGATTTTAGATAAGTAGACTCGAATGAAAGACAAGAGACATATCACAACGGGTAAATTAGGAAGCTAAGTTTCAGAAATGATTGGCTGTGATTAATATCAAGGGCCGAGAATCTACTAGTTACGCTGGTGAATGTTGATCCGGATAACGGACACAAAGAAGAAAATGCGACGGGTGTGGACGAAAAGGGACAAAGCGCCATACCCGGAATGTTGTGAATAGACTCAATAATTGAAGGTCACGGGTCATGCTTAGCTTCTATGTCAAGACATCTTCCGTTTTGCGGAGGATTCAAAGGGAAACCCCCTTTCTCCACCAGCCCTTACTCCTTCAGGGTGAACAAAAAAGCCTCAAATCCACGACATAGTTCTAGCCAGCTGGAATTCGTGTCACACGCAAGGCAGGAAAAATTAAAATGATCAGCAGGGTTAGAAAAAAGAGAAGTCAGTGTGTACGTAAGATGCTGAAACAAATCGCGCAAAAATAACTAATTGTTTCACGAAGAATGGCTCCGGGTGGAATGTGACAAAAAAAAAAAAAGCAAAAGCTCGCGTTCCCGAGGCCGTAGCCGGTTCGGGATCCGCCGCTAACCACGGGGAGAAGGATCTGGGGTTGACTGCATTGCACAAGCCACAGTAGATACATCCCGAGAGGCGACGGCGACGGCGATGGTGGCCGATAGAAACTCATACCGTCATGGCAGACCGCTCTGTGCGATGGTTATTTTGGAGTCATAGGAGTCATACTTCAAAGTCCTGTGGTCCAGGCCATGGCTTTCGGCGTTGAGACGTAATATGCATGGATTTCTTTCTTAGGGCTTGGATTTGGATGGACCAGGTACCGGAGCCTGGCGTTGATCTTATTGCACAACCACAACGAGCAATTATCGTCGCCCAGTGATAACCCAGTAAAATTTAAGGAGGACCCAGCGGCAATATCTTCTGCCCACCCGACCATCTTAGGAGGTCGAAATGTATGCATTCTGATTGGTCCCCACCGCCGCCATCAATGGATGCATGTGCATCATCCTCGGCTGGTTAAACGCCGTTATTTGCTGAATCCCTGCTCCCAGACCAAGTTGTTCCGATTTTACAGCCGAACCTGTCGTCATTCTGGAGTTCAAAGAAACAACTTCCATTTTTGTACTTTTCCCACAGGCAATACATTCCGATATCAATTCGGGTTGATGCAAGCCGAAAACAGAATTGAGAGGTGGAATCTGTGAATTTGTGAAGGGGTCGTTGATCGACGAGATTATGTCAGCTCCCCGCGATTCTGGTTCTGGGGCTAGACTATGAAATTTTGAGAACTATATAGATTTGGTGAAGTCATTGTGCGTCATTCCTGTCGTCCGTGGCTGATGGATTCCTAAATTTTTGAGAAAAATAAACTCATTTCTACAAGATTCAAGACTGATTCACAGATGATTGACGAAATAGTAAAGTTAAGGTAGCTGGCCGCAACCGTCAAAATAGCATAAAAGAACCCAAGAACTGGACTCATCAACTTCCCCTTGTAAACTACTCAAAAAGCAATGAGTTATTTTTGATTCTAGAACTCCTATTTGTTCCCGCTATTCGCCTGCTCGGTCATAGAGTCCCTCGTTCCGAATCAAGTTCGTGTCCATTTGAACCGTTCGGGTCAAGTCGGACTGCGCCTTCAGGCATTTGCAACCCACAGCCCTTCATCCCATCACCAACCGCGTGTTCGCTTCAGCTCGGCGTTCAGCCCCGACATCACCCGTGGAACTGTGGAGAAACACTACCGAAACTGCACGAGAACCTCCTTCATACCAAGACCGATCGTAACCATGGCCTCTGCCGGAAAGGATTATATACCCCTCGGCCGCTCCGATTCTCCTGGTCCTCTGGCTTCAGATTTCTCTCAACAACAAGTCGCGAAACAACGCAACAATAACTATCACTCTACTTCGCTCAGAAATATGGTTGCCACATCTGTGAATCGCACTGCGCTGCACCCTGGTGGTGTCCAGTATGTTGCCTTCCTACCTCACTGTCCTTACCTTCTCGTCGCTAACTATCTTTACTTAGGCCTGGCAAGGGTCACACCGAGCTTGAGGAGGAGCTTCACGAGACTGCTCACATTGACTATGACCGTGTTTCCATTGTAAGACCTCGACACCCTTACGCTTGACATTTGACTACAATGTCTGTGGTGTTTTGCTATCTTGATTCATTAACTAACATGACTTAGATTGCCAACCCCTCTGTTCCTGCCCTTTACGAAGATGCTCTTGTCTACGAGACTGGTACTGCTGTCACCTCCAGCGGTGCTTTGAGCGCATACTCCGGTGCTAAGACTGGTCGTTCCCCCTCCGACAAGCGTATTGTCCAGGAGGCTTCCTCAGAAGGCGATGTCTGGTGGGGACCCGTAAATAAGCCCATGACACTTGATGTGAGTCACTTTTTCTTGCTCTTCTATGCGCGATTTTGCTGGATATTCCATTGTCGATGTTGGAGCACACCCTTGCAGATGGGCCCGATGAGAGATCCACTTGGGATCCCTTGCATATGCATCGGGAGGTCAAGCTTTTCGGCGGAACTTCGTGCAACCTTTTGGAATGCCGTTTCTGCCGGATAATACCTCATCACCTTTCATCTTGACAATATTTCCTTTTGCCCGTTTTTTGATCTCCTTTGCCCCCCAATTTGCCCCTCGGCTTTCAGTTGCGGCTCCACAATTCCCCGCCCTTGGTCCGAGGCCATCACGTGCATGACGTCAATCATAAGGCTGGTGACTAACATATTCCCCACAGGTCTGGCGTATCAACCGTGAGCGTGCTGTCGACTACCTGAACACCCGTAACCGCATCTATGTCGTCGATGGTTACGCCGGCTGGGATGAGCGCTACCGCATCAGCGTTCGCGTTGTCTGCGCTCGCGCCTACCACGCTCTCTTCATGCGCAACATGCTGATCCGCCCCAAGCGTGAGGAACTCGACCACTTCCACCCCGACTATGTCATCTACAACGCTGGCTCTTTCCCCGCCAACCGCTTCACTGAGGGTATGACCTCCGCCACCTCCGTTGCCATCAACTTCGCCGACAAGGAGATGGTCATCCTTGGTACCGAGTATGCTGGTGAGATGAAGAAGGGTGTCTTCACCGTTCTCTACTACGAGATGCCTGTCAAGCACAACGTCCTGACTCTTCACTCCTCTGCCAACGAGGGTGAGAACGGTGATGTCACCGTCTTCTTCGGTCTGTCCGGTACGGGCAAGACCACCTTGTCCGCTGACCCCAAGCGCAAGCTGATTGGTGACGACGAGCACTGCTGGACCGACACCGGTGTCTTCAACATTGAGGGTGGTTGCTACGCCAAGTGCATTGGTCTCTCCGCCGAGAAGGAGCCCGATATTTTCAACGCCATCCGCTTCGGCTCCGTCCTCGAGAACACCGTTTTCGACCCCATCTCCCGTGTTGTTGACTACGACGATGCCACCCTTACCGAGAACACCCGTTGCGCCTACCCCATTGAGTACATTGACAATGCCAAGATCCCCTGCCTCAGCGACAACCACCCCAGCAACATCATTCTGCTCACCTGTGATGCCCGCGGTGTCCTGCCCCCCATCTCCAAGCTCACCCCCGAGCAAACCATGTTCCACTTCATCTCCGGTTACACCTCTAAGATGGCTGGTACCGAGGACGGTGTCACTGAGCCCCAGGCTACCTTCTCTTCTTGCTTCGCTCAGCCCTTCTTGGCTCTTCACCCCATGCGCTACGCCCACATGTTGGCCGAGAAGATCAAGCAGCACAAGGTCAACGCCTGGCTCCTGAACACCGGCTGGGTTGGCGCCGGCGCTACCACTGGCGGCAAGCGTTGCCCTCTCAAGTACACCCGTGCTATCCTGGACTCCATCCACAACGGCGAGCTCGCCAAGGCCGAGTACGAGACCTACGCTACCTTCAACCTGCCCGTCCCCACCTCCTGCCCCGGTGTCCCCAGCGAGCTCCTCAACCCCGAGAAGAGCTGGACCGCCTCCACCTCCTTCAAGGATGAGGTCACCAAGCTTGCTGTCCTCTTCAACGAGAACTTCAAGAAGTACTCTGACGAGGCTACCCCCGATGTCCTCGCTGCTGCCCCCCAGGTTTAGAGGGTTCGAGCGATGGTTAAAAATTTCTTTTTCTCCTTGTTTCTTGTTCTCCCAAACAGGATGAATAAGTCATTTGCATGGCGTGCTGCATTTTTTTGGTGATGATCGTTGGATCCTCTCGCCAACGTCTGCCGCTTGTATCGGGACAAGCGATGGATATCTTATTGATTTCCCCCCGATTTGGGTTGTGCTTTTTTTGATCTTTCGCCATCTATCTTGACTGGCTGAACGGAGTTATGCAGTGATATTAATGAAGAATTTCTTACATGATAGTGAATGCAATTATACCTTATTTCAAAATTACCTTATTCTTGTAATCTAATAGTTGCTCTTTGTAACGGTCTTGTTAACAATCCTAGCCCGGGAATGTCTGTTCTCTGTTAGAGACCATCACTAATGGCTAGGATACGGCTGGAGATCCTGTGTCATGAACAGCTTTCACTAGCCATGAGGCTAATACTCCTTTGAAGTTTATCTGGTGATTGGACTCTATACTACGTGGTGATGTATCTCGAGTGGAGGGAGACCTTCGTCAAGAATACATTTTGTGCTGTTCAAGTTACCATCAATAGGCAAATTGTTAGGTTAGAAATTGATTGAATCATGCTGATGATAAGTGACATGAAGATGGAAAGCTAGTGGCTGAAGCGTTGACAGGACATCACGAGGTTAGATATGAAAGTGCGTGATATAAGTCGTCACAGCTAATTCTTTATATCCAGGTAGCTACAGCACCAATAAAGGGTAAGAAAATCAGATATCTAGGGAATAACTAAGAGTCTATCTTGGAGACTAGTAATAAACTACTAAGAATGCTATAAGGAGTTTAGGTTGAGGTTTTAATGAGAAGCGAGGCTCAAGTGAAGAAGGCCATAGGAAACTCACGATCCCACTAACAAGACTAGGTGAATATGTTTCACTGGGTAAAAATGCATCATGCAAAATAGATACAAAACATACCACAAAGAAACGCAAGTGAATGACTTCATCTTCTGATTACTTCTCATTCACAAAGGCTACTTTGTTGACAAAACGAAGTGTTTTATACGCAGACCTCCAAGTCTCCTATTTTCATTCCTATATATAATTTACTTTTCAAGGGTAATATAAATGACGTTCGTGAGCAATATATAATTATCATCTGGCATCCTATTTACTATGTCATGGACCATTTTTACCTTACTGTCGCTAGCTTGTCCAGTTATTACGGGGTACACTTCCCTCTATTACCCTTAACGGTGCCTTTCCAAGGTTATTCCCATTGACTTCCTGGACACCTCATTGGTCTTTCCGGTCCAGCAGAGGAGGAAAGAGCCCAGCTACAATGAGGAGGATCCCTCTTTTATGACTAGCTGAATGAGCCCGGTAGATATCGCAGGCTAAACGAGAAGTTTCGAACAAGAGGTTCTCTATCAACATTGAAAGGCCTAATCAGAATTGAAGGCTGACAATATACAGATACTTCGAGCATTATCAAGGCTGATAAACCACGGATGTGTGGTTTATGCGAAAGGTCTCAAAGCAAAAATACACGCATAGCCATAAGTCAATCCATGGAGGCATACATAAAGATCGGTCTTAGATAAGATCACATGGCTCACTTGGGCAGTTGCCAAACAAACGCGTTTAGGTTTGCTTGTCGATGTTGTTGTCGCGATCCTCGATCATATTAACTCTCCTCCTTCTCATTTCTATTTACACAGATGACCTTTGTTCCTTCTTCCTTGCAACTCCAAGCGCATCATCCACGATGGACTCAGCAAGAGAACAACCATCTCCTAGGTAATGACTTCCCTTTGTCTCCTTCCCTCATTCAAGCGCTGATGAGATCATCTACATGGAAAGCCCGATGAAGGCCGTTGTGGGCAAAAACAAGATCATCGTTTACGTCCATCCCAGTGCTCTGATGCAAGGCACGTCTGCCTTAACCGCGAGGGTAACTGGGCCATGGAGTAACATCGGACAACAAACATTGGACTGGACAGACTTCGACGAAGAGACCATAGAGTGTGTCCTGAAATTTTGTTATGGTCGGCAATATGACCTCCCATGGCAGTCGCCTCCCACCAAGGACGAATCAACGATAGTGGAGCGAGCAGGATCACATGCCGAACACAGTGAGTCTACCTGAATTTGAAAAGCTCAATTGTCAGCCTACTGATTGCTTCTCTAGATGCCGAGTCTGGTTCCGAACTTGCTAGTTGGAGCTACACGGGTGATGCCATCGTGCTACATGCGAAGGTCTACTTATTCGCTCATCGTTATCTTGTTGATGCTCTCCAACAATACGCCTTGGCTCAAATGAAGAATTGTTTTGGGCCTTTCCTCGAGGAGTACAGTACTTCACCCGCGCAACAATTGTCTGTTTAGCAGATGCGATTCAGATCATCTATAGCAACACCCCCTCCTCCTCACCGGAAAGTAACATGGATCCTGCCCGCAAGGAGTTATGCGATTTCGTTGCCGATTCCCACCAAAGGTTCAGTCGTCATTTTGTTCAGTTCCATGAAGAGACTGGGGACTTTATGGTTGATCTAGCTTGCAACCTCGCGGCTCGGATTACTGTGCTTCAGTCCTCTAATGCTTACCTGGCAACGGAATGCCAGCGGAGAAACGCTGAACTCATTGGGTTGGTGGAACGGTTCTGGAACCAAGGACCCCGGGATTCTTTCTTTTCTATTCCTTATCAGCAGGGTCGTGACTAGTCGGTATGCACCTTGTTACCTGGGGGGTCTTACACAATTTCTATCATTTGGTCAATTTACTTGCTTAACCACACTTTAGGCGTAAAACATAAACCAACAGCCTCTGCTGTCGTTAAGTTACCGTCGCAGAATTTCTAAATCGGCAGTTGAGAATAGCAACGCCTGGATAGGTAGCTATGTAGATACATAGTGGAGTGTGAGAATGAAGATTGAATTGTTGGAGAAATTAGAAGCTGAGCCTATGAGGTCTAACGGTAATTCATGTCTCTAACTCGGGCCTAAGCATGGCTGCAATTTCTACATTCTAGCTCAATGTTGACTCTGGGAATGTGTACGCAGTGTTATTTATGGCCCTACATATCACTAAATTGAGAGGGACCTTCGTGTAACCGATAGGATATTCCTTAACCCATCAGTTGCTGTCCAGTGGGCCTGATGCACATTATATGATGGCGAATTGCACCATTTCGGCGAATCACGCCCGCACGCTGCTTAACATGCTCGACATGTCCCTAGATATTCCATCCGACGTTTACTGCGCCATCCGTACCGGTCCGTCATCCTTTAGCGTATGACACTGGTATAAACCGGGGTCGATAATATGTCGAATCACAAGGAAGCGGGTTTAAAGAAGAGTAAACAATAGGGGGTAGATGAAAAGGGGATATGAGAAGTGAGCTAAAGGAAAGTGAGAGTGTTAAGGGAGATTGGTGAAAGAGAGTGTATGGCAGTAGGTCTACACCACCGAGAGATCACTAAACCGAATATACCAAGGCCGTATAAACAACAATCTGTTGTTACATACTACCTATATAGGTATGAGTCGAATGGAAAGAGGACTGGGTAATGGAGGCGGTATCCCGATTAGGCCGGTTGTCATGGTAGTCCCTGAAAACCTTCGTACCCGCTCCTACAACCCGTCCCCGGCTCCTCAATACAATATCCCCTGTCCAGGAAAGCCACACATAATTCCCGAACTCCTATGCCGGCGGGCCAGTGGGTCCAAATCGAGGTTTGAGGCTGGTGGAGCTCCCGACTTGCCAAAAACCCTTTCCGCGGAGGGAACTAGGAGTGAAGATGCGCTTTGGGTTTGATTGATAGATTGCGCGTGGGAGCTCTTCAAGGTCGAGCTAGGAACGGAGTGGATTCCGCGGGAGATGCTTTAGACAACATTCGGCACTTGGACTTTCATAATTGGCTGGGGTGCAGTGGTAATAGGAAGACGACGTTTATCATCGACGGCGGTTTCCGAGATCAATCTGAGTTCCTTTTTCTCGGAGAAGATGCAAATAACTCAATAGGTTATTGGACATCGGAGCATCGGAGAGGTCCGTGGCTATGCGCATGAGTCGTTCGGTTGGGATTTCGTCTTCGCCGTACTTTGAAGTCCAGGAGTTGGTTTACACCGGCGGCCTCGGACTCTAAGAGAGATGACGATTCAAACATGGACTCCGCGGACCCTAATACATTACCGAACGGTGATATCCGATGCTGAATCTCTCTTGGGCACTGTTCGTAGTTTACTCTCGCATCGCTTTGCTAAACTTCCCGCGCTGCCAATTCAAACACCGAACCCATCAATGATCCCGTCTAGTCCCCGTGGCATATCCAGGACAACTAGTCAGGTGGTTGAATCCCCGAAGGACCATATGACGATATTATCCGGAGAACAGACCTCCGCAGACTCTGACCGACTTGCCCGGTCCTCTTGAAACGACGTTGGAAGTTGACGACTTATATCCGTAATCGTCACAAATGACCAATACCATAGAGAAGATGCAGCACCAGACACGGGGTGAGAATCCACTCTAGAAGCTTACCTGAGATAATTATTGCCGGTCATCGGCGGAAACAAGCCAGAAGCAAGCCCAAACCGGAGGAATTTGCGTGGACTAGCTCTGGCAACCCAACAATAGTAGCGGGAGCCGCAGCTCCACACAAGGGACAGGGGATCCTTTAGAATCTCAATGGATGGGATTGGTCGGTGATCAGGGGATGGTGCAAAAGGGGGCCCACCGGCGTCAGCGAAATGATGCTCGGCCGATTGGACTGCCGTCCGAGTATGCTCGGATCATGGCCCGAGGGAAAGCGGGAGGAAATTACCGTGGAATAGCCGATTAGACTTATCCACCCCGCCGAGATGTTAGTCACGTCTTATTGGGTTCTAGCCACTGTGACTGTGGCAGAGGTCCCAACAATTAGATCATAGTCCGATATACGGCTAATCCGTGCGTTTGCATCGTATATTCGACGTAGAACTGATTCTGTTGGGAGATTGTGCCGGGGATAGATTGAGGCCTGTGCTCTTGAACGGGATATTTATCGGACATTTATTGCAGCATGTGTAGGTACGTAGTATTTTGGTCATTGAGATATGGATATGCCTAGAGAGGTTGTATATGGGCCGGGTACTTGGGTACTTGGGTATATCAGGATGAACGGGATCCCGACAAGTTCTCGTGGGGAATCCCAAAAGGGTTTAGTGCTGGTGGGGATTCCGAGTTTAGCTCGTGGCACTAAGATATCTGCCGCGTTGTAGTTGAAAGGGGACGGAGTGGCAGTCGACAGTCTCTTCTATATTAGACAGTATTAGCAAGTGTTAGACACGGCTCTGGGATATCAAGATATTATAACCCCCTGACCTGGGCATGTGCATATTGTAAATGACAAGTCCGTGGAATGCAGGATCGTCGAGCTATTCCCCGCATTTTGACAAGCTCCATAGCGTGCAGGCGTGTCCACGATTGTGCATTGACAATCGAAATGATGTAAATATCATTGGTCCAACACGTCAGTCCTTGGTGGAGGCCTTTGGCGACCTTCGCTCCATACTGAAATGCCAGGTACTATTCCCGTGTCCCATATTGTCTCCATCTCCATACTGGGCGGGGAACTCACGGCTAGCCTTCGGTTGACGGTCGGTTGAAGGGGAATAATCTCCGGGTTCGGAATGAGATCACGGTTCTATAGATTTGAGATTTCAATATATTAGACAAGCTCAGGCCCCCGTTGTCCCGGTTTGACCCTGTGTAGTTGTAGTTGTACCAGAGTACCAGAGTAGTACTCCTTGAATCTACACACATAACACCCCGCACCTTCTCTGTCTTGTGACTTCTTGTGTCTCCTCTCATATTTTCTCTCTCTTTGATTTCTTTTCTCTGTTCTTCAACCTGTTTAACACCTGCTATCCTGAATCTTTCCCAAGGTTCATATTAACGCAACTACGTCATCGGTGAGTACCCATGGTCCCAGACATCGACAGTCCCCGTGGCTTCTAAACCCGAGAGATCCTGCTAATCTTCTGAAAAGGTTTCTAGTCAGTGCTAGTTTCTTGACTTTCTGCGCGTATACGTCGTGCATCGTATTAACCTGCATTAGGATCTCAATACTTCACCATGGCATCCACTATCAAGGACAGCACCAGCAATGCTGCTGTCTCTGCACAGAACGCGACCAAGTCCGCCATTGAGAATCCTACCGATTTCCTGCACCACCCGTACACTCGCGCCGCCCTGCCCTTCATCAACGGCGGACTGGCCGGTATGACCGCCACGGCCGTGATCCAACCCGTCGACATGGTCAAGGTGCGCCTGCAGCTTGCTGGCGAAGGAGCCCGCACCGGTCCTCGCCCATCCGCTCTCGGAATCACTCGCGATATCGTCGCCTCCGGCAAGGTCCTCGATCTCTACACCGGCTTGTCCGCCGGCATCCTCCGCCAAGCCGTCTACACCACCGCCCGCCTGGGGTTCTTCGAGACATTCATCAAGACACTCAATTCCCGCGCTGAATCCGCAGGTCGAAAAGTAACCTTCGCCGAGCGTGCTGCGGCCGGACTGTCTGCCGGCGGAATCGCGGCCATGATTGGAAACCCAGCCGACTTGGCCCTCGTGCGCATGCAGTCCGACGGTCTCAAGGCCCCCGAGGCTCGCGCTAACTACCGATCCGTCTTTGATGCTCTCGCTCGCATCACCCGCGCCGAGGGCCTCGGTGCCCTGTGGGCTGGTGCTACGCCTACGGTTGTGCGTGCCATGGCCCTCAACATGGGTCAGTTGACTTTCTTCGCTGAGGCCAAGCAGCAGCTTAAGCAGCACACTTCTCTCTCCACTCAGAACCAGACTTTCGCTGCTTCCGGCATTGCCGGGTTCTTTGCTAGTTTCTTGTCTTTGCCTTTCGATTTCATCAAGACCCGTCTTCAGAAGCAACAGAAGGACCCTAAGACTGGCTCGCTTCCTTACAAGGGCTTGTTGGATTGTGCGCGCAAGGTTGCCAAGGAAGAGGGTTGGTTGCGCTTCTACCGTGGCTTCGGAACTTACTACGTTCGGATCGCTCCTCATGCGTTAGTTCCCCCCACTATTTTACCCCGGTTTTTTTCCCCACTGACTCGATCTGCAGAATGGTCACCCTCATCGTGGCTGATTATCTCAACCTCCTCACCAAGTAAACTTGCTTGACCGAGTTTTGAGAGCCTGGATTTTCGAATTTCATTCTTTTACATTGCTCTCCGATTACACATCGCATTGACCCATTGCTCAGTTACGCGATTTAATATTCTCGCCACGTCGCAAAGTCTATTGATAGACACCGTCTGCTATTTTTAACATCCATGGGAAGTGCAGCGCCCGGGGGAATACAGACTATCCACCCCGAGACACCTTATGCTCCGTTTGGTCTGTGTGCATCGCACAAGCCCACCGTCCCTACAACGAGAAATTACACATGGTAGATCTGGTGCCTGGGCATTCGGAAAACATGATACCGGTGAAGGGCCATTCCGACTTGCAATTTCCTTTCCTTTCCCTGGGAAGAGAGATGAAATATGTCGGGGAGAGGATACGCGGTTGGCCGGTCTTTTCCGCGGAAAGCCAGCGACAACAGAACACAACTCATTGTCTTTGTCAAGTCCTTGCTCATTGCCTTCTTTTCTTTTCTTTTTCTTTTGTGTTTTCGGCAAGCGAATACCCCCTTGTCTGGCTCCGGTTCTTTGCCTCTGTCATACTTTACGTCATGGTCTTGGCTAGGTACGTTTGAGGTAGAGTGGATAGATAGCTTACTTGCCTATCTCTTTCTTTCGTTTTTCTTCAATAGTAAAACAGTCTAATATCTCTCTGGTTTATGTAGGCTTGTATTATTAAGGACTATGGATAATGATCTTCTTAGTAAAGGGATAAAGGACTCTTCTCATCATTGCGGCAACCCCTCTGTGTTGGATAATCGTTTTCGGACATGTTGCATAGCTGCAATGACGTGTAACTCGGAGTTCCAGAGGAGATGACGAAGGTCTCTTGGGCCTAGATAGACTTGTGAGTATGGGCTTGTAGTGACCTGCAGCATTGAACTCATTACCAACGTTATTGACATCAGCCTTCCCGGCAATGGTCACTTTCTTTTTGGAAAGCGGCGTTACTCTTAGTATTTTCGTTACCAGTGGAATAACTGCTATGTAGACATAGCCAGCCCATTATTTATGTGAACGTATTCCATTCCAATGGCGAAGCAGAAGGCCTACAGAATAGAAACAACAAATAAGGAAAGACATCTCATCGTGAAAGTGAAACTATCCACTATTGAAACAGACTTCGTAAAAATAGAGGCCCAAAGTGCACTGGCAATACAAGCCAGATGAGAATCACAAAGGGGGGCACCATTAAAAAAATAAAAGACAGTCCACGATCAAGGGTATGCCCCGATACCGGCGCACTTGCATATCCACCACAGAGCAAGAAGACGCCTCGCAAAAAAAAAAAAGAAGAAAAAGATCTCATTCCATCCAATTCCCTTCGAGTTCATATTAGTTCTGATTAGATCTTATCATCGCCAACACGCTTGGACTCAACGGCACCAGGCGGCAGGACATCCTCGAGCGTCTCGCCAGTGCCCTCAAGCTCCTCCTCGACGGGGACAGAGTCCTTAATCTTGAAGAAGACGACAGGAATAGCGACGATGATCGAGCCGCACAACAGACCGAAGTTCGAGGCGTATTCGTTCATGAACGGGATCTTTCGTGAATCCAATGACCACATGACCGCTGCGCCGGCGGATTGCAGACCTTTGTAGAATCCGGCCAAGTTGGCGAGTTTGCGGCCGGAGTTGCCGAGGGCGCCCATGATCCTAGAAGAATATTGTTAGTCGTGAGGTATGGCAGAGAACAACGAGGGAAAGTTACCAGTAGACAATACCCTGCCAAACAGCATCGTACATGCCGTAGAAGAAGTAGAGGAACATAGGACCAACGTAGCCCTTGGTACTCCAATCCCAGCCCTTGAAATCCGTGGTCTTGGGGTCGACATCCTCACGCGTGTACCTTACCTGCCAAGCATACCCACTACCCCAGATAACGACAGTGAGGATGAAAAGGATGACCAAGGCCGCCTTAGCACGGACGGAGCGACGAACACGTTCCATATCAAGAATAGGGCCCATGATAACAGCTGCCACGATCTGAGCAAACCAGTACAGGAATCCATTGAGGGCCTTGGTGCGGGTGTTGAAGTAAGCGCCGTTAATGGCGTTCTGCTGGTACGTGTAGAACCAGTTGGAGGACCAGAACATGGGGAAGAGGAGGATGATCCACGGTTCCGCGCGGATTGTATCCCACAGACCGACGATCTCGGATTTCCACGAGGGGTTCTTCATCAGGATCACGCGCGAGCCGTCGCGACGCACGACTTTCTCTGCATCGCAGAGACACAGGCAAGACAGGCGCCTATGAACATGAGTACGATGAAGGCGATGTAGGTGCCGTCGCCGACGGTTTTGTTCTCCTTGACATTGATGTTTTGGCCCAGGGGGATCTTTCAATTGAGATATTAGTTGTTGTTGATGGAAGCCAATTGGGAATATAGGGCTAGGAAAGGAACCGGGCTGGTCTTACCAAGCTACCAATACAAGCGCCGACGTTGAAAATAGCCCAGAACCAGGCGAAATAGCGGCCCTTCTGTTGCTCGATCGGGTAGGACATCATGATGGTTCCTTGGGCGGCCCAGAGAAGACCTGCGCACACACCGAGCAAGGCGCCGGCGAAAATGTTGAAACCGGGGACATATGCATGTTCGGAGACCAAGAGACTAATGGAGTAAATGCAGTAACCGATTCCGCCGAATGAGAGGGAAAGACGCACGCCGAGACGGTTGACGAATGTTCCGGCGAAGAAACCCACCACGGCGAATGTACTGTACAGCGCGATGTTCTGTTGTTGTTAGAATGTACGACCGAATCGGAGTTTCGGAGTATGAGATGGTGAGAGTGGGGGCAGATAAGAGGAAAACAAAAGTCCCGTGCGAATCGTACCATTTTATCAGCCAAGCTGTGGTCGGCCTTGCCGCCACCGCCCAATCCGCTCAGGGCGTTGAACATGCCTGGGCAGAGGAAGCAGACGAAGGCGACCATGCCCAGCTGGATGCGCGGAGAGGCATACCAGCTCGTTGAGAACTTGCCGATCTTACTGGACTTGTACATCCATCCTGCGGGTCGGGGGATGTCTTCAGGTTCGGCGGAATATTGGGGAGGAGCCTTCCGTTCATCCATTATGAATGAAGGCGGGAGACCGCAGAAGAATAGACGATAAAAGGTGTGGGAATATTAAGAGGTGTGTGGAGAAGAGGGAAGATTAGAAAGGAGACATTGAGATCTTAAAAGCAAAAAAATAAAAGATAGCAAACTTGTACGATGTACCCCCAGAGTAGGCAAGACCAAGTCCAGATTACAAGAGATCAATAGTCAAAATAGTGTATGTTGCAGGGTAGCATTGGGTTTGGTCACGGGCTGAAGCTAGCTTTATGTGGCTGGCCTTAAGAAAGGGACCAGGCTTCGATAGTTATCAGGGCTAGCCATTGGTAAATACAATTAGGGGCTCGTACTTTGCGGGGGTGATAGGGGCGCTATGATAGTAGTGTTACACCCTGATGGCACTGTTTCTCTTAGGCCGGTAGACCTTGTCGCGTGAGACTGGGATGAGATGTAGTATTTGTAGGTCATCAAGGTTACTATGGGGCTTTTTCGGCTAATAGAGTTAAGAGATCTTTTAGAGTCACATCCCGAAAATATTAAAACAAGGAAAACCATTGGGGTTAGGGAAAAGACTATCGTATAAGCGATTATTGGAACGAGGGACGCTAAACTTGAAGCAGCCATATCATACTAGTAGTACGTTTGATTGGTTGATGGATTGATTGGCCCGGGTCCCACAGGCCAATCCGCTGGCTCAACTGCGGGGAAGTGACCAAAAGGGGACTAGCGTGTTCCTTTTTGTTCGGAATTTTAGATTTTAGATAATTGACATCTGTGGTCACCGCATTTAGATCTATAAGATATCTATAAATCTGATGATCTGAGACTCTATCCTACGTAGCACAGATGCAGTAATCTTTGGATCTAGGGAATTTCTTAGAATAAATCTCCGAACATCTACTTGAACCGTTTCATTCTCGGCTTGATGGAAGGGAACTTCATTTAAAAACGCTAGAACGGTATCATGCATATCAATCACTCTCTTGGCTTTCTCCTTCCTCATCCTCGGACCCACTCTCGAATTTGGGTTCGATATCACTGTCACTGTCTTCAGTGTCTTCGCTGCCGTCCTCACTGTCGTCTTTATCCTGCCCTATCTCAGTCTGCACATCTGCAGGTTCCTGCTGAGAACCCGCAGCCTCGTTCTGCCCTTCCTCACTATCCACATCATCATCTTCCACGTTCCCATTCTCCTCTTCATTCTGCTCTTCTTCGTTGTCAGGCTCATCAATTTCCACCTCTTCGTTCGGCTCTTCTTGGGTCTGCCCTTGTTCAATCTCGGCCATTTCATTCTCCACTTCGTTGACCGGCTCCTCAATCTCCGCTTCCCCATTCTCCGCTTCTTCGTTCTCCGCTTCGCTCTCTTCTTCATTGCCCGGTTCCTCAATATCCACCTCTTCGTTCTCTTCTTGTTCATTCTCTCCCTCTTCACTCTCCCCTTCCACATCCTCCGCACCCTCATGCTCAACATCTTGACTCGCCGCATCGTCACCCGATTCATCATCGGATTGAGCGGCTGGAGCAGCCTGACTGAGCGGCTCCATTTTGATACGCTGTGAGGGAGGGTTGGCATCAACATCCATAGCATCATCATCGCTTTCCACGTCACTACCCAAGGTAATGCCGGTACTCCGATCCTTCTGCTTTCTCCCATCCCCTTCAAGGTGATCATCATCTTCTTCGCGCTCCTGGAGCTCTTGAGCTCGGCGAACACGTCGTAGTAGAACAGGATCTGGGCGCAAATCGTCCGCAGTCAGCGGAGTAGAACAAACGGGACATTTGACCACATGCACGCGACGCTGTCCCCGACGAGATGCTGGGGGTGCAATAGTCGTCGGGCTGCGGTTGATCATATCCATAATGGCCTCGCGCTCGAAGCTGTGCGGACATTTGGTGCTCGTCACTGGATCCTGGTAAGGTGTGAGAGTCAATGGGCATTTGAGGGAGATGCGCTCGCGCTCAATGGCAATGTCGTCGTCGGAGCCGGCGGGTGAGACGCCACGGTTCCGGTTGCGTGTACGTGCTGATGCCCCTGATCGCGCATTCCTATCTTCCATGTGCTCGAACCATGTAGATGAGTGGGGCAGTGGCGGGACGTCGTCGCCGGGGAACTTGGAGTCGTGTACCATCCGGTAGAAGCCAATGTAGGAGTTATTGCTGGCATATCTAGGGCATAGTTGTCAGTATCTTGGCCTTCGAGTATAACAGTCACATCCCATACCTCTCTGTCAAAGAAAGCTCGTTCCACTTCTGAACGCCCTCTGCCAACTTATCCTCCAGCTTGCGACTAGGCGGATTCTGTGCATTGCGCTCCCGCATCTCTCTCTCTTGCTCATCCTCATAATCAGCATCGGTAGGATCCTCAGTCTCATCAGCATCATCGCCATTATTGGCTCTCTGTCTTGCCCGCTGCTGACGAGTCTGTCTCACTCCTAAAGCAGCAGCAACAGTCTCACCCTCCTCCCTTTCAATTTGACTCATCGCATCAGTCAACCCCTGGAGCTTTATTTCTGAGTCGACAAGTAGTCGTGTCTTCTCCTCCATCCGCGCTGTAATAGCATCAACTCGAGCCTCTGCCTCAGCAAGCCGCTGGTACTCCTCATTGGCCTCGTCGTCATCGACATTCTCGTCGCCTTGACGCCGGCGCGCTTCCTTTAATTTCTCGTACCGGGTCCTGGCGTCACTAAGGCGCTCGTTTACTTCACCACCTGAGTGTGTGAGTTTCTCGGCGGCATGTTGGAGGTGCGTGCGGAGGTTACGGAGGTGGTGTGATGCGAGGAGGGCGGCGATTTGGCGCTGGCTTTCTGCTGTGAGGGGTGCCTCGGGTGGCTCGTATTCTGGCAGGGGTCTTGCTTCTGAGACTGAGGTGTGGGCAGCGCTTCGTCTGCGCGATTGTGCTGATTGTGGATGGGACTGAGATAGCGTTGAGGGCCGTCGGCTTGGTGTTGCCGACATTGTCGTTGAAGGAAAAACTCTGATTTTGGGGGATCCGGATTACCGGAGGCTTTATGCTTTGCGAGTACAGGGTTCCCAAGCGTTGACAAAGAAAGTCCAAGTAACAAAGCGCATCTCGAAATCCCGACGCGAGACGCGATCACGCTAGTCCCATTTGGGTTACATATATGAGCGATAAGCCTTATCAGTATGGAGTGGGCCTTGACATTGGAAGTATGTCGAGTACACTACTCCGTCGTTCATTTTAGCAAATACTCTCATGTTTATCTCTCCTGCATCGTCTATACCCGTGTTCTGCAGATTTTTGAGGCCCAAGGCTAACCATTACCGGGTACACCTTCCCCATGATCGTCACCCATCATGTCAAAATTCTATATCCTAGCTCCAGAACATCTTTTGCTTTCGTGCTATATCAACATTTTCATTTTGGAGATGTAATCATCGATCGTGATCCATGCCATGCAGGTGTCGTTGGAACTATTGTTTTTGATATTCAAGGATATGATTCTTTGAAATTGCGAATATAAATGGTGAGCGAGGAAGAGTGTAGAGATATGGCAATGAGAGATTCAAGTACATAGTATGCATGATAGCTTATACCTTGTAGAAGCAGTATGCATGGTAGAAGCCTAGCGATATCATCCGTTAGTAGTTAAAAAAAAAAAGCAATGAACACAAAGGGATTCTCACTAGCAGCCTCCTTCTCTTCCTCTGTCATATTTAAAGCACCAGTCGTGCGGTCTCTCACGCCCATCCTCTCACTTAGCGGGCCGAGCTCCGGATGATTCTTCTCATCCTCCCAGATATCCAAAAATGGCTTGCGGTATTGTAGTTCCAGGTTGTAATCTTCGGTCAGGCTGAGTGAAAGGTTAGTTATGTATGGTAAATGCGATGATCGCCGACACTTACGCTCGGAATGCCTCCCATGGGACAACGTATTCGGGGACTTCTTCCACTGCCTCCTTCATAAAGTAACTGTACTTCCACCCGAAAGGCGGCCGGAAGACACCATCCTCGGGGGTTGGACCAGGGAACTGAACGCGGTAGATATCGTTGCCCCATTGAGCCCGCTCATCTTCCTCGACTTCGCCATCCTCGGGGCCTTCCGGTTCAGCAGGTTTGGCAGCCTCGCGCGCCTTGCGCTCCTTGTGGAAGGTAGACACCCGGCTGGTAATGACGTCCGAGTTAGGACAAACGCCAAGGAAACGACCGCCTTTCTTCAAGCAACCCGCCACATTGCTGAGCATTTGACGCGTCTTCTCCTCAGTCTCAAAGGCATAATGAATGGCAAACATAGATGTAACGACGTCAAAGCCGCCACCGCCGTAGCGAGATGCCATGATAGATCCACCGGGGCCGGCATTGGCATCGATACCAACCCGCTGGACGATGTCGATGTCGCCAAGCCACTCGCCAAAGCAGTCTTTCGGGTAGAACTCGGCATGGAAAATCGGCTGGGGCGGTCGACGGCCACGTTGGCCGCGGCCCGAGCGCATCTGATCATACCGACCCCGAGCCTGCTCAATTGAGATATTGGCAGGGTCAAGACCGACATAAAGGTCAACCGCCTGAGGCGCCAGCTGCCACTTGCCAAGATCGCCACCCTTACCACAGCCCAGATCGAGCACAAGAAGCTTTTGATCGGCAGAGGGCGGCGGCCTTGGCTATCATCCGCCCAGTCCTTGCTATCCTCGAATCGCGCAACAAATGTCTCATCGGGAGAGAACTTCTGTATCAGAGAACTTTTCACCCAGTTGTTGAAGCTTCGTAGCCCCTTGATCTTGCTCTCTGTCTTCCGCCACTCACGGCCCCTCTCAGGAACCGCGTTGTAGTGTTGTCGGACCACGTCCGTGACGCCGCGCATCTGAGAGTTACGCATAGCCTCTTCCTGTTCTGCACGCTCACGCTCCTCCTGCTTGCGTCGTAGGGTTTCACGGTCTACGAGACCCTGTCGTGCTCCGCCACCCGGTCTCTTGCGTTGACGCGGTGCATCGGGGGAAGGAGAGCGGCGTGGTTGTAGTGGCGATCGAGAGCGTCGGTCTTCGCGTGGTGGAGCGCCGCCGGGACTGCGGGAGCGGTTGCGTCGCGAGAATACCGACGGCGGAGTTCGGCCTCGTTTCGGAGGGCTTGGTGTCTCTCTTGGAGCCTCTTGCGCTTGGATGCTGCGCTTGATAGTTGATTCGATCCATCTGCCGCACCGTCTCCTTCGATGCTTCTGGGTCTGCCGGCATCTGTTGGAGGGTTGCTGGTATTCGTGCGGACAGGTGAGCGGGGGTGGAGCGCCCAGTAGCTCCATGATGAGCTCCGCCTCCATTGGGATGATCCATGGCGACGTGGGTAGAGTTGTGGACTCGTCAAATAAGTGATTCGGGAGAACAATCGTCGCGAGGATCTGCGAGGAAAGAAGGGAAGGTGTATGTGTAAATTAGAATAATGTCCGAAGAAATGGAGATTTTTAAGTTGGTTTCATAGAAACAATGCCTCCGGAGTTGTGGAAGTCAGAGTTATATCAGAGCAATGGCCAGCTGGGGGTCCGAAGAAAGTCCAATGAGCTCCGGATCTCAGCCAATCAGAGCGATCCAATCCAACCCTAATTCCCATTTACCTGTCTACATTCTCTCGATCAATTCTTAACATTACGGTGTCTAGGTATGAATATGAGATGGATGTATTCTTATCATTGTGAAGTGTCATGTCTCACAATGGCAGTAAATCGAAACTATCTGAAAAAAACCAGCCGCTGAAAGATGCACTTTGACCCTCTTCATAAAACCCGCGCTCCCAATTAATGTAATATTGAACCAGAATGAAGACCAGAATGCAGGATCATTGAGGCAAGACAGCTTTCCGTTTTGGCGACTTGGCCGTCAAAACCTGTCTTACTTGTCGAATTTTCGCCCACCACTCGCGATCTGCTTTCTTTTTCGCATCCGCGTTTTCTTCTTCGCCTGCCGTCTCGGTTGGTGTCCCTACGTCCGTCCGCAATGTATCGGTGGAGGCCATACTGCGGACTCTCCGGCGGTGTTTAACCTTGACGGCCTCGGCGACGACGTGCCACCCAGCGCGTAGTTCCGCCAACTTCTCGTTGGGCCGGCCAGTGCCGCTTTGGGCTACCTTGTCAATCCAGGGACAATACTCCATGTGCTCACCAGCTACATCGAGGGAAGTGTAGACAGTCACGTCTCCATTTTCTTTGGGTTTGTACATCCATAATCCCAGGCGACGGAAACATGCGCCACACCCGGCTAACCCGGCAGCTCCGTCGGAGGCGGTATCCCAGCCGAGCAATGCCAGCGCCAATGCAACTCGATTAACATATTTAGGTGTTTCTGTTGAGTCTTGGTCGTCAGCGTTTGCAGGCTGGGTCTCTCCGTTGGTGGGTGCAGCAGCTTTCTCGGCCTCTTTGAACCATTCTTCGGGAAGGCCTTTGATAAGTACATCAAGGTCAAGCCCTTCTGGGGTTTGGATGATATCATCGGCTGGTAGTTTATCGCCCATCTTCGAGACGTTTGTATATCGCTCGTGAAGTCCCGATAGGGCAGCATCATAATTGGTCAAAGGGAGATGTTGGATAGTGGCTAATCTGATGTTAGTCATGGGACGAAAGATGCTCAATGTCACGTTCAGACTCACCATCGCAGCTCTTGTTTCGCCAGGGACAGTTTTCGCCATGAGCACTACTTAGCATTTTCGCATACTCATCCACCAGCCTCGCGCCTGTAAATATAGGTTAGCAATTCAGTTCGACCAGCAATAATAGTGTTGGATTACTTACGGACTTCCTTCCGCTCCTCCACCTTCTCAATGTCAAAACCATCGAGCTCGTCGATTTCATCGGGAAGCTTCACAACAACTGCACCGCCACACTCGCTCACACAGGTAACGCGCATAACATCCGTACATATCCAGCCACGTTTCGCCCATTGTACTTCGTTGATAGGAGACGGCTTTGACGTCCATCGGTCGACACGGCGGAAGGTCTCTAACCGCTCGAGGAAACGTTCACGGTCCCAAGGGACAAAGGTCGGGCGCTTATTCGAATTTGCGGAGGCTATTCGGTGTGCTGGTCGCGAGATCTTGTGGATCGAGTTACGTACCGCCGTGAGCTCTGAAGGGTCGGCACTGGCCAAGCGTACTTTCTTGATCGATAAGTTGGTGGAGAGACGGTCTTGCGCCGTGGTGGGCGTCGCAGGGGCTGGTTTGGGCGCGTTGTCGGAGGTAAGAGGCTTGGATATTGATTCCAGAACGCGGTGGAACTTCCGTTTCTTTGACTCCAGAGCGTAGGACATATTGGCGCGACTTTGGGAAGCAAGTCAAGTGGTGCGGATCAATACAATGCGGATGGTTGGAGCTGCGGCGATCATAACGCCCGAAGTGTATCCGCCTGAGGCATCAACCTCAATATTGCATACATGGATAGTCACGTTCAATTCTAAATCATACCATATAGAAGTTAGTATATCTCTCAACTAGCAATTTAATTCCCCTGTCAGCTATTGTGCACTGTTGACAGTGTTATTCCACTCCGACAAATGCTCCGCTGCTGATTGGCCAAGGGATTCCGCAACATCGTACAATCCCCGAACTTCACCAACTTTCTTCTTTCACCCATCCGCCTTAACTATGGCTTCTCTGGGGAGCTCTCTGTCGCTATGGCGGAGCGCTGCGCCTCGTTTAGCCAAGGACTTTTTCACATCCCAATGCCTCCCAAATCAGGGCTACGCAGCCAGATCGATCCGCCAATTTGGTGCCTTGCAGTTCCGCCAACCAAGCAAGATTCAATCCACACTTCTGAACAATAAGAAATTCTTCACCTCCAGTCTCAAGCGTTCAAATACTTCGCCCGCCGTTGCAGAGGCGGTCCAAGAGGGCGGCGCGAAAGCGAAATCGAGCTTCCCCAAAATTAGCGACAAGACCGTTGCCTACTGGCTTCTAGGCAGCGCGGCCAGTGTTTTTGGAATTGTGGTCTTCGGTGGTTTGACACGTCTGACAGAATCAGGGTACGTGGATTGGGCTGCTTGGTCTTCCTGGAAAGTGAGCTTCGGATGCTGACGGGACAAACTTTTGGCGCAGATTGAGCATCACCGAATGGCGACCTGTTACTGGTTCCCTCCCCCCAATGAACGCGGAACACTGGGAGGATGAGTTCGCAAAGTACCGCGCATCTCCCGAATTTCAATTGCTTAACCCCAACATGACTCTATCCGAGTTCAAGTCGATCTACTATATGGAATGGATTCACCGGCTCTGGGGCCGGTTTGTCGGAATCTCATTTGTTCTACCTGCAGTATACTTCGTCGCCCGGAAGAAGGTCTCCACGCCCATGGCGTGGCGTCTCTTCGGAATTGCTGGTCTTATTGGTTTCCAGGGTTTCCTCGGCTGGTGGATGGTCAAGTCTGGCTTGAAGGATGATCTCTTTGCTCCGGGCAGTCACCCGCGAGTGAGCCAGTATCGTCTGACTGCTCACTTGGGCGCTGCTTTCGTTTGCTACGTCGCGATGTTGTGGAACGGTCTTGCTATTTTGCGGTCGAATCGGTTGATGGCCGACCCAGCTGCTGGAATTAGCCAGCTGAATGCGCTGCGCGACCCGAAGCTGGCCTTCTTCCGCCGCTCAGTCGCTGGTATTGCTCTTTTGGTCTTCACAACTGTCATTTCAGGTGGTCTCGTCGCTGGTCTTGATGCTGGGCTTATCTATAACGAGTTCCCATGGATGGGCAAGGGACTAGCACCTCCAAAGGAGGAGCTTTTCGATGCCCGCTACTCCCGCCACGAAGACCGCTCTGATCTTTGGTGGCGCAACATGCTTGAGAATCCTTCTCTTGTTCAGCTTGACCACCGCATGCTCGCAATGACCACCTTCACCGCCATTTGCGCGTTGATGGTTTACACCCGCCGCTCCCCCACCATGAAGCGCTTCCTGCCGGCACCTGCTAGAAAGGGCGTCCACGGCGTGTTCGCGTTTGCCTGTTGCCAAGTCGGACTCGGTATTACCACTCTTCTCTACCTCATTCCTACACCGCTTGCCTCCGCCCACCAGGCTGGCAGCTTGTTCCTCCTGACCTGGGTCATGGTCCTGGGCAGCCGAATCTGGCACCCGTCGCGTACAGCTAAGCTTTTGCAGATGGCTGCGAAGGCTCGGTCCCAGCAGCTTTCTAGCACTGCCGCCTCTGCTGTGAAGAGAGTATAATAACCTTGCCTCTCGAGTGTATGAATATGTCGGCCAGGGTTGATTGTGACAGTCAATCCCCTTTGTGATTGATACCATCTCCATTCATCGGTTGACTCGAGCGCTTCTCGAGTCTTGTTGTATAACTAGCATTACTACTCATTCATTGTAAAAATACATTCGGAACTAAAACAAAGTTCATTGGTTGATTTACCTATGTCAAAATTGATATCCCAAAAGCACGCCAAGCTGTTCCTTCTTTTTCTGCTTTTCTTCTTCTTTCTCGCTTTCGTGCTCCTTTGTCCTCATCATCCATGTCTTCACACTTGTCTTCCACCATTTTCTAACATTTTCAGATCTCAGTGATATTTCCTTGCTGTCGTCTGTCTCCTCAAATCCACAGCCACTTACTCCGCCATCTTGGTAGAAGGTCTCGCAGCACGCGCAGGGTTGCGTCGAGTTATGACATACCCAATAGGCAGACCGTCCTCACCAATAGGGATATCAGACTCATTCTGAGCCCACTCCTCATCGTCAACAACCGACAACGTCATGTCAGAATCAGTAGACAAAGCATCCCCCTGCTGCTTCAAGACTCGGTTACGCGCAGGAGCCACTTTCTGTCCACCTGCAGCACCTTTCACGTCTCCGGTAGTAGTAGGCGTTCCGGTTCCGGTTCCGTTACTGAAAGATCCAAGGTCAAGCAAGGTTTGCGCTGCCCTGACTTCAGCAAACGACTTGGAAGGTTGGCGATCTTCAGTCCCATCCACTGGTGGCGAAGATACCGGCATATCGCCGCCGCCCTCGGGGACATGAGTAGCTCCAAAGGAAGCGTGTGTTCTGTCTCCGTTTCGGTCAGTCAGGCACTTGCGACAGACTTGCCAGCCGCAGTTCTGGCAGCGGGACATGCCGTTCTTGTTGCGCTTGTTGCATACATCGCACTTTGCGGTGTGGGCTGCCACTTCTGAGAAGTGGACGCCGACTCGTCGTCTCTGGGCTCGGTGGTTTGCGCCTGCGTCGCGGTTGATCCTTTGGCGGTTGATCTGCTTGTTCGGTGGTACTCGGTTTGTCGGGATTCGTCGAGGCGCGTTGGGGGAGATATTCTCCGGGGTTGATGACACCTGCGTGCTTGGAGATAGGGTCTCGCGGAGAGCCGTCTGTGCGGAGCTAAGAGTTGACTGCGTCGGGGTTGGGGATGCCTGAAGTACCTGGGTTTCCTTCGGGCGTAGAGCGAGTTGAGGGAGTTGAGGGACGAGATGGTGCTCTGTGGGATGGGCTTGTGAGCTGCACTGTGCGGAGATGTAGGATTTTGTCATCTCTTCCTTACCTCTATCCACGTTCACATTAGGTTGAAGAACCCCAGCAGAGACCTGTTGTTCGTCAGCTATACATGATACTCCCTGTGTCGTATATCTAGCATCCTGCACGCACATCTTGGTAGGTAAATCCGGGCTCTCGAAACGCCTGACTAGATATTAGAACGATATCTCGAGGGAGAAGGGAGAGACGGATGGATACAAACATTCTGGCTGGGGTCAGGTGGGACAAGCCATCCATTAGCTGGATAGGGTGGATACGGGTTGGGAAGGGTATTGATATCCTGGGGCGAAGACGAGGATCTGTTGCCTACTCCATCGTACATGTTGTTAGAAACATGCGAGCGCGGCTGGTTGCGCCTGTTGGCTTCGACAGACTCGTCCAGCTCTCGAAAAGATGGGAGATTCAAGTCTGGGATGCGAGAGAGAGGCATGGTATGGTGACCCATGATTCCAACAGAGCTGTACTCGAGTGGTACTTGATGATATTTGAAGTATTGCTTTGAGCAAAAAGGAAAGAAGACGATGGGGGATGTAAACGGAAATGAAAATGGATATGTGGTGGGTGTAGATAAAAGGCTTGGGGTTGATGAAGGTTCTCAGATGCAAGATGTATTGGGCATTGTTAAATACAGTCTCATGGGATCGGATGATGGTTTGAGGAGTGTGCCGTTTAGGGGCAAGCAAACAGGTCGGAACCCTCGAAAACATAGCATAGGTATACTTGATTAAGTGGATCAACCTCTGGTCAATCTCTTGAGGGCTAACTATCAGTGAGTCCATGGTCTGCCTTCTGCCCAAGAGATATCTGCTTTACCTTGATATCAACCGATTTAAATTGAGATACAACGAAGGATTTTGTTCGAAATTTGATTGTATCGCCTAGATATTCTTGAGAACCTATTTTATCTGCTGCATTTGTCATAAAACAGAGAAAATTGCATGCAACCCCCAGGACGCATCACACATCAATAGTATCGCCCTCTTCTCGGAAAATCATGTTATTTTATTCATTTGTGGGCTGTATAGTCATTGTCAGTGATATCGGCTCGTGGAAATTTGCTGATATTAATAACATACGGATTCCTTCCTCGGGGCTGGGCTCAATACCGGCGACTTCGGCAGCAGTCTTCGGTTCGGCGGCGGTCTTGTCCTCCTTCATCATGGGGAAAGTCATCACCTCCTTGATGCTGTAGTTGTCGGTAAGGAACATGACCAGGCGATCAATTCCCATACCCCAGCCACCAGTCGGGGGCAGGCCGTACTCGAGGGATTGACAGAAATTCTCATCAATCATCTGAGCCTCATCATCACCCTGGGCCTTCTGGTTGGCCTGCTCTTCGAAGCGCATACGCTGGTCGAAGGGATCGTTCAACTCCGTGTAAGCATTTGTGATCTCTTTGGTGCTATAATTGAGTTAGCTAAACTTCCCAAATAACTGATTGGCCAATTCGGGGCAAAGCAAATTTGGAATCTACAAGTTAGGTGAGAACTTACCAAACGAAGGCTTCGAAACGCTCGCACAGACCGGTAATGTGTCGGTGTTTCTTGGCCAGTGGCGACATCATCTGGGGGTGACCAGTGATGAAAGTGGGGTTGATGCAAGTGTTCTCAATGAACTCACCCACAAGTTTGTCAAGCATGCGGGCATTGGTCTGGGGGGGGCGAGCAATCCACGTTCATCTTCTTCAGAATGCGCTTGAGGAATTCGTTGGTCTCCGCGGTGTGGAGCTGATCACCAGGAGGGAACTTTTCGCCGCAGGCCTCCTCCAAAGCAGGCATCATCTCCACACGCCGCCAGGGCGCCTTCCAGTTCACGTTGTAGGTTTCGCCAGACTGGGTGTGGAATACTGTCTCGTAACCTCCAGTCACGTGCTTGACCAGACCCGAAACGAGGTCCTCGGTCGTTTCCATCAGGTCGTACACATCCGCATACGCCTGGTAAAACTCACAGGTGGTGAACTCGGGATTGTGAGTAAGGTCAATTCCTTCGTTTCTTAGTTGCTTACCCAATTCGAACTGACTCGTGTTAGATGATGGGTATTGCAATGTCGGGTGTTAGAGTATAACTTACGACACGGTTTAGACCTCCAACAACTAGCATCTTGAGGTAGAGTTCGGGGGCGACACGCATGAAGAGGTTCATGTCGAGGTCATTATGGTGGGTTATGAAGGGCTTAGCTGTAGCACCACCAGCAATAGCGTTCATCAAAGGAGTCTCAACCTCAATGAAATCACGCTTTTCAAAGTACTGGCGAATGTAGGAAACAATCTTAGATCGAGTAATAAGGACATCACGTGACCGATCGTTCATAATGAGATCCAGGTAGCGCTGGCGGAAACGCTGCTCTTTGTCCTGGAAGCCGTAGTGCTCCGAAGGAATGGCGTGCAGGCAAGGGGTCAGGAGGACAACTTCAGTGGCGAAGATAGAAAGTTCACCATCGTCACGGTTCTTAGGGTTGGTTCGTCCAGGGAAACCGACGATGCCCACAATATCACCTCTGCGAAGGTGCTCGTGCTGTTCCTCGAAGGGCTTTCCGGTGGCAAATTGCGCTTGGCACATTACCTGGACCTTGACACCCTCTGAGCGGATGTCGTAGAAGTTCAGCTTGTTACCTGAGGTACGCTTGGTATAGATACGGCCAGCAACGCGAACGGTAACATCGGACTTCTGTTCGCCCTTCTGGAGACCATCGTACTCCTTAACGAAGTTGCGGAGGTCAGTGTCGACGTGGAACTTGTGTGGGTAGGGATCCGGCTGCTTGGTTTCGCGCAGCTTGTTGATCTTCTTGCAACGAATCTCGAAGTATTGCTAGAATGACACATTAATTAGCTTCACGGGAAATGGGAATTGATCCAGTCGCAAGAGCACTAACGTTAGGAGTCAAGTTGGCCTCCTCTTCCTCAGCGGATGTCTTCTTTTCAGCCTTGGGAGGAGCAGCGGCCTCCTTCTCCTTCTTCTTGGCATCCTTCTCACGCTGCTTCTGGCGTCTCTTCAATTCAGTCTTGGAGACTTTCTCGCCGGTGACCTCATCGAGAAGAAGGTTGGCAATGGAGGCCGTAGCCTCTTGAACAGGGTTGGAATCCGCCATGATGTGTGGTTACGGAGAACAAAAAGTGGGATGGTGGGATGGTGGGATGAGGGACTGGAATTTTTGGGCGGGATCGGCATGGCATGTGATTGGTCGATTCCTTACAACTCCCAACTCTCATGACTCATTCTTAATTTGACCTGACGCGCTCATAGATGGCATTGAGATATTCGTGTAAATATTACCTTCATTCAAAAATCATGTTCTAGAGTCTGGACTCTGTACTTCCCATCTTCCGTTGTTGAGCATAGTTCGCGGATACTAAATTGAGATATAGGGTTTAGGGCACGGAGATATCTACATCGGTCTGCTTCCCTAAGAATTGTAACCTCCAATAGCATTGTATTCGTGGCTGAAGCCTATTTAGATGACCATATTCCGTTTCAATACTAACATGGTAGGGATAGCCTGGCCACAACCCTGAGTAGTCGCCACAGCCTTGTTGCTGGGTACAAATGTGGGCGATACCACTGTCCATCATCGGATCACCAATAGCAACACGTACCTGCGTTACGTTGGTATAATCCTTGTAGTGACTATCTGTATTTAATGGAAAAAGCGTTTAGTTTATAGATCATGCGCAGTCAGGGAGTTGTTATTTTCACTTGTTAGGGCTAGCGTAGCTGACTCAATATCCAGGAGTACCTATCTACATACACTTCACTATGGGGTGAAATGTTCCAGTACAACTAGTAGAAAGCCCTAGTCAGTTTAGAGTGTTCTCGCTGAATTGCTGGGCAACCCTGGCACTACCAAACTGGCAGAGAAGACCCGCCGTTTGTTCGAGACACATGGGATAGGAAGGTCCAATCTATAGTTAACGAGGGATTAATGACTTGTACCTACATTGTTGGTTGTCGAGTCCTAGACTAAGCGCCATGAAGTAGAAAAGACGATAAGTGCTGCCCCGAAAATGTCATGTTTCCTACTATCTATATTCCTCCATGTATTCGTTGCCTAGCCACTGCAGGTGCTTCCTCGTATTATATGTCATATACTGTCACTCGAACCTGTATAAATTCAAATTGTGGAAATCTGGCCCGGGAGAAACAGTGCTATATGTCTCCGGAAGAAAGGCCATAATCAGTAGCACCTGATGGACACAACGTAGTGTCGACTATCTTCCATCTCTTCTTGTACCCATCGTGTACGCGAGGATCTCCGTCATCCTTTCTTTTTTCTGTCATTTACCAATCTAGTTGTTCTTTTGCTTGCTTGCTTTCTTTCTACTATCCTTATCCCCTTTTCTTTTCTATACGACCACCCTTGTTCTTCATCATCTTCCTTCATTCACCTATCTCCTCGACCTCGACCTCGCCCTTCTCCTCCGATCTGCCAACACTAGGCTATTTCTGTCTGCAGATTTTGCCACTTGGCCATCCCTTTGGCCTCTGGAATGCCTCATCTGCAGAGACTTTCACTCTTTCGGTCAACTTTGTCTTGAGAATCACGCTTGTCTCTAACTTGTGCCACGTTCATATCCTCTGAATTGCTTATCTGTTCCTTTGGGTATGTCCCACTGTGCCTCATGCCACTGCCAGTAACCTTGGGTCTCTTGCCTTCATGTGGCTAACAATCACTCCTCCAGACTTGACCATCCACTATGGGAGGCTTGATTGATCGAGTTCCGAAGTCGGAACCCAGTCCAGCCATGGGTGAGCCTGGTCTCTTCTGATAAGAAAGTCCCTTCCTGCTAACTAGTCTCTTTGTTCTTCTAGCTGGATTAGCTGTTTCAATGCCGGCGTCTCATGGCCTACCTGATACGACCTACACTCAGCCAATCCCTGGCTCCTCTCTTGATAACTTGACAATGGACATGAAGAACCTTGTGAAAAAGATCCAAGATCTCAGTCACTTGGGGATTGAGGACAGCAAGATCATGCTTCCAAAAATATGTGTCGTCGGTGACCAGAGCACCGGGAAAAGCTCCCTTATCGAGGGTATTTCCGAGATCAAGGTGCCTAGAGCCGAAGGAACCTGCACTCGATGCCCCCTGGAGATAAACCTTTCTGAAAGCGATGAAAGCTGGAAATGTGTGATCCATTTATCACGTCGCTACATCTTCGATCCGTCGAAGCGCTCGAAGATGCCTAAGAAATCAGAGCCACTAGGACCGTGGATTGCCCTTGGTGGACAGGATGATGAACATTTCATTACCTTGGAAAGCAAACAAGATGTCAAAAACGCTATCTGGTGCGCCCAGCTAGCTATCTTGAACCCTAGCACCGATTCACAGGATTTTGTCCCGGGGTCTACCGACATGGCACAGACACCTCAGGTTAAGTTTTCTCCTAATGCCGTGCGCCTGGATATCTCCGGTTCCGGACTTCCCAATCTGTCATTCTATGATCTGCCGGGAGTGATTAGCCAGGCAGAACAAGACAACGAAAGGTACCTCGTGAACCTTGTCGAGAACCTTGTCAAGGATTATGTTTCTCAAGAGCATTGTATCGTACTCCTCACACTGCCCATGACAGATGATGCGACAAATTCCAGTGCTGCTCGTCTTGTCCGCGATATCAAGGGCGCAAAGGAACGCACCCTTGGGGTGTTGACCAAACCCGATCGTCGGCCCTCTGACGAAGCATTTGACCAATGGCACGAGATTCTGGACGGAAGCAAGTTCAAACTCGGACACGGTTATTATGTCATTCGAAACAATCCCGATTCACTTGTCAGTCATGCCCAAGCTAGGAAGGAGGAAGAGATGTTCTTCGGCTCTTCGCTGTGGACAAGAGATCTTGCAGCCTTCGAAGACCGCTTCGGCACCAGACAACTCCAAACGGCATTGTCTGACCTTTTGATGCGCCAAATCCTAGGATCTTTGCCCTCCATTATTGCCCAGATTGATGAGAAGTCGAAGGCCATTGATGCAGAACTCAAAACCCTACCAAATCCTCCCACTGAGGATGTGCAACGAATCCTTTGGGGTAAAACTTCGGATCTTGAACGCAAGATTCATGAGCTGTTTGATGGGACCCCTAGTATCGAGAACGGCTCTTCCCAGCGAAAGCCGCTGCAAGAGCAGTGGAACAAAATTGTTATGGATCTCCAAACCGCACTTGCAAAGACGCGTCCCATCTTGGACGTTGCTGCACAGAAAGACCTTGAGGATTTGGCCGAAGTTGTGGACTCAGATTGTGAGATGAAGATCGTGGGCGTCAGCACGTCAACACCAAAGAAAAGAAAGTCGCCTGCGGACGGTACTCCCTCATCGGAACCGGCAACTCCGAGAAGGACTGTCTACTGCACTTCACACTTCGAAGGGTTGAAGCCTGCAAGAATTACTTTGAAACAGCTCACTGAGCTGAAAATCCGCTCAAACACAGTTGGTGTCCCCAACCAGCTCGATCCCCGTGCAATTGAAAACCTGAATAAACGGAGCGTTGAGCATTGGGAAAGGCTCATGAAGATTTTCCTGAAGGCTACGCATAGCCTTGTTCACAGCATGTTATGTACAGCTCTCGAAGACGAGTTTACCCAATACCAGCAGACTGGGTTGTATAAGGAGCTCAGGAGAATCCTGAAAGAATTTATGAGCAAGCTTCGCGAAGTTCACCTGGAGTTAGAGATGGATTACTGCAAGTCTGAGCGCGAAATACCATTTACAATGGCACAAGGCCAGCATCAGGTATTGATGCAGCATGCCTCAAATGTGCTGAGAGCTCGTCGATTCAATGCTCGAGCTAGTTGCTGGCTTAAAATCCGGGGCCATGATATGAACGACGAGCGGATTTCCGAGAAGATCAGGAAAGTCCAACCAGAACAACTTGGGCCTGACAGATACTGCCAAGAACTTGACATGATGGCTGTAAGTTTTCTGGGGGAGATTTTTTGACATTCACTAATTGTGATCATAGAGCTCGCTGGCTTACTACGATATCGCATCTTCTCGTTTCCTAGACGTCTTGTGTCAGTCTACGCATATGAAGTTGTTCCGGGCTTGCCGTGGAAGTCTCGTCAACACACTTCGTGACGACCTGGAGATCTTCGGTGATAACGGTGAGCATACATTTACCTGTGTCGAATACGAAGTTGGAAAATGTTGCTAATAGGTACCTTAGGTCGTGCCCGCTGCCTTGACCTCATGACTGAGGACCCCGAACGGCAGCATCGCCGCGCTCAATTATTGAAGGAGCGAGAGAAGTTTAGCAAAGCCCAAGAGTGGCTGGACTCTGTCCGGGATTCAGATGTGGAAATGGAAGACTCTGACCACACTGCTTTTCCAGACATCAAAGAGGATTGGTAGATTCCAAAATTGTCGTCTCCTGCGATCCTCATAATTTTGCTACTTACACTGTTGCCGAATGAGCCAAATGTGGGCTTGAAGTGGTTGTTCTCAGGGTGTGAATGTGAACTTCAATGATGTTTTTGAGTGTGATGGAGTGATGGAGATATGGATCAAATGGGAAATTGTAACAATGAAAAAGAAAACCAAATGAATAGCCAAGCAAAATACAAAACAATCTTCAGATTAACATCAATTGACAACAATCTATGTACTGAAGCAGGCGGTTTATTCAAGCTATTTCCGCGGCCATTCGTCAACCTTCGAAAGACACGGGACAGCAACAATGTATTTTAACTACGTTCTAATCAGTTTATGCATCTTTCTTTTGATGGCCATTTTCAGTGCCTATAATAAGCCTGCGAGGAAATGCTAGTAGTATACTGTGTACTAAAGTTGTTCACCCCAGTGAGTGAAGTGTTCTGGATGCTGCTATTGCTCGAGGGAATTGGAGTAGTAAGGTAATATCGGCTTCAAAGTGAAGCTTCTGCCCAGGCTTATAAAGACTATCTATGCGACAAAATCCTGCGTGCAATGTCCAACTGTAGCCCAAGCACAAAGTCCATTTAACTGAGATGGCACGTAGAATCTTGTCAGACAAATTTTCTTTTCCTTTCTCATGCAGAAGTTAGATGATTATCCAATACATAATATTTGGGCTACGTACAGAAAGCAAGGAATTGCCTCTGCAAGTCGACTAGCACATTTTATAGTCCCCAATCTATGTTTCGTACGCGGAACCACCTTGGTATACAATTCGCTTTAGCCTGCATTATAAGATACCTTTGGCACCTGCGAACAGAATGAAAGGAAGCTTAATAGTTGGCATCATGAATTGTAACGGGAGCGACCCTAAGTAGTATATGGTAGAAGGAAACTGCTTTCCCCGGAACCCGCTCAAGTAAAGCCGAAAGTGACCGGAAAGGCCCAAAGTACATGGTCGTGGTGTCCGTATTAACGAAAGCTCTCGCGAGGATAATTGCTAAAGGAAAGGGGTTACCAACTAGAAAACAAGGAAACTTGACGGTCGAGAGGATCAAGGGAAGGTATATAATTGTGGTCAGACAAAGGTTGAATAGATTAAATCATCTAGCTCCCAATCATTCTCCTCCATCTTCTCGGCAATAATCTTGTCACTGCCAAAGTCCACCCATGGACTCGCAGCAAGCAGACCAGGAGAAGTTTAGTCTTTGGGAACAGCTCATCTCCCAGGCCTTTACCTGTCCACTCTTGCTAGGTAGACACTCCGACAATTTGTGGATAATTGCTCTTATTCGCAAAGACTATCCCACTTCCATCGGTCCCCAGCTTTCCCCTTATCTTTCCGACCAGCTTTCCTAAACATGGCCTTGCTTCGCTTTTGGTAGCAATTGCCACAGATAATGCGATCCCAGGTGACACCGCTGTCATCGATGCGTTCGAGGGATGTTTTGCCGAGTGTAGTCCACCTCTTTGCGTATAAAACATGACAATGTTACTCTTCGCAAGACTTCTACGCACTGTCCGACGTATAGCTGAAGCCATTCCCGGTCTCGACTATCAGTGATAAAGTCCAAGTATCCCATAGGGGTCGCCCAGGATCCGTCTTCGCACCTGATTTCGAAGACCTTCAGGTGTGTGGCCGTGATCCCGAAGGATCCACGATATCGACTCGTCAAATTACACATTTTACATACCCACTCTCTTAATTTGGGATGCCAGGGGCATTCAAACCTCCAAACTTTGTTGGAAAGTGGCTTGAGGATCTTCAAGCAAACGAGGGTCTCCTTGGCATCGAAGTGGAAGGGAGTGTGTAGAACTTGGCTCTGACGTCCCACTTCTGGAAAGGACGATGGCAATGCCAGCAATCGTTCCTATCCCTGCTCTTTCGCCAGTACTCGTCCGAGTTCCTCTCTTTCCAACACGACAAGCATGTTGAGGCTGACTTCCAAGCAGGAAGGTTGGTCCCTCCCCAAATTGAACACGTACAATTTACGTAGTTGTTCTGCTTGGCTTCCTTGTCAACATCCCTCTTATGTTTCATAGCACAAACTGAGCACCAACCTTCCCCAGTCTTTTGTCCCTTCGCGTCGTAGGAAAGTACCATCGCACGTTCAGGTCTTTTGCGCCACTTCCCGCACATTGGTTTTCTCTCTTCGGCTAGTCGACCAACTTGGTTCTTTGACCAGTAGCATGATGCCATTTGCTCGGACAAGCAAACAGGCCACTTGGTATCCACATATGGAATATCAATCTCCCCTAAGTGCCCTGAGAAAATCCCAATCTGCCGGTACGGTGGAACAAGCGCATGTACCCCGGATATAGCAGTAGACATACATGACTTTCGTGCCACTAGGTGAATGTCGCGTAAATCCTTGCTGTCAATTCTCTTGGACAGAGCAGTATGGTCGACACAGCGCCCAGGAACACGCCTTTTGACTTGAGCCTAATCAAGGGTACAACAAGGTCTGACCGAAGTGGTATTTGTAACGCCCCCTCTCAAGGTGACTCGTCTGAAGCGTTAAATGATGCATGAAGCAAGGAAGTTAAAGAGAGGGGTTGTGAACCGGACAGTTCGTCGCCTCCATCGCCCTCATTGAGTTTGGCTGCAAGAACTTGATCACCTGCTCATGCGCTTTGCCAGGCATGATTCGGTATAAAACTTGCTCGTCGGTGAAAGTGGCCCTCGATCTTTTTTTGTTTTGTTGGAGTCGCTGAATTCCTTACTGCTCGAGGCCAGAGCTCAAGAGATTGTGGGTACATAGTTTGGCACTTGCATTTATCGTATGCTGGACGCGAGCAATCTTCTTCCGGCTTGGGGTAGGTTGTGGGCAAAAGACTGTTATGTTTTTATCCGGGACCCGGCTCCCTGGTTATTGTTTTCGAATGGCGGTGACCCTTTGGGTGTGCTTGTGGCGGGGTATGGGGTCAGTAGAGCTCTATTCGACCGGTCGCTGGCTAAATCGTCGAATTTGGTGATTGGAGTGGCTGCAACTGAGTGTAGTCGATCATATAGAGTGTTGATGGAAGGTCGACAATTGATTGGTCAAGGTATGATGGTGGCTCGGAGATGGACGAATGAGGTATCGAGACAGGATCTCGGCAGTGGGGTAGCGATCTCTTATTGGTGCAGAGACAACGGCAGTGGGGTGGTGCGTATGCGGCACCAGGAAGGTGTTGGAGATGCAGTTAGAAGCTTCATCCGAGAGAGACAGTCATAAACTGAGTGGAGGTAGATGTGAAAGCACCGTATAGCAGGATCCAAAAATATCAAGTGTGTTGAAGCGAGAGGAAACTTCTGAGAGGAACTTTGAATATGTTGTACATGACAGGGAGCAAACGGCATAGGTCATATGACCTTTAACAAAAAGGATCGGGTGAGATAAAAGCAAGGAATGAGGTAAACATTGGATCGAAGTGAAATGAATGTGAGAGCAAAGTAAGAGTAAGGCCAGAGCAAGGTGGTAGCAAAATGAGAGTAATCAATCAGAATGGTTCATACTCTGGGGTTGTAGCTCGGGAAATGCGTACTACAAACTTCAGTGTTGGAATGTGGTAGAGCGGTAGAGATATACACCAAGGGAAAAGCATAAAGATGAATGGCAAACAGAGTGAGTAGAGTAAAAATACAAAGACTAAGGAAATTGTATAGATTAACATCAATGGAAAGCAGTCCATATATATTCACAGCAAAGCTTGCACTTTCATAGAGGCCAGCCATATTGGCAAACAAGCACTCAGTCTGCCACTGAGAAGGCATCCATATAGGATGGGATAATCTCAATATTAACATCAATTGATAGCAAAATATGTACATGGAGGGGTGATTGAATTCATAGATATTGCCAACATTGGAAAATAGCATCTTTAAATGACACCAATTTCCCCGAATCTAGGAGACCAAGTCGAATACAAAACGAGATAATTGTCCAACTTGATACACCAGGGTGGACAGAGAGTAGATACAAAAACTTCATAAATGTCTCGCTATATGCCATTGATCTAATTCGGTTATATGCCGTTCCTTCTATATATCTATGGACGTGGACGGCCCTCATGCTCTTGCTAACTGGCTAATTATCTCAAGGTCCCGAAATTCCTCTTTTCTTGTGTACATATGACAGTATCTTCAAACCCACGTAGGTAGAGTATCTATTTATGTGGTAGCTATTTCAAATGCAATAACATGAGGGTTGCCCTGCCTGCATAGGGCTCTCCTTACCCTGTCCCTATATATATCTCATCAACGTCTGGCCTTACTCGAGACTGGGTATCTGGTGATGGACTACATTGGCAACTCAAAGGTCCAAATGCTTTCAGAAACATGGGATAAAGACCGCTATAAGCAAGCCAAAAGAACAAACCTCTTTCGTGGGCTTTCACGTATGATGCTTTCATTAAGTCAGATACCACTCCCCCGTATATGATCATGGACCCTAGACTCAAATGGAGCTTTGCTACTTTCTAATCGACCTCTCACCCTTCGACTCCACCAATTAGAGAACGGCGGAATTCCGACCAATATCAGCCGAAGCCTGACCTACTTAGTAGCGGACGCATACTACCTCGATCTTTTGTCTTATTATGATAGTCGGATACGGCATCAACCAAACTCTATAAGCGATGCGGAGGATGGCCGAGCCTAGATAGTAAGATTGACGATAATGAAAGCGCTCCTACCTCATTTTTCTAATAAAGAGCTCCGAGAAGGGCCCTTCCTCTTCAGACTGGCCGATCTCCATCCTAGCAACATACTCGTTGACAGTGATTGGAATATCAAATTTGTGATTGATCTTGAATGGGTATGTTCACTACCTGCGGAGACGTTGCACCCTCCATACTGGTTGACCGGCTGTTCAGTCGATGAACTAACAGAGGAGCATCTTGAAACCTTTAGTAAGGCCTACGAAGAGTTTGTTGGTGTTTTTGAGGAGGAAGAAAAACAGACTCCTCCTATCAACAATGACCATTCTTATAGGACAAATCTTATGAGAAATGATTGGCAAGTCGGAAACTTTTGGTATTTCCATGCTTTGGACAGTCCGAAAGGTCTATTCAACCTCTTCTCTCAACGTATTTACCCCCTTTTTGCACCTTCTTATCAGTCAAAAGACGATTTTGCACGGGTTGTGTCGGACTTCTGGGCTCCTGATGTTGAAAAAGTGCTCACTGCAAAGCTCCATGATAAGGAGGAGTATGAAAAGTCGCTTCGCCAAAGGTTTGAGGATGCTGTTGCTAGTAACGAAGATCAGAATTCGGAGCATTAGATGGTTTCGCATGTTTCTAACTTGACAAGGACGAATGTATCATAAATGCATGTGGATATTGCGAGGGGGTTTCAAGAGCAGCCAGAAGATGTATATAATCTATGCTTAAATGGAAACTTGAGCGAGAATGCGAACGAGATTCAGTGAACGGTGTATGCTGCAAAGAATATTATTTGCGCATACCTTGGCCCAAGCCCTAACTGTCAGATTGTATAGGAACAGACTGCCAATGAAGGGCACGTCATTGAGGTTATCAAGACCCCAGTACTCCACAACTGTTGAAATGGTCAGGTATTGCAAGAATAGTCATCAGCAAGGGGTAGATATATATAGTATCAAAATCAAACTGTCCATCGCATAAATGAGACAAAATCAGCGAAGCATTGAAATGTCTAAGACCGAAAGGAGTAAAATGTTGTCAGGTGCCCCACCGAAAGCGTCGGCTTGGCGTTTTTGGAAGCTTCAGGGTCTCTCTGGCCTTTTGTTCTTATAATCCTAGTCCTCACATCCCCTTGCATACCGTCATGCTTCATATACCAATGCGTGAAAATCACAGTGCTCAGGCTTCCACCAAGGCCGTGATCTTGGTGAGTACTGGAATCATCACGAATAAACAATGACTGACACCTTGTCCACAGGTCGGAGGCCCCTCAAGAGGCACTCGGTTCCGCCCATTGTCGCTCGATGTGCCCAAGGTATGCATCTGCATCTCATTTGATCGTCCATATGGATCTGCGCTGGATAATAATTAACATCGCAATTCCCATAGCCCCTATTCGAAGTCGCCGGCCACCCCATAATCCACCACTGCCTCAAGGCGGTGGCCAAGGTCCCCGATGTTCGCGAAGTGATTTTGGTCGGATACTATGATGAAAGTGTATTCCGCGATTTCATCAAGGATGCCTCGAAGGAATTCCCCCAGCTCCGCATCCTCTACCTACGGGAGTACACAGCGTTGGGCACCGCAGGTGGGCTGTACCACTTCCGTGATGCGATCCTCAAGGGCAAGCCCGAGCGGCTGCTCGTGCTGAACGCCGATGTCTGCTGCTCATTCCCGCTGGGCGAGATGATGCGACTATTTGAGGAGAAGGACGCCGAGGCTGTGATCCTGGGTACACGCGTATCGAACGACACCGCAACGAACTTCGGATGCATCGTGTCCGATTCGCACACCAAGCGTGTGCTGCACTACGTCGAGAAGCCCGAATCGCACATCTCCAACCTGATCAACTGCGGCGTCTACCTCTTCGCTACCGAGTGCATCTTCCCCGCCATCCGCAGCGCCATCAAGCGCCGCACCACCCGCCCCCGCCTCCTCTCCTACCCCTCCTCCGACAACCTGGAGTCCTCCTTCATCGCCACCGGAGACGACGAGGACGCCGAGAAGAGCGAGGTCCTCCGTCTGGAGCAAGACATCCTCTCCGATCTCGCCGACAGCAACCGCTTCTTCGTCCACGAAACCAAGGACTTCTGGCGCCAGATCAAGTCCGCCGGCTCCGCCGTGCCCGCCAACGCCCTGTACCTCCAAAAGGCATTCCAGGCTGAGTCCCCTGAACTCACTGCCCCCTCCGCCACCATCGTGCCTCCGGTCTACATCCACCCCACTGCCTCCATCGACCCCACCGCCAAGCTCGGTCCGAACGTCTCGATCGGCCCGCGTGTCGTGGTCGGCGCCGGTGCCCGTATCAAGGACTCGATCGTCCTTGAGGACTCCGAGATCCGCCACGACGCCTGTGTCATGCACTCGATTATCGGCTGGAGCAGCCGTGTCGGTGCCTGGGCTCGCGTGGAGGGCACACCCATTCCCGTGGGCAGCCACTCTACCAGCATTGTCAAGCAGGGTATCAAGGTGCAGAGCATTACCATTCTTGGCAAGGAGTGTGGCGTTGGCGATGAGGTCCGCGTGCAGAACTGCGTGTGTCTGCCTTACAAGGAGCTCAAGCGGGTATGTATTCTTTCTTGTTTTATTTTATATGTGCCATTAACTAACAATTCCTATAGGATGTCTCCAACGAGGTCATTATGTAAACTGAGTTTTGGTCATCTTTGGTCGAAATTTACCCTGATCTTCTCGTTGATACGGCTTCATTGTCGGGTTTGTCTCATCTCATCTTATCTTATGGTTGGATGGTTATTTGCTTCGTGAGCGCAGCCGATCTAAGGATCTTTTTGTTTTAATCTATCTAGAACGAACCCAAAATGGAAGAGTCGTTGGATTTCTCGTATTGCTATCTGCTATACTAGTGTTTTTATTTCCCCATGAACATATCCCAGTAATTGATCCCTCGAAACGCCATACAGATTCCGTGTCATGAACCCAAAACACCCGAATATGAACCCTGAGATGCACCCCAGATAAATATCGTAAAATCCCGCTTGCTGTCGTCAAATCGAAGAAGGACAAAGAAAAGTATCCCCAAGCACCAAAGAATCACTCAGCGATACATGGCAGGGTCATACCCGTATTCTGAGCCGGCCTCTGCTGCCCACCCTGATCATAAGCACTAAAGCGCACTCTGGGCGCACCACGGTGACTCATACCAGGCGCAGTATCGTAATAATTCTGCGCCTCACCAGCATGCGCATACTCCAAATTGTGCCCGTAACCCGGCGGTCCCTGTCCATGGGCACCAGACATCGCAGGGGGCACATTATCATAATCATGCAAGGCAGGTGTAGACTCGCTGTGCCGCTCATCCATCTTGACATCAAAGGCGCCCGAATCATCAAGACCCGGTTGAGATCCCATGGCGTCGTAGACGCCGAGACGGGTCTGGCGACGACGGACAATCACGTCCAGCCAGACGGCGGCGATGTAGCTGACCAGGCCAATGGCGGTGAATGTGAAGAGGGTTTTGTAGCTTCGACATACGGAGATGCCGGTTGAGTTGCCCCAGTAGGTTGTTGTGCAGGCTGTTGTTATTGTGCTTGCTAGGCTCCAGCTCAGCAGGCCTAGGGATAGTGCCCAGAGGATTGTTAGGAGGATGTTGAGTGAGATGGAGAGTTTTGTTGATAGGCCGCAGCTGCAGTGGATTATTGAGGTTAGGATGATGTTGAGGAGGGAGAGGCCTGCTGAGACGAAGAGCTGGTGGGATTTGTTAGTGTTTATATTTATTTGGGAGGGATAGTTGGATGTTTACTTACGACGAGGAATGAATATGGGAGTTTGTAGCCATCGGCGTGGAGGTGGTAGGTAAACACTGCCAAGATCACGCCTACCACGAGTGAGGAGAGGGCGATTAGGAAGCGGATGAGATGGAATGGCAACGGCGGGTACGCCGATGGTTTGACTGAGGGTGATCGCATGGCGAGAGATGTTGGAGATGTGAAGATGGAAGAAGAGGAATCTGCCAAAGAAACCCCTACAATCAACAACTTCATGATCGGCGCTCCACTTTGACACGTTTGGGGCTGCGTCATGGCGCTATTTTTATATTATTTTCGGCGCATCTTCGTATAATGTCTGGTATAGATTGTTTCAAATAAGAAATTGACTAAATTAAATTACGGAGATGTTTCAAACGTAATATCAAGATCCAGATGTCGGCTTCAATATCCCCTTCTTTAATAGCTGAAATCCTCATAAACCACATTCTTGCCCACCAGCCAATTTAGAACCATCCGCTTCAAGGCAACACCCGCGCAGAGGTACCAAACATCAGCTAGCGCAAGGTCTAAGTCCCCAGCCTGCATGTGTCGTCGTATCATTTGAACCCCAGACGACTCAATGCCGTCCCACATCTGCCGATCGGCTCCATCGAGCTCCACATTGGTGATAAACAAAGTCGTTGATAGGGGCAACTGTGGCCACCGCTGGAAAACATCATGCACGAGCCCCAGATCATTCATTGAAATTGACCAGAATAATCGCAGCTGGGAGATATCCAACTCTGGAAGCTGTGCGAGTAGGGGTGTGATGCCAATGCCGCCCGCCACGTAGGGGACAATGGACTTTCCAGACACACGGAAGCTTCCCCCGAATCCCTTGAGCGGTACTTCTAGGCCAGCTCGCTCATTTACTTGAGATAGATATCTAGTAACGGGACCATGTCGTCGAACCATGATCTCGAATTGATCGGTGGGTATATTGCGACCGGGGTATGAAGACACGGTAAAGGTTCGAACATAGTCATCGTTTAGGCTGGTTGGATCGTCATCTCGCATGTGGGTATAGCCCATATTCAGCTCGTCTTCAAATGACAGTGTGACATATTGTCCTGCACTCCATGAAAGCGGTTTGCGGCCGGAGATGCGGAACCGATACCGTTGGATGGATGGTGTAATGTTTTCTTTTTTTATTAACGTTGCCAATGCATCCGAACCACTATCTTCTCTGGTGCCAGGGACATGTTTTTCGTTGACGAGATATCGGACGCTAGGGTTGTATGGAGAGGGATCTCCGGCCTCGCCACGAAAGCTCAACCCGTTTTCAACAAAGAGTGCAGCAGCAATGGTGACTCGCACGGCGAGGTTTGACCTTGGCAGGATAGCAGCTGCGTCTTTCCCAACTAATATCTCGGTCGATCCAGTGAAATAAAGGACGTTGCCGTTCTCAAAATCGGGAACAGCAAAACCAGCCAGCGGGGTGGTCTCTAAATTCCCCAGCGTTTGATAGTGTCTATTCCCCGAGTACTCAGGATAAACAATAACAGCACCGATAGCATTGTTTGATTCAACACGCATAAATCCTGGCGGACCACCACGGATATTTGTGTCCATAGTTGTTGCTTGATGCGATGAGGATACGAACATAGTATCCGCACGAGAGAGTAGCTCAACTGCAGTAGGACTCAATTGTGGCGAGTCGGAGATCAACTTGGGTTCAGGCTGCGCAGGTACAATACGCTTCTTATTCAAGTATTTGGGGCAGTTCCCAAGGCTCTCTTCAATGTGGACAACAACCTGTGCCTGTCCTGCGTCTCCGTCAGACAGTGAACCCTTCACCATCCTGCCATACAGCTTCACTCTCCGACGATTCTCCAAATCTATCGCAAGTCCCGAAACCATCTTTCCTGTGTATGCATCGGTCTGGTTGCCGGTCAATAATGCCTGCACAACGGGGTCGTATTTGGTGTCCACTTGTGTCTGAAGCCCGATTAGCGATTCGGCAACTGGTACTGCAAAGCCAGCTGTGCCGCCCCATATCGTTGACCATGGCCGGCCTTTGGAATCTAATGTACCTAGGGCAAGTAGCGGTGACTGTTGAACAAGAGATGCAGCTCCCGCGCTCAGGTACGGGGCAGTCGGGTTGTCGCCGTGAGGGACTCGAAGCAAGTGGTGTAATCTCTCCTCGCCCTCGTGCCAGGGCACAGTATTTGTTAGCAGTGAGGTCATCGAGTAGGGAGACTGGAGATATTGGAAAGCTAAGAGACCTCCCATGTTGAAAGCAAGAGAGAACGTAGGTATCTCAAGGGTGGGGGTTGTTCATCGCGTCATCCTGCCCTGCCCAGGCCCTGGAGATGACAGGGGCATGTATGTGTACCTGGAAGCTCCACGAATAGTTTCTATGTGACATATCTCTGTAACTATTTAGGATGAATCAATTTCCTTTCTAATAATGAGATTATCCTAGAGTGCGCGACAATGTGGTGTTCTAAATAGCCTTTTAGTTGGCATAGTTCAGGAATATATATCGCAATGTCACTCTCTCGAAGCTCCCAAGCCACCCAAAGGATTATAACTATTCCGTTATATCCCCTGCAATTATTAAATATGCATCGTTTGATGCTTAATATATCAATTTCGTAGGGCCTTAAGCTTGTATAATGACGAACCAATCAGAACTGCCCCGCCGCGTTATCGAGACTCTGCCTTCGGGGAACTTCCATTATAAAAAACAACCACCTTCACCCGATCTGCATTTCCCTTTTACAGCTCAAACTTGTACAACAAAAGCAAACAATTTCAAAGGTGTCACAGAACACAAGGGCTCTCCCCGCCCAGATTCCTCATAAAACAGCTTCCGAAAGCCTGCCAGTCCTCCATCCCCCACCATGTCGACCTACGAAAGTACGCACCCACATCACTCAAATGGAACCAGAACCTCCAAAGCTAACACCATTCCAGTCGAACACAACACTACCGACCCCTCAACAGCCCCGTCCGCGCGACGCCGCCGCCCCGACCTCTCCACCTTCTTCTCAACCCTGTCCCAGATCACTCCAGCTCCAGACCACAAACCCCATGCAGTCCCCGTCCCAGGAGATGTGAGCGCGGCATTCTTCTCACTCGCAGAGGCACTGGACATGATGCGCCGCGAGACCGATTCAGCGCCGCAGCCCGGCGCGCAAGAGGGCACTGATAACGCAGACTCAGATACCGGTCGCGATCTGCTGACCACGATGATCCAGTCGCTGCTCGCGCAGGCAGATACGCCACCGCGGGAGGTGGAAGGTGTCGACGAAGAGTTCTGCGATAGTAAGAAGCACTCCCCTAGCTCGCCGTGTCCATCAACTTCCCCCGCAATCAGTGGGGTATTTCTTTGTCGTCTACATAACTAACATCTGCATCTTTCTAGTGCTCGACCGCGTCCCCAAAGCATCCCTCAAACCTTCTGATACCTGCCCTATCTGCAACAACCCGTTCGTGGAAGATCCCTACCCGCTCGTCGTCCAGCTGCCCTGCCACCCTACACACCGCTTCGATCTGGAGTGTGTGCGGCCCTGGTTGCGGCTGCGCGGCACGTGTCCGCTTGACCGTGTCGACTTTGCGAAGCAGCTGAGAGACAAGGCGGAGGCGAAGAAGAAGCTTGTTGAGGAAGATGAGGAGGAGGAATGGGATGGCATGTATGGCTGAAGAGATCCGACATGAGACTGTGCATATATGTGCGTCTTCAACTGTCTGTGATGGATTCTACATAAAAGTATTGCCTATCTTAGCATGAGTGAATGACCGTTGCATCGATCGATCATGTACATTTCAATCAAATTGATATTGAATGTAAACTGACATATCTTGATTCTTGTGTCTACTCGAACACAAATACATAAGCTATCGAGCAGGTAAATAAAGCAAATAGGCGCGGGAAATGACAAAAAGGAGGTCAACAATGGAGTTTTAGGTATATGATCTAGGTGTCTTGGATCCAGAACTGCATTGGCACCTCCATTTCGAGTCAATACCTCGAGGCATACCTCGACGATATCCGAGTCCTTTGTCCCTTCGATGGCTTTCACAATCTAACTATTGAACTTGCTTCAAAGGACTTGGTTCTCTCTTTGACCAAAATTTAAGGCATTTTCGTTGATGTCTTTGTTCTATATCTTTGATCACATTCTTAACAAAGGGCATACAAGTTCATTGTTAAGCTGTCAGTCCTCGTCCAGGATCTTACCGCCGCTCACATATAAATATCAAGTCCCCAAGTCCTGATTGATATAATTCATCATTCCAGATGACATCCCCTCTACAACTCATATCATCTTTTACTATACCTGAACCGAGTCACAGGACGTGACTTCTGCGGAGTATCACATATTACCAGAGTATCTTCTTCCATTCCTCCCCCAACGACTCTATCTACTGCTTACTCCCTAACCTACACTCGCCAGGTTCATATACCCCAAGCCCATTTGGCAATCTAGATACTTACCAGTGAGTATCCCAACCCCTCCAACTATCAAAATGTCTCTCTCATCCCCCTGGGAGACCCTCGCCCTTGTTTCCTTTTCTCTAGTACTGGGACTAACCATCATGATAATCATGATTCTTGTCAAGGAGTGGACAGAGTACCAAGCTATGCAGTTTTGGCCGAAACTGCGTAGTACTCGCACTCTCGATCTGGAGTCGGGCCTTTATCTACTAAAGGACGTCAAGGAACTGACATGGCGCGTTGAGCAGATGGAAACTGACATTGGTCGCAAGATCCAGCTTGCTGGATACTTGTCTGAATACCATGATCAACCCCCATCCCCTTAACCGCTTTATACATATGTACTGTCAGAATACCTTCCGATAACAGACGCAAGACGCAAAGACCGAATATCTGGATGCCTCCTATGCGTAGGGATAGCGCATGAGATATCGGCCCGAGTGGGTTACCCAGTTCCCTGCCCCATACTCCCATGTCTTTCGAGGCGGCTCACCTTGATGGAAGTGGAGTGGGTAGGGTTGTGGTATATTCTGGGATAGCACTTCGGTGCTGTACCCGTGGCTAATAACCTTTTGGTGAAGCCGACGGGTTTGGATGTGCATATGGTAGATATTTCTATATCAACCATATCTATCATAGGCGCTGTTATTGTTTATCTTAGTTTTGGAGGCGTCTATAAAGACGCCGTGGAAAGGTGGAGATAAGGATTATAGGCGACTTTCGAACAGTAACCAATTCAATATCTGTATTCCTGGTAAAAAGGTCGGATATAGACAGCTGTCGAAATAGCCTAGACATCAATTACAAGTAACGACTACCTTGCTGGTCGATGGTAGAAATCAATTTGCTAAGCTTGAAATGTATACCTATCACCCTAATTGACCTAGTTATTCTGAATAATCTTGTAGACAATAAGGTCCTTGATCTTCTCCCTGTAGGCCAGGAAGATCTTCAGGCAGAAACATCTGATGTTCAGGCATCAGAACATATAGACCCACTTTCTTCTTGGAAATATATGGGTACCTAGGTAGTTCTAATAGCAACCACCGCCCATGGGTTTCCAGTTAAATATCGAGACATAGAAAGCATAGAAATCATGGATCTTATGGAAAAGAAAACAATTGTAATCGTTCAGAAGTATCATTCACGTTTCCTGTCTACTCTATGTACAGTATGCGGTACAGAATTCATCACACATAACTTCAATGTTTCATGAAATTTCCTCGGCCCGAGCCTTGGGCCGGATGGCCAACTTGCCTGCCTGGTTAATCATCGCTTCATAGCCACTCCGCTCCAGCACGCCGCCGTCATTACTGACAACCTCACGAGCCTCGAGTTCCTCGACAAGGCGCTGGTTCTCACGGTTACCCTCCAGCAAGAACTTGAGACACATCACAGCATGCTCCTTGATGTATGGGTTGTGGGCATCGAAAGCAGTGCAGCAGAGAATCGCCTCGACACCGCCGTACCGACGGATCTGCTCTTGCACATCGGGACACTTCCAGACAAGCGAGGAGAGCACAAGCACGACCAGCTTCTTGAGATTGCGCCACTCGAACTCGGAGGGATCCTCTGTGATGGGAGGGGACTCGGGTCGAGAGTCGACGCTGCCGGCGCCTGTGTCAACAGGGTCTGGGTCGCTGGGATCGTAAGGACGTTCGACGGCAACAGGGGCTGGAGGACTAGCGCTCGGGGCATCGTTTGTGGTGTCGTTTCGGGGGGGAGGAGGGGGCACGGAGCCAAAGGACAATTGGCTCAGCTGGCCCTTGGGGATGCTTGCTTCCAACTCCTTGATCAACGTCACCAAGTCATAGACAATCTCCCATTTAACCAGCAGGTTCTTCCAGTCGTTGTTTTCGGTCAACACGGCGAAGAACTCCAAAAACTGGTAGACACCTTCGTACACCCGTTCCATGTCCCATAGATTGAGCGGGAAGTCCTCGGAAAGAGCCCGGTTGGCGCGGATCTGGCCTTGGAGGTAGATCAGAGCACAAGTCTCGGGGATAATGTTGCCGCGGAAGATAGTGAAGATGTATCGGACAGTAAGAATATCAACTCGGTTGAGTGAGTTCGGGTTGCGAGGAATGTTGGGCTGAGCCGATCCTGTCACCGAAGCAGGAGAGTACTTGGCTCGGAAGATGTGGGTGAGGATCTTGATCACAACGGCCTGTGCCGGAGAAATTATGTCCTTGGGTTGACCAAAGTCCGAGTAGGCATGAGACATAAGGCCGTTCTTAAGCACGGCCTCCATGATCTGGACCATCATCTTGAAGTAGAGTTCGTCGTCGGGAAGATCCCATGCCGCGATGAAAATCAGTAGTTCACGCAGTAGGTTACGTCCTGTCTCCTGCGTGAGCAGGATGTGACAACGGAGCGCTTGCATGTTCCTCGATCCATTCCGTTCGCCGCCCTTGAGGCCAAAGCTGTCCACAATACCGGCTTGAACAATCATAGGCAAAGCTTCGATTTCTGCCGGTCCAAGGACCAGAGGGATATCTGTCAGAAGACCCCGCTGTTGATCGCCAGGACGGCCACGGTATTCATCGTCTTCCTCTTCTTCGTCATCAGCTTCTCCATCGACGCCATCGTCATCCACGTCATCCTCGCCATCTCCGTCAACGCTTCCGTCAGCCATGTGATCCAGGCTGTGCGAGTCATCATCCCCCACCGTGTGTGCATCGCCGTGGTCATAGTCATGCTCTTCGTCGCCATCGATATGTGATGGCTCTTGGAGCCGAGCCATGAGTTCGTCCTTGGCCTCTTGGAGGGTCTCGGCGGCAGATTGAGCTGACCGGGGCATACTGGTATCTTCATCTGTAACAGGTCCATCCACAGCGCCAAAATCGTTGATCTCTGGAAGATCAGCCCAGCAAAGACGAGGGAAACCAGCCGTGAGACTGCGATCAATAGTCAGGATGGTCTTCTTCTTGGTGACTTCGTGTTCCTCTTCTTCCTCGTCGTGCTCCCTGTGATCGTCCTGTTCTTGGTCATCGTGGTCTTCAGGCTCCTCGTGCCCTTCTTCGGGAAGCGCAGCCGGGATCTCACGAGCCCGGTCCTGGAGATCAGACCAACCGTCAACCTTAGCCCCGAGTATCGCAGTCAAAGCAGCCCGGATATCCTTGACCTGGTCTGGGTCTCTGCCCATCTCCTGAATAGCGCTGAGGTCACGCCCCAAAATCCTCTCCATGTGATCCTTAATGTTGGCCAGAAGCAGCATGGCAGCCTCTTCCTTGATAGTTGCCGGCTCGCGCGGGAACTTGGCGATAGTCTCCAATAGCAAATCCTCCGCAGTTTGGTCGTAAAGTGCGCGAATCGGGGGGGTTGATGACACGCTCTCCAACTTGTACAATGGGTGCCACACCTTCTCGCGAGCTGGCGTCGTCCAAAGGCTCCTTGGGCTTTATGATGTTCGTATCAGCGGTGGAATGGTAGCCAAACAGATCCAACCAGAGCACCATCTTGCGATGCTCGTTGTGCATAATGAAGTTATGAAGGTACTGGAGGCACGTAATCAGAAGGCGCTTGTAGAGGTTGACGACTTTCTGCCATCGCTCCTCATTTCGCGCATTTTGCTCGCCATCGAATCCTCGAGCGGTGACCCGAACACAGGTGTCGATGAGAGCTAGAATCCTTTGATCAAATCCGGTTTCCGCTGCGAGGTTCTGTGCCTTCTTGGTTGTGGCGAGGAGGTTGCGAGCAATTGTGCACAGATCATTCAAGCGCTCAATGTCTTTGACCAGCGAGAAATAATTGTATGCGATTAGATTGGCAGATGAGTGTTCGTAACTTGCTGCGGGGCTTTTCCACGCGAAAGATTGGGACTCGAGGACGGGGATTGCTTTGGTGAGGACGTTCGTGAGACCTTGCCAAATATCAGGCGACATGCCGAGATTGTGACTAGCAGGGCACAACGGATTAGTATACGAAGCAAAGCAAACGGTCAATTAAATTATGGTCTTACCGAACATCGCTCTCCTGGTGTGTCTTGTACAGGATCTGCTTCCCAGCGGCAAGCATGTGCTCCAAGCGCTTGTCATCGATCATGCCCCGGACTTCGTAGTGGCTCAGTGTCCCTGCAAGGATTACCTTGAGCATGAGCTCAGCTGGCGTGCATAATGGCTTGGAATCTGCCATCTTGCAAAATTTATCCCAGCCGTAACGCGTATTCGTTCAAACGGTAAACAGCGCGGGGAGATCAAAGTGGGATGAGAGAATCAAAGATTCGGAGGTGTGGAGAGACAAATTTTCCGCCCGCACGAATGTTATCGTTATCGCTCATTCGCCCATTCCGCGCTCTCCGCCTCGATACATCGCCCTTAGTATGTGACTTTATACATTCCACATATCCTCATACGATCATGAGCTAAATACCATTTCCACTTTGACTGTCTCACTTTGAATGTATACAGTTGCAAGGTATATGTAATAGATAGCGTAAATCAGGTAGATGTCCACTATTTCTAGATATTCCTTTGAATCAAACCAGGAACTCCCGGATTTAACATAGATGCTATATGCAAAGACCTTAGATACCAGATGTCTCCTTAGATTCGACGGACAGATAACCCCACCACATCCCGAAGATTATACCAAAAGCCCATATCGTAGATGTTGTCGACATCTCTCATAGTGCGGAGTCGCTTCCATCGAGGGTCAGGAGGTAAGTCTGATGCCGGCGATGGGCAATGCAATTGGAGTCGGACGCCAATAAACATCCTTCAGTTGGAGGATATTCATCAGTGACAAGGATTTGGTCAGTATGCACAGGCCACAGCTCATCATATAGATCCATAGGAAGGGACCTGTCGAAGATGAGACTTAGTTTTGTCTTGAATACAAAGCCGTCTTCCACATCATCTTTCCAATCAGACCACTTGGCACTCTCATTAGTTGTCACCCCAGCCCAGATGAGATACGTATGGTATGCCAGGAAAGATATTGCCAGCGGGGCAGTCATAACCATCAGTAGGAATACTGTCCCAATCTTGGGATTAGCAGTGATCACAATACCCCATGTGTTGATCCAGGCTGTCCAGCCTTGCATGGCCTCCTGTATTTCTGGCGGAACCATTTGCTTCAGCGCCTCAGAGAGTATGGAATGACCAAGGTAGGAGCCGTAAATCAACATCACAGAAAGGGAGACCAAAAGCGAGATGAAGTACACGCAGTTGTTGGCTCCGACGCAGTTCATCAGCCATACACAGTGGTGGTCATGTCGAGAAACACAGGCCTGACAGAAGCTGCAATGCTTGCTGCGCGCTGGCTTGAGGAACTTGCAGGTGCTACATCGATGCCCGGGGTGAAAAAGGACTCGATCGTACGGATAGCGTCTCATCTCTTCCTCATGGTTCTCTGCCGTGATAAATGACTTGGTCACAACACACTTGTAGAGCAGAAAATATGGCAAGATGATAGCTGCAGGTACCCAGACTCGATGTATGCTCGAAAGCCGAGGCCACGCGGCCGGGACAAAGAGCCCTTCTCCAATGACCAGCAAGGAGGTAAAGAAGATCTAGTATTCATGGTCAGTATGTGGATATGTAAGTAATGATAAATTTGGTGACCCACCAGAACGAGCGGGTGGTTCTCCTTCAGTACATAGCTGCCAGATCGATTCCAGCATCGTACTATCCTCCCGCCGAACAAACGATTATCGACAACGGCAATTCCATTCGGGAAGTACACCCACAGTGCCCGATGGAGCCAGGCGACCGGAGTTTTCCTAGAACAATCAGCACAGAGCTTCAAATTTTTGCAAGTTGGCAAATTGCCCACCGGAAAGCTGGCAGCCTGCCAAACAGCGCGATAAAGGTGAACACCGAGACCAACAGTATCACCAGACCAACGGTTCTGAGGGCCCCCATTCTGAAGCTCAAGTTCTCTCAGTAAGTCCAAAGGAGATACTATTTGCTCTGCATCTTCCGGTGATATTCTTCACAGTTCCTGCATTCCTTGACTTGTGGTCGCCTGACATATTCACATCGCAAGTCGTCAATTTTGTGTATGCCACGTGACCGCGTGTTCGTCTCGGCGTGAACCGACCATTACATCTATGACCCGTGTCGGTGGAGACTGTCGGGATCCCATATTATCGAACATAAGAACTGACGATCAAGTTAGCAAAACAACACCTATCTTGCCCCATAGCCCGCTGTTGAATGGGAAAGGGCCCCTTGCGACACGTCAACACGTGATACCGCGTCGCAGACAAAGCTGACCTACCTTAAGGCGTGGAAGCTCAAAGAAAAACTCTTTAGGTTTGGTCTTTGATGAGGTGAAATGGCGTCTTTCAAAAATGAATCGTCTCGCGCTGAGACTGCGACAATGAATCTGTTTCAAGGCGCACGATTCTGGCTATCTCTAACTGTTCCACAAAGGTCGAGGTTTAAAGAATTAATCAAGGTATTTGGGGAACGCCTTCTCTTGTTTGGAGCTTGCGGAGGCTAATGAGTATCTAGCAATATGGTGGCACTGTTGTGCTGATGGAGAAGGATGCTGATGTGAAGCTGGTGGATCATACAAGGAAAGACCTGCCTTCGGACACGTACGGAATACAGAACTCTTTACTGGCTCACAATCTGTACTAATCTAAAATTAGTTTCTCTTATCAATATGTAGAGCGTTCCATCAACAAGGGACGACTCGAAGATCTAGAAGCCCACCGCGCTGGGCCATCTGTACCTCGTCCAATGGGCGCATCCAACATTCCTACGAAAAGCACAAGATCGTTTTACACCCTGAAAGAGGATCAACTTCTGTTCGACTGGGTTGAAGCCTATGGACAAGACCGAACGGTGCCTATCCAAGGTAACAAAATATACCAGGATTTGGGTGAACTGGTATGATGTTCTCCTGCCCAAGTGCTCCTGTCAAGACTACGGGACACACATATAAATCAGATACTAATTAGTAGCACGCAGTTCCCCAGTCATCCATGGCAGTCTTGGCGCAGTAGATATCTGAAGCACCTGCGTGGTAAGGGCCGTCCAGGTGGCGGCACCCCATTATCATTTGACGAGCTTTTACGGTCTGCGCCATCCCAAGGCGAACGTCCAAAGACTTTACCTGACCGGACTTCCCCGGAAGCATCCACAGCAAAATCTAGCTCAAGGGTCCCCTGGCTGGCACCACCTGCTCCGGCGGAAGCAAGTACAGCAAACAGCCCAAAACGAAAACGAGATCCGGTCCCTGAACCGCCGACTCAACGACGAAGAGATGCTTCACCCATGAAAAGAAGAGCCATTGAAGCTACTGCAACTGCGGGCCCTTCCTCACATCGTCTTCGTCCTGATAGCCGGGAACCCCAGCCAGAGTCATCAAACGTGGCAGCCACACCACCCTTTACTACACGGCCAGAAAGAGGCTCTCCCAGTGTCTTGTCGTCAGATAAAGGACCGCTTCAAGGCCTTGGAATTCCGGGTCTCTTCCCAGTCCCGGACCCTGCCATACAAACCCCTCGTCGCGTCACTCGCGAGACTTCACAACGACCAACTAATGTAGCAGAACCGTCAGCACCGCCTGTACCGCGACCATTGGGTGACAATGCCTTCGCACAGTCTGGCCGATTCAAGAAACAAGTACCGAAACCCAGACCACCAGTCAAGGATATCTTCAAAGACCCAGTGGACCCTATTTTCCTAGAACTCCCATTCTTGCCATCAAGCCCCGCATCCGAGACGACTGACGATGACACCTTGGATGCGCCCGATGTGGATACTTGGATTGATCAACGCCTTACTCGAGGTGCCAAAGAATCCCACGTCTTCGAGGCTCTGCGATGTACAAGCATGGTCCCAGAGATGGCAGATAAGGTTCTCCAATACCTCACCGCTGGGAAGGGTATTCCCGAGGATATGCCCGGGGTCTGGACAGCCGAGGACGATAGCTGTTTACAAGCGGGGGAATATTCGCGTGTGCAGCGAGCGTTGGCGAAACACGGCTCAGAAGCGTACAAGGATAGATGGGAATATTTCAGCATGGCTCGGCAGACAGGGCTCATTGAATGATACACATGAGATGTGGAATTTGAGAAAGCGCACGAAGGACGACTACAATGGACGGGTTGCAATTGTGAAGTACATGAACATTAGCGTGCAACTAGAAACGAAATACTCCCCGAAGACACCGGTGTTGACCTGCCCAGAACGCAAAGGGGAATTTAGAACTCAAAAATAAACATCAATGTAAGGGCCATATTTAAAACGCGTTGGTCGCAGTAGCCAAGGGGGATTGGGGCGATGGCCACTCGCTATTGCACATCGGAGATTGAAGAAATGGCCTAGAAATATCACACTTGTGTACCATTTTCGAGTTGGTGATATATCCATTATCGGTGAACAGGATGGATTTAATTATCCTTAAAGACCCTATGAGAGATGTTAGGAACGCTTTCTCGCTTTCAATAGGAGGGCCTGACTCACAGGTGTGATTCGTAGAACTTAAGCATCTAGTTTGCAATTAGTATCCTTGTCGCTTTTTTGGGACGGTCGAGGACATACCTTCAGAGGACACTTTTCGTAGCAGGCTTGAACAGATAGTTTCGCCTTGTGTCCATTGTTGAACTCGAGCCAGGCCATAAGACCTGCGTCACCCTCCCGGACAATTGTGTCCACCTCTTTCACATCCTTGTCCCAGTTCTTCCCCTTTGGAAGCCATTGGGCGCTATTATCTTCCGACGAGGGGGTCTCTTGCTTGGTCGTCTCTTTGGGCGCTGACTTTCGGCGCTGTCTCTTGGCTTCGCTCCCTGCGGGGGCCGGTGAGGGCTTAGCAAGCTTTGAATCACCCATAGACTTGCGCTTGCGACCTGGCTTTCCTGGAGTGGGCTTCTCTGCGCTCTTCTTCGGGCGACCGCCGATCTTCTTGTAGTATGCTGTGACAATATCGCGGGCTCCCTCCCTATGGTCTTTGTCAATAAATGCGCACAGTAGATAACGAAGCTCAACGAGTGCATAGACGTACATGAGACTATCCTCGTCTTCCCATGTATGGTCTTCGATCTTCTCGTAACCCTTCCATTTCACGAAGAGCTTGAGGGTTCCCTATAGTTGATTAGCTTCTCGGCCCAATGAGACTGAGCATTGTGAACATACATCATCAAGCCAGGCGTGGTCAATAATATCCTCAACGACGTAGCTGCATTAAGTTAGAAACATGTATCCACCAGTCGGCCGGAATGCGCAACGTACAGTCCCTCTTCCTCATCCTCCTCCTCTTCGTCTCCTTCGTCTTCCGGGGAGTCCTGGTCATCATTTCCATTTGTCTCTGGCGCAGTTCTGAAAGGAATATCGCCGGATTCCTCGTCGGACATATCTTCAACGGGAGCTGTGGCGGGTCAACCAAGATGGCTCACAATTGCGCGCGCGACACATCAACATTGGGGGAAAACACTCACGAGGCATGTTTCGATTGAAGGGTGAGATGAAGCTAGAGAGTTTAGAAAACAGATTGGCGACTGGAGGAATAAAACCTCAATTGCAGATGTAAAATCAGACGTAAGACTGTCGCATCCAGAGCAATTGGACGAGTCAAGAAGCAGAAACGCGTTGAAGGCGGACAAGATACGCTATACCGCTTTGGGCAGTCAGAATTTCATTTGTCAAAAGTGCATTTCGGGAAGCTCCCCCTCAAGGCTCAACTTACAAGTTCACTGCTTTTGTCTTTGTCACCTGGGCACTTACTTTTGATTACCTCTTGGTCTCCTTGTCGGTGTCCTCTTTTCTAAAAATCTTTATATTTTGCCAGGTGGCAGCCCACCGTCAACATGGCAATGCGTAAGGCCGCACCCCCATACCCCTCATTCTTCAAATGTGCTCTGGCTAACTATGTGGGATTTGATTTTCAACAGAGCTTGATATGTCTCAGGGTGATTACCCCCTCGAATAACTTGCTACAACACGGATTCAGTCGCTGACATTAAGGGGTAGCTTCGGTCTTGAAGGACGAGCAGGGACGGCCGTTTATTGTCGTTCGGGAGTACGTTCACCGCTACGCCTTATCCTCCGTTTCAAAATACCATTGAGGGTTGGACGCTTGAGATCTGGGGCTGACGGGTCTTTTTCATAAAACAGTCAGGGAAAGAAGAAGAGACAGCATGGCACTGAGGCCGTTAAGTCACACATTGTTGCCGCCAAGACGGTGGCTAGCATTGTCAAGTCTTCTCTGGTATGGCACTCGGCAAGCGATGGATGGAAAGAGATCTGACTCTCGTTTTTAGGGTCCCCGTGGTCTTGATAAGATTCTGATCTCCCCCGACGGCGATATCACCGTCACCAATGATGGCGCAACTATCCTCGGACAGGTTCGACCCCCGAAGCCCTTTCCCCGGAGAGATCCAATTCTGGTTCGAGAGACTGATATGATGGTTATGGTTAGATGGAGATTACAAACAACGTCGCAAAGCTGCTGGTCGAACTCTCTCAGTCTCAGGATGAGGAGATCGGTGATGGCACAACCGGTGTCGTGGTGCTGGCAGCGGCCATGCTTGAACAAGCCTCGGACCTCATTGACAAAGGCATCCACCCCATCCGGATAGCCGACGGATACGATCAGGCCTGCGAAATCGCCATCGCCGAGCTCGACAGAATCAGTGACGAAATTACATTCAGCAAAGATGATACCACCAACCTCCTCAAAGTGGCTAAGACCAGTCTGGGCAGCAAGATGTATGGATTTCTAACTTTATGTTAGTTCACGTTGATGCTGACAGCTTTCATAGTGTATCCAAGTCCCACGACCAATTCGCGAATATCGCTGTTGATGCCGTGCTCTCGGTTGCCGACTTTGAGCGCAAGGATGTCGACTTTGAATTGATCAAGGTTGACGGCAAGGTCGGTGGATCCCTCGAGGACTCTCTGCTTGTCCGTGGTGTTATTGTGGACAAGGACTTCTCTCACCCTCAGATGCCCGACGAAGTTCGGGATGCCAAATTGGCCATCTTGACCTGTCCCTTTGAGCCTCCCAAGCCCAAGACCAAGCACAAGCTTGATATCACATCTGTTGAGGAATTCAAGAAGCTGCAGGACTATGAGAAGGAGAAGTTCACAGAGATGATCCAGCAACTGAAGGAATCGGGTGCCAACCTGGTCATCTGCCAGTGGGGTTTCGATGATGAGGCCAACCACCTTTTGCTCCAGAATGACTTGCCTGCCGTTCGGTGGGTTGGTGGGCCTGAGATTGAGTTGATCGCCATTGCCACAAACGGCCGTATTGTGCCCCGCTTCGAGGATCTGTCTTCTGACAAGCTCGGCACGGCTGGTGTTGTCCGCGAGATGAGCTTCGGAACTACGAGAGAGAAGATGCTGGTGATTGAGGAGTGTGCCAACACCCGCGCAGTGACTATTTTCGTTCGTGGAAGTAACAAGATGGTGAGTCAATCTCCGCACCATGCGTAGGGAGATGTGACGGTAGCTAACTTCAGCTACAGATCATTGATGAGGCCAAGCGGTCACTACACGATGCTCTGTGTGTCGTCCGCAACTTGGTGCGCGACAACCGTGTGGTCTACGGAGGTGGTGCTGCTGAGATTGCTTGTTCCATCGCCGTTGAGGACGCCGCTGTTAAGAGTCCCGGTATTGAGCAATATGCTATGCGCGCCTTCGCTGATGCGCTGGATGCTGTTCCCTTGGCCCTTTCCGAGAACTCTGGCTTGAGTCCCATTGAGACCCTTGCCTCTATCAAGTCGCGCCAGGTCAAGGAGAAGAACACCCGTCTCGGTGTTGACTGCATGATGACTGGCACCAACGGTATGCCCCTAGAATATCATTCCATACTCAGTTTCGTTCCTGGGCTAATTTAGATTCTTTAGATATGCGTGAGCACTTCGCTATCGACCCCCTGATTGGCAAGCGCCAGCAACTTCTACTTGCTACCCAGCTGTGCCGTATGGTTCTTAAGGTACAGCTCCCACTCACTCTTCCTGTCGCGTTCGATGCTAACCCTCAACCAGATCAACAACGTCATTATCTCTGGTGATGATCAGTCCGAGTTCTAGACCACTAGTTTCTAGTCCTATTCCACGATGGTAAAAGAAAAAAACTGATGATTTTGGTTCGCTATGTAAAAACATGGTCCCTTACATAGAACCCTTTTAGTTTCAATAAAAACGAAAGGATTGATAATGTCTCTATCTGGTCACTTCTTGTCCCTCTCTTGATATGAATCTTCGACTAGCATTTATAGATGTAGATACACATGCCATAGGCTAGAACGGCATCTGATTCATAACAACTAATATGAGTGCCATGCACATTTACAGGTGCACTTAGCTAGAGCAATATCGGTATGACATACTCGTCTCACGCATAAACCCCAAACACCCAGAGTTCCGATTCGGTGCCATTCCTTCTGCCTCTAGACTACACGATATCTACCAGAAGTCCTTGCTGAAACAGCAAGAGCGAAATACATACCAGTACGGCACGTAAAAACAATCTAAGCCATTTCAATCAGTGTGTCCACACCGGCAGACAGGTTCATTTTCGTGAGAGATCCGTGCCTCCATTCGGGATCGTGTGGGATTGTCTGTGTTCACGAGGGTCACCCGATATGCCGAGGAACAACAACGCAGAAGACAAACGCACTCCCACAACATCAACTGACAATTTTGGCTTTTCGGAGTCTTCCGTCTAACCTCGGTGCGCATTTGTGGGGGTGCCTATTCTTTCCGTGTTTTCTTTCCCGTTAAGGTCTTCTGAAGTAATGGACGAACGGAACTAGGTAGCTGGTGACCTGTCTTATCAAGGGGATAGACATTGTCTTGTTACTCGGATACGAGAGTTAAATCTTAATGTTTGAACTTAAGATTAGGCGGTCGATGTATACTTTCTTCAAACAGCACCTGAAGCCTTGCATGCGTGGTTAGGTCATGATGTTCTATCAAATGGACGATGCGTTGGCTACTTGGTTCTTGTCATTCTGTATTTTCATCTTTCCTAATGACATTTGTTTGGATTGATGCGAGCGTCAGTGGTAACTCCGACTTGTTTTCTTTCCTCCCTGAAGAAACCCT